CCAGAACAAGGAGGTCTTCGGGTCTGCCGTGCCGGGGCTCACGTCATGAGAAGTCGTTTTTAGGAATGTGACTCATTCTGAGAATCGCGGTTTTCTTGGAAGATCTTCAATCCTACCTATTCTCGAGACTAGAGAGCTTACAAGCCACTGGTGACAACACCCAGCTTACAGGTGCTCAGCCGTGGCCAGTAGCTACTTTTCCAGCCTCTGAGCGAAGACTGGAGTTTTCCGACAGAGATGATTTGGAGAGTGAAATGTCAGATTTTAAGGAAATCACAACAATACCGTATTTTCAGCAGCTACATGAATACCATCAAGCATTTAGGGAAGGTCTGATAGGGGCCAAGCAGAGATACGTGCACCAAAGCATGGGAAGTCAATCAGCCATCAGACTCAAATGAAGGGAGGTTTCATTGAGTTGGGGTACATCAATGCAATTTGAAGGCGGTTGAGGTCTTCGTGTGTTTACTACAATAATGGGCAGCCGAAGAAGCAATGAGCTTGCAGATTAGATCTGGGGTATCTCATTGAGTGTGGGATAATAGCGTCATGACAAAGACTTTCATTCACTTTTATGGCAAAGACCAAAGAAATAAGACGCCCGTTCAAAGCTCCCCGCTTTATCATCGAATTTCTTAAAGAGGGTAACATGGGGGAAAGTCAGAGACGATAGAGAGATCTTCCAGGATGCTGTCAGGGATATCAGTCAGCTCGTGCTATCTCGTCATTTTGGCATTGATTCAGATTCAGTATTGTTAGCTTGAAGTAATCTACGACGTCTGAGGAACCAAGGGCTGAAATGGATATTGAGCAGACTCCTAGCACCACCACGTTACTGTTAGACTGAAAGAATATCTTGGCTGCTTTTCGTTCCAGGTATGTTGAAACTACGAGCAGGGGTTCAATTACTTGCTTTGTTACTACTACGGACTCACCTTATGATCCTAAAAGGGCTGTTGTTCTACGCAGAGTACTTGGTCACTTGAGAATGTGATGTATTTCAGTGTTCGAACCCATAAGCGGTTATATCTTGCAGCCCCGAGAAGGTGGCAAAGTCTGCCGATATCCACATTCAGAGGTTGGATGATCGATGAGTCAAAGATTTTGGTAACACAAACGCCGTTTAGTGTAGCCGGAATAAAGGATGATATCTTCACGTCGCGAAATGGCATATCGTGGTCCACCCCCACTCTTGCCATCAGACTCCCACTTACGACCGAGATAAGCTCCTCCACTTACACTTCAGATGCGACATATAAGTAGTTTTGTATCATTACAAAGGCCCAATACGAAAGAAACCAGTAAAACATATTGGGTATCGAGGATAGTCTGTTAATCACTCACAATTTACTCGGAATTAGTAGGTGATCAAGTAAGCTGTGTTTACCACTTCAAGCCGCTTCTGACTCCTCAACAAGTGTCTTCCCCCGAAGCCGAAGCCATCACTTCAGTCCTCCACGCGTACGGGGCAGCTCTCAAGAGCCGCAACGTCGAGGATGTCGTCAATCTCTACACGTCCGACGGCGTCATCATGCCGCCGCACTTCACAGCCGCCGTGGGCACGGCCTCACTTCGCGAATCCTACACACGCATCTTCTCATCGGTCCAGCTCGTCATCACGTTTTCAATAGAAGAGATTGTCGTCATGTCTCCGGACTGGGCATTCGCGAGGACAACGGCCGAGGGAACGAAGACGATGTTGGCAACGCAGGCTTCGGAGGAGCACGCGAACCAGGAGCTTTTCATCATGAAGAAGGAAGATGGGGAGTGGAAGATTGCAAGATATGCTTTTTCGACGATGAAGCCTCTTGTTCAAGATGGTGTACGGAGAAGTTGAGTAGGACTATGTACTCTGGCAATTGACGAGCGCAAAGCTTCATAGCCTGAAATTCGGAAACAGATGTTGCTACGAAGAGCAAAATGGCTCTATGGCTGGAATACTGTAGACCTTGCCTTTGGTACTTCAATTTACCACAGCAAAGATTAGAATTGCTTTAGTGGAGCACACCTGTGGTGGTATCTTGCACCGCTAGCCTCAATGTCGTTATTCGACGATCATTTGTGTAGACTTACAGCAGCTGTGATTCACCAGCAGGATTTTGTGAATTTGTCTCTCAAAACCTTCCATGAGGGAGAGAAAATTCCCATGTCGGCAGACGCCAGACTCACTTGGATTGATGAATTGTCTGATGCGATCGCTCATGTGATATATCTTGACAGTCTTGTCTTTCAGGACTCGCTGGACTTGAGGTGCTGGTCTTTAGGAGATCGTCTCTATTCACTTTTCCCTTTGCCCAAGCAGGTTGGTAATGGTAGTTTCATTCTGCACGTTCGACACACGTCATTCGACATCGTAGATTCTGGTTTGAGAGGTACTTTAGTCGTTCAACCAAGTTGCCCTGCTGGTATATGAGGACAGAAAAGGGCATTGGAATGCGGTAAGGGGCGTTTGCCACCGCCCTTCCAATCACCTACTTCTACTTCGGAGGAGCTCAAGAGCCTCGCCCATTCCTTCCTCCCAACTCGCTAGTTGTGCTACTGATTTTGAAGTGGCCGGCTCTTCTTCATTTTGTCCTTTGAGAAGCTCGCGAAGTCAATCACTCAACTGAATGTGCCGAAAGCAAGAGTTAAGACAGGACCGGACCAAATGTCCATGGCTTCCTCCGGTTTCTTGAGGTATATTTTCCGTTGAATAAATAAAGACGAAAGAAGAAGGATGACAACAACGATAATAAGAAAGGCAATGTTTTGACGATGGTGACAGAAATAGCAATAGGAATTTGGAACTTCCAAGCTGCGTTTTTTTCCCACTTCGTTAGGTACCTGCCTGTGTCCCTCTTTACGCGAGTACTAATAAGCTCCTATGAGGACCGTAGTAATTCAATGCCCGCCAGCGCTGCACTCAACGTAATCAACTTAACTTTACGTCCCAAATTGAACTATTTGAGAGAAATGTTTCCATAGTTGTTCGTTTGAGTTCTCCGCTTAATTACTTGATCGGGTTGGATTGCTCAAGGTAGAGCTCTTGCCTACAATCATCATGTGTCTGTAGCATATTGCCAAAGTTTACTTTGACTCCCTCACCATTAACATCGAGTTTGGAGATCGATAAAAGCAACAACAGGCTAGGTCTGACTGAAGTCCAGGTAGGTTTCGGCTCTAATCTCACCTTCCGATATTAGCTTCACCCGAGCTGCGAGCCATCGGCTCCGAATGATCTGGTTTGCCTCCAGGCTCCAGCTCCGCAGTTGGCGTTGACACATGCAAGCCCTCGACGACGAAGAAATTGCCTCTTTGACTCACATGCATGCTGAAGAATTATTAATCCAACGGCGCCGACATCGCTCACATTCGCAGGGGTCCATTGCACCAAATTTCGTCGTTAATCTGGAAACCCATCGTGAATTCCAATTGCGAGTCTTGGCGACTATCACTATCAGCCTGGGGAGTTAGTCACATGCTGTGGAGCTGGAGAATTCGAGAACCGCTCTTTTATTTCAAATCAAGTCGATGAGATCAACCATTGACGAAAACCGGGGCCGACACGTGTGAGATGGGGCCCGCTCACCAGCGGTGGGAATGGAGACACTGGAGACAGAAACGGGTCTGGCAGACGGGCCGGGGGTGGGAACTTCAAACTTGGGAAGAGAGTGGATGGGCGACGAGAAACTGGGTCGGTGATGTTTCGCTCGAAGCCCGGAATTGCCAAGAGTGTGGGGGAAAGGTTGAAGCTCGGGCGCAGTATTGGCTGACGATGGCATCAATGGCAATGAGAGTTTGAGGTCGCAGGTCACCCTAGTTCAATGTAGCGAATGCTAGAATGGACGTTTTCCTTCAGATCGGCGAACGTAGAGCTGACCCTGGACCATGGAAAGCATCGTAACAAAAGATATCTTCATGTTCATATCGGGGAACGGCGACCAATGGATGGAGGATAGTTGGTGTGTTACTGGGATATCGTTACCCTGGACACAACGTCTTGGCCTTGTGCTCTGTGTGCTTGTACACCGTCAAGTGATTATCAAAAAAGGTCCGAAAACCGGCGATTTTAGCCATGATCGTCACTCCGACAACCCGACGCGGTTTCCTTTGAGGTGCTGTCCGGCGGCTTGGTCTACTTCCTCTTCCACTTAGCGTTGATATTCACAGTGCGTGTGAGTGAGTGCCCCAGCCGATGGCCTCGACTTTTCCGCGACTTTTCGTGGTGGGAGGCAGCAGTCGCAAAGTGGGGTCCAGTTGGTGTGACGTCGTGGACTTTATAAGAAGCTCCTCCCCTGGCCGTTTTGCCTGCAGTTGGGTAAATATAGCTGTGGTAGTCACGTACCGAGGTCCATACTCCGTATGGGGTACCTTATGTAAGGTAAGGTAAAGTGAGGTGATTTAATAAGGTAGGCGCGTACATGCACGTACCGCGTAGCATCAGTGGAGGGGAACGGGAAGGAAGGAGCTTCGGAAGAGTACCTAGCAAAAACAGCTGAGGAAAAGGCGATTAGCGGGGTTGTCTCGGCCAACCAGGAGACGTTCAATTCAATTCTCCTCACGGAAGGCGTCAAGGACAACTGCAGTCTACGGGAAAGAACAGACAACAGACGCAATGGGAGTTCCTTCCTGAACCGCGCAGCCCCGCTTGGTCGCATAAATGGGGGATAAATGGAGCAAAACGGGGTAAAGCAATGGAGCACAGCCGGGTCGGAGCGAACGGAACACAACAGCGAACATTCAATTCCGCTGGGTTCCGATGTCACTGTCTAACGCACCTTACCTCAATGTTCCATGTAGTTGTGGTAAGGTGCCTGGTATTGCACCTTATGGAGGAGTGCCCCGTACCACACACTTCACATGGCGGCATGGCTACCTATCCGCTGCTTATCACCTCTGTTTCAATTGGACGCAAGGGTCCTCACCTCACACTCCCGCGCCCCATACTGCGTACACCTTGACCTGCAGCTACTCCGTACAGACAGTCCAAACTCTGCCACATCCCATCTCTGCTCTCTTACATGCTCTTTTGCAGTACTGAACACCTACTGCCTCTGCCCCGGCTCGGAGAGCAAGCGGCAGCTGTCGAATGGGTCGATGGATCCTCCCCGCACGGCATTTTGAATCGGCCCAAGCTACTGTTCCATGCTGGTCACGCAAGCTCACGGTATTGTTGCATCTTTTACAGACTGTGAAGCTAACGCACCAATGTGGCAATCTCTCCGACCTTTGCTAGGGGCCGCCGACAAACATTTGAATGTCCGCGTCATAGCTACATGAGCCTGCTCTACCCGTTCCCTAACACCGCGATAACTTCCCTCGGCCCCTCACAGCGTCCAAGTGGCCCGCGCCCCCTCGAGCACATCTCGAATCTCCGAGCCGGTATCGCGCTGCAAAGCCTAGATTTCTACGTGACCAAACTGGCGGGGGCAATGAGACAACGAGACAACGACTAGCCGTTCGTCGGGGCGTTCTCGAACAATCAAAGACCAAAAGACCCTTGAGAAAACATGGCCGTCGCCTCCCATCATTTGTCATTCCGCCCCGAGCTACCCTGAACGCCTTCCGCCCAAATCTCGAGAACCCCCACCCACACCAACATGACTACGGCATAGTTCCTGCTGTCACACGTTAGTGCAGCATTAATAGGAAAGAGATGAAAGTGCACAGTGGTTCTTACTATGTACTCGGCCCTTGACCACCCACCCCTCAACCGCCAACAAGATTCGGCCCATTGGTCATGCAATGAGTGAGGGGGAGGGGGGGCCATGGCATAAAACGCGGGGTCGCCTCCTTCCACTTGCCGAGGATTCCTTGGAGCGAACTCTTTTCTTTTTTGCCTTCTCTCCTTCTACACAATCCGACGATTGACGGGTCAAAAGAAACATCATTCTCTCTTCTACCAGGCAATACATCGAAAAACATACCAAAGAAACAATACGCATAATCAGACACCATGGCCGAGGAAAAGTGTCCCTTCATTCGGACCATGAACACAGGAGGTGGCGGCACCAAGAACCGCGACTGGTGGCCCGATTCCCTCAAGCTCAACATCCTTCGCCAGCACACTCCCGTCACCAACCCGTTAGGTGGTGACTTTGACTACGTGTCTGCCTTCAAGACCCTTGACTACGATGGCGTCAAGAAGGACCTGACGGCTCTGATGACCGATTCTCAGGATTGGTGGCCCGCCGACTTTGGCCACTATGGAGGTCTCTTCATCCGTATGGCATGGCATAGCGCTGGCACCTACCGTGTCCACGACGGTCGTGGCGGTGGTGGTGAGGTAAGTTGCTCCGGGAAATCCAATGGATCTCTCTGGGCACACGAGATGCTAATGATCGCTCCTCACAGGGTCAGCAACGTTTCGCCCCTCTTAACAGTTGGCCCGACAATGTCAGTCTTGACAAGGCCCGCCGCCTGTTGTGGCCCATCAAGCAAAAGTACGGTAACAAGATCTCTTGGGCTGATCTCATGATTTTGGCCGGAAATGTTGCCCTCGAGTCAATGGGCTTCCAGACTGCTGGATTCTCTGGCGGACGTCCCGACACTTGGGAGGCTGATGAGTCCGTCTACTGGGGTGGCGAAACCACATGGCTCGGCAACGACGTCCGTTACTCCCACGGTCACGAAGGCAAGTCCGAACAGGGCGTCCTCGATGGCTCTCAGGATACCAAGGCCAAGTCAGACATTCACACCCGCGATCTGGAGTCACCACTTGGTGCCGCCCACATGGGTCTCATTTACGTGAACCCTGAGGGTCCCGATGGCAACCCCGACCCGGTTGCCGCTGCCAGAGACATTCGCGTCACCTTTGGACGCATGGCCATGAATGACGAGGAGACGGTTGCTCTCATCGCTGGTGGCCATACTTTCGGTAAGACTCACGGTGCTGCTCCCGACAGCAACGTTGGTGCCGAGCCCGAGGCCTCTGGTCTCGAGGCCCAGGGTTTTGGCTGGGCAAACAAGCACGGCACTGGCAAGGGTGCCGATACCATCACCAGTGGTCTGGAGGTTACCTGGACTGCAACTCCCACCAAGTGGAGCAACAAGTACTTTGAGTACCTGTTCAAGTTCGACTGGGAGCTCACCAAGAGTCCCGCTGGTGCCAACCAGTGGGTGGCCAAGAATGCCGAGCCCATTATTCCCCACGCCTTCGACTCCAGCAAGAAGCAGCTTCCCACTATGTTGACAACCGACTTGTCGCTCCGCTTTGACCCTGAGTACGAGAAGATTTCGAGACGCTTCCTCGAGAACCCGGACCAATTTGCCGATGCATTCGCCAAGGCCTGGTTCAAGCTCACTCACCGTGACATGGGCCCGCGCTCCCGCTACGTCGGACCCGAGGTTCCCTCTGAGGACTTCATCTGGCAGGATCCCATTCCCGCTCCTAGCTCGCCCCTCGTCAGCGAGCAGGACGTCGCCGCTCTCAAGAAGGAGGTTCTCGCCACTGGCATCGATGCCTCCAAGCTCATCTCTACTGCCTGGGCTTCAGCATCTACCTTCCGTGGCAGTGACAAGCGTGGCGGTGCCAACGGCGCCCGTATTCGCTTGGCACCTCAGAAGGACTGGGAGGTCAACAACCCCAAGCAGCTCGCCGAGGTTCTCAAGGCCCTTGAGGGTGTGCAGCAGAAGTTCAACGGTTCAGGCAAGAAGATCTCGCTGGCTGACCTCATCGTCCTCGCCGGTGCTGCTGGTGTCGAGAAGGCAGCCAAGAATGCGGGCGTTGATATCAACGTGCCCTTCACCCCTGGTCGTGGCGATGCCACCCAGGAGCAGACCGACGTTGAGTCTGTCGACTACCTTCAGCCCTACGCTGACGGCTTCCGCAACTACGGCAAGTCAGGCAACCGTGCGAAGACCGAGCACTACCTTGTTGACAAAGCTCACCTTCTTACGCTCACCGCTCCCGAGCTCACCGTTCTCATTGGTGGCTTGCGCGTGCTGAACACCAACTTCGATGGCTCATCAACTGGTGTCTTCACCAACCGCCCCGGTGCCCTGACCAACGACTTCTTCGTCAACTTGCTCGACATGGGCAACGAGTGGAAGGCCACCAACAACCAGGATGTCTACGAGGGCTTCGACCGCAAGTCAGGCTCTAAGAAGTACACCGCCAGCCGTGTCGACCTTGTCTTTGGCTCCCACGCCGAGCTCCGCGCTGTTGCGGAGATCTACGCCCAGGCTGATGCCGGACAGAAGTTCGTCAAGGACTTCGTGACCGTTTGGGACAAGGTCATGAACCTGGACCGCTTTGATCTGAAGAAGCAGTCCGGTAGCGTGCCGAGCCGCCTTTAGATGACTAGAATGAAATCACTGAAAAAGCAATGTCGATTACGAGGAAATGAGACCATCTCTAGCCTTCGTGCTTTGAGATAGCCTAGTGTAGTCTAGTACCTGCAGATAGGAACATGTATTTACGTTTGACGATCACCACACCCATCTCCATGATCCTGATGATAGTGACAACTAAACTGAGCTTCGTACTTCATCCCAGATTGTACACATTATTGCTGAGAACAATCGGTCACTACTGAGTAGACAAATCAGCACAGTGTGCTCTCGTCGGGCCACACGAGGAGGTCCAAGTGCGGTGCGAATTTCATGCTTCTTATTCTGCCGGATATTAAACTTGGAAGTTGAGAAGGCCGTTCTTCGCACCTTTACCACCTTGATGGCTCTTTTAAAATCTCAAATTGCGCCTAATATACCGAAATTTCATGTGACGCCCCAGCTGACCGTCCTGTCTCGATCGTTTTCCCACTTATCCAGGTAATGGTACGTGAAGCTATGAATATGGAAAGTGCGTGTGAAACTGTGAACTCTTCTGGATCATCGCACAGCCCATCTATTCCTTTGGATATTCCCTTCCCTTTTGGAATAACAAGATACTCTACAAGAAGAACTCGATGGTCAAAAGCCGCGTTCATGGAGTCCGCTGCCCACTCTACCGCAAAAGGGTGCATCAAGATGTTCGTCAGTGTATTGCGCATGACGCATTTATCCAGCTTTGTCCACATCTGACGGTGCCATTCTCTTGGATCTGGGATAAGACAAATTCGAAGCATGCCGATTCGGATGCAGATGGAGCTCGGGAAATTCGGTCTAGGTACGGTGCTTTTATCGCGTCCAAAAGTTGCCGCGAGTGCGAAGGCATAGACTTCCGAGATACCACCACCATGCGCCACAACGAGGCTGCTTCTTGGTGGGTGCCTCAGCCTCCGACAATATCACTCTATGAATTACCATCAGTCGGTACATTTGATGGGCTACACAGCGTCGTGATCACGTGGGAATTGCCGTTATTCAGGATAGTGAAAAGCGAAACCATCACCACGGACTTCATTGTGCAGAAGTTGGAGGAATTTCAAGACGAATACGGCGATGTCTTTTGTCCTCACTTGGACCGAAACGGTATCACCTCTCAACTACTTAGGGCTCTCGATCCCGGGCACTGTGGCTGCCCGGGTAGGGGTAGCCGAATCGGGCGTCTCATTGCCTGCGACGAGGCCCGATGGGGGACTCGAGACTGTAGAAGGGCGGTAGTTCGAGAGAGTGGTGCGGAGCTCTTGCCATATAGCGAAAATAGAGTACGCTCTAGGGTATGCCCGAGTTGGTACAGATGGGAAAGAGTCGGTCGTCGGATATTTTTATCCCGCTCTTCTGAAGATTGCATCAGGAAGACTGATCAGGAATTTTGGTCTAGTCCGTTAGCTACGTTGCTGGATCCTGAGTCTTGCAGTCCTGAATCGGATCATGAAACGAAGCATCTCTTTTGGTGCGAAGACGCAAACTGTAGAGACGGTAAAGACTGGATTGCGTACTCTAAAGCATTCTAAGAATATACTACGTGTACCTCGTTCTTTGATCCTCTATGAAGCGCTATGGGCTACTGGTGTGACTTAGACTGACCCGGCGGCACGGTACGTCGCTACTGTCCATAACCTATGACTTTGTCAGTCAGAGATATCACATAAATTACGTGTATGTACTCGAGACTTGAATATCACATAAATCTGGACAGGTCAGGCGTCAGCAAGAATCTCTGTGCAAGAAGGCACAAGGCATAACTGTCAATATCATGTCAAGATCAAGTAAGGTAGAACGAACTTCTTGGATGTCACAGGGACTGGAGAGCAGACACCCAAGCTCTCAGGAACGGGCAATGCCATCGAGTTGAAGGGACCCTCGATGGAGTAGGTTCAACAAGATGGGCCATCGTTTTGGCCACCCATGATTGCTCCTACCGGCGATGGCGAGAAGGGTGGTGAGAGAGAGAGTAAGCGGGTCTCATGGTGATCCGTCGTTGGCGTCGATGTATTCGTCTATGCAGTCTACTCCAGAAGTGATTGATAGATAGAGGAGAAACTAGGGCCGTGAGATGGAATAACAATACGGTCTTAAAGTCTAAGTTTCTCTAGCTCTTCTCCAGATGCTTTCAAACGATCGATTGTCTAGACATATTAATTAGTAAAAGGAGCCGGGAAGAACCCAATTCTTTGAGGATTATTAGTTGGGTGGTAGGGTGGTTAATACTCAATAATCATCACTTCCATAGCCTCCGCAAAGCCAGATACGCAAAGATCTAAGGTGAAGGAAAGGTTCATGACTTGGGTCTCTGTATAGTTATATATGAATTGATCTCTTCGTAAGCGGTCAGAATATTCAAACTAATCAGCTGCTGTGTTGATGTCGCTTTACTAAGCTCAGAGCAACATCAGAGCTTAGATAAGTCACCAAGGCGAGGAACGGAAAGGAAACAAGTGGATGGGATTTAGGTATAACTTGGTAATTGAGATTGGTTCGGCCAATAGCCCACGTTCTTTTATCCCTTTCCCATTCCATAAAGCGTTCGCTATCTAGTGGTAGGCGCCTTCCGTTCTTGCTCACCCAGTTCCACGAAATCCTCCTCCCTCTTGATTGAGGCTACGTTTGTAACCCGGAACTAGCAATTCATGCTGGCCTCTGTTCACCCTCCGAAAGCATCTGAGACCTATCAGACCAATTGTTCCAATGATCGGCCCTTACTGGTCGGCGAATAACTGATTGCCGTTGACCAACTTCTCGGCGACGAACTCTTCGAAACCGACCGACGGGTCAATGCCCATGTCCATGAGAAGCTCAAGCACCCAATGAACCGTTATGGATGATGCCTCCTCGATGGGAATGCTTTCCAGGACTCTGGCGATCTCCAGGCGTGCTGCGATTCGCTCCGGCTCGCTCAACGGGCCTGGCTTGGAGTTGCCCTTTCCCTTTGGGGTGCTCGCCAAGGGCTCTGCCTGGTTTGGCTGCTGCGGATCATTCTTATCGGCGGCTCCTGCCATGATGGATGAGTTGTAAAGGTCCGGTTGCGTGTTGTGTTTATCGTCGCGGTTTGTAACAAGCTCTTCGATGGCTTTGCTGTCGCGGTCTTTGACCTGATCATTAGTCGCGTTAAACATGAGTTAGGTTGGATTGGCAGGACTATACCGTTTAGATGAGGGCTCGTCGTCGAATGTCAATCGTTCTGGGGCGATGATGAGAATAAGGAGACCTTTCTCGATGTTGCTTGGATGTTATGTGTTAAGGGAAAAGATTAGAGGGCTTCTCTCTAAAGGAAAGAGAACCTCAACATATAGTTTCCCAGCTAGAGGCAATAAGTAGAATACGCAGAAATGCGGTAGGTGGAATATATACCGACAGACAGAGGACAAGACGGATGATAGAATACAAGACGGTAGGAAGAATACAAGACGGCAGGAAGAATACAAGACGGCAGGAAGAATGCAAGATAGCAGGTGGAATACGTAGATGAGGCGGTAAGTGGAATACGTGAGTAAATGTCAGCCTCTATTGATAAGTCTTGCTTTAGCTATTTATTAGTACTAAGTAAACGTCTTGGTCCTCCTTAGTCTTTGTAATTGCGATAATAGTAATAAAACATGCGGTTCTTAATATGGGTACACAGTTCTTAGTGCGAATATATCTAACTGGTTCGAATACATATACTATATCGGTATTTTGCCTAAATACTATTTTGGTACGCTATAATCAAACCCCAGCCTAATAATACATATTCACTAATAATTGACGCAGTTCCTGGTCTCAAAAAGCGAGCATACCCCTTGCAGAGCCAACGATTTCGTCGTCAGGTTCGTCTAGCATTGATCGAGTCAGCTAGAACATGTATCGTTCGTCCCATTAGTTCATCCTAGCTTACTTCCAATGCCAGTCGGAAGCATAGAACTGCCCTCAATGCGCTTTTCCCACATACATTCATATTGCTAGTACTCAGGTATTAGAAGACCAGTGCGCCAATGTTCCTTAAAGATGTGCCTACTCAAGATAAGGTAGATGAGATTCATTGAAATAGCATAGATACTCGAGCAAAAGTGGAAGCCTTCTTGAGGTAGTCGATGACATAAGTCACGTAGACTGCACGGTTTCGTTAACATATGGACACATGATATTAGCCAATCAGCCTAATTCCGATTTCTTAGTTACTCGTTCAACTTACCGGCTTGACTCATAGACGATGCTGCTGTGCCGTCGAAACAAAAGTGCATGTAAGCTTCGGGCGTAATTCGTCCGCGACGAAGCCAAGACTCAATAAGGAACGACTGCACCTTAATCTCACTCACCCTGCGGAAGATTCCGGCGACAGTTAGCGGTAGACGGAATGGGGTCGATTAGTTTCGGGCACGACACAGCCTGTCCGGAGAAAGTCTCCATGCCGTGCAGCTGCATACGTGGGATGGACTTTGGTTCAACCCCTTATGAAGATCATCATACAGTCAGCAAACAAAAAAGACCTTACTGGTCATGTGCACTATCCCAAACGCCGATGTCAGCATTCCATCTGCGGTCCAGATGACCTGGGAGTCAATGCATAGGTAGGATTCAGCGTATATCTAGACGGCTGTAAGTATATTTGAGCACCATGTACTTGTAAAATTTCCACCGGGAAAACAGGCATGTTGTTCTTAATCTTTTCTACATTCGCTTTAATGGCTTCAGCAGTCGTCATCCCAGGCCCTCCCGGCCCATATTCCGTCGCCTTGCGGGTGAAAGCGTTCGAAGACGCAGCACGATGGGATCCTCACGCCCCTCAAGACCAACCTGAGAAGCGTAGAATTATGGTCTCTGTCCACGTTCCCCTGAAGAAGGAAGCGAGATGTTCCATCGAAACCGTTCCCTATGTGCCGCCTACCACAGCAGTCGCCCTCGGCCAAGGGGCCGCGACCCTGTTTGGGCTGCCGGACACCATCTTTTCCGGGATGGAGCTCGAGTTCTGCAACATCGACACTTCTTGCGCCGGGCCTGAGAAAAATGAGAAGTACCCTCTCGTTCTCTTCTCACACGGACGAGCTAGCTCAAGACTTGCGCATGGTGTGCTGGCGCGGTCTCTTGCTAGTTATGGGCACATCGTCGTCACTCTGGACCATACGTACGATGCCGCAATCGTTGAATTCCCTGATGGAATTATCAGGTTTGCGGAGAACGCGACGAATAGCGACACGGCTTACGTTGAGAGCCTTCTCGAGGTGAGTCTACTCTTGCAGAACCTATCCATGTTGAATCGAAGATACTAAACATCGCTATCCCACAGAGTCGTCAAAAAGATGTTTCTTTCATAATCGACCAGCTTCTGGACCCTTCGGTAGCTACACCGCTCCTCGCTGGGACTCAGGCTTCCATCAACCCAGAGAAGATCTTCATCGCCGGTCATTCCTTTGGAGGCGCCACGGTAGCTTCATCCCTCTATGTCGATGACCGCATCCTCGGCGGCCTCAACTTCGACGGTCAGATGCTCGGACCAGTCTTGGCCGAGGGAATCGACAAGCCCCTAGTGCTGGTTGGCACGCCGACGACGTTTGACTACATTTCCGGCTGGAATGAGATCTGGGCTAATCTGCGCGGCCCGTCCTTGATATTGGTCGTCAACGGAACAACCCACATGTCTTTCTTCGACGCTCCGCAACTTCCGGCCGTCAAGACTTTGCCCGCAGAGTATTCTGATCTCATCAAGCAGGTATTGGGCACCATAGATGGCGATGTGTTGGCCAAAATTGAGATCGAGCTCTTACGGAGGACATTGGACTTTGTCTTGGAGGGTAAGAAAGATGTGCTGTGCAACATTGAGAGCGTCGGCCCTGGTGTTGGCCAGCTGCGAGTCAAGAATTTGAAGTGCTCTTAAAAGAGTGCAAGTAGTGTTGGGAGAGGGACTCGCCACTCTGTGCTTTTAGAAACTCTGCTCAACAGAACAACATGTTCTCCCCTCAAATTGAGTTTATTCATCTCGCCAACTCAAGTATGCAGCACGTTGGACTTCGTTGTCAAGGTAGGTATTTCAGGTTGCGATCGTAAGTGGCTACGTCCGAAGGTACTACTCTCTGACCGAGTTGAATCCAATATAATCAATGGGAATTTTTTGGTCTACAGGAATGACTGACATAGAAGAGAAACCCCGCGCCCCTATTGCGTCAAGAGAAGCTCTTTGACCACCTGACTACTCATGCCGATCAAAATATAGGCAAGCCCTTACCATCATAAACAGCCGTATTGAGATTTTCCTATGTAGGCTTCCAAAGATATTTTCATTAGAGAAAGTACCAAAAGAAGCATCCGGTAAGAGTAGTAGGGCTGGGTGCGATAGCCGTAAGAATAAAAGTTGAGGATGTAATGGCGTTTTGGGTATTTGAAATGCATCTCGAGTATTGATAAAGAAAGATCTTTAAGACATTACCTCAAAGCTGTGCTGACCTAACATTCTTAAGTCCGACCTTGCTGGTACATCTAGATCCTGAGGAGCCTCTACGATAGAGGCCCTTCGACTGCAAGTATCCCAAAACATATCACCTTGAGTTCATTTCTGTAACTTCCTTGGGAAAGCCTTGATCAAACCACAACATGTGTGGCATCCTTCTCTAGCTCAATGAAGCACAAATCTTTCGGAAGATCTAGGCGAGGGAACCGATCAGCAGGGAACGGCGAAGTTTCTCCTGTCCTTCGGTATCCACAACGCTCATACCACGCGAGCAACTTCTCGCGAGATGAAAGGGCATTCAACCCAAAATTCTTGATGTCGTAATGCTGCCAAGCGTATGCCTCGGCAGAAGCAAGAGTTTGGCGCCCGACACCGCTGCGCTGCAGCTGGGGATTCACGGAAAGCATGGCAATACGGGCCATTTGAGCTTCACGCTTGAAAACGACTTGAACCGAGGTCGCAAGGACGCCGTGGTGGTCAATGCCCATGAGGACTACTGCATCCGGGTTGTTGATGGTGGCGAGGGCCTCATCGGCTGAGTAGTGGAACGATCTGCCGAGTTCCATGTCGGCCGTCCAATCTGCTCGGCTGTCTTCGGCGCGGAAGGCGGCCTCTACGAGTTGTGCGACTTGGGGAGCGTCGTCTTTGGTTGCACGGCGGAAAGTTACGTGGATGAGGTCGTTCATCTCAGCCATGTCTGATTGCGTGCGGGGTTGTGAACGGAAAATTAGAAGTGGTTCGATGTCGAAATGTTGGTGAAGGAGACGAGTGAGTATTGCCAGATGGAACAATTGGAGTTTTTATCGAAAAGCAGGCGAAAGGACCTCCTACCAAAAAACCCGCATTTGTGATGTGGTTTGAAGGGCGTTTGTCGTGACGAGTCGAAGATATTGGGCAGGCAATTCGTGTAACGGGAAGGGCGTCCATCTGTCAGCCCAATAGCAAGGGCGCAGTGCTTCTGCCTGAAGTTGCAAGAAACCCCCGCAAATAAACGCCAAACACAGGCAACGGCATAATGAGGGCTATCGGCCTGCTGTTTATTGTTTACGAAACCCAACCCATTTCAACCAAGAATACCGTCATGTTCAGTTCGAGAAAATACGTTGCTCGCCTGCTTGTAATTTGCAGGACTTGAAGTGGATGCAAGCCCTGAAATGCGATATGTTGGTGTGACTTTATCAATCGGTCGATGTGATGCTGTTGCAGCCATTGGTCTCGCTTGTGGGTGAGCATACAGATCAGGATCTGGCTGACGGCCGTTCATAGGTGGCATTGTTGAGTTCACTGCTTCAAGAAAGCCTAGACGCGTCAAACTTGTATTCAAAGTTTCATCGCCAAAGGAGAAAATTGTCATTAAGCAATCGGAACTCTCAGCTTTCAATAGCAACATTAACATGTACGCCTTCTATATATTTACATTATGTCTCGGCCCAACTGCTTGAGGTATTATGTACTGGAGGTATGTTGAATCTAATTTGCGTATGCCTGGATCATGTATTCATGTACTCGCGTAAACGTTTCCTCTTCCTGAAAATGACTCGCTTGAAAAGACAATGCACCAATCGTCGCGGTGATTAAACAGGGCCAGCAACCACCAACGAGGCAAGGACAGTGACGCCTAGCGATGCCACATTCCATGTAAGAGCCCCAGCCGCGTTCTGGGATGTCGGAGTAGGAGAGGACGCAGATGCAGCATCAGCAGATGTCGGGGCTGCCGTGGTTGATCCTCCTACAACCGACGATGCTGCAGTAGGCGTTGCGCTCGCCGATGAGCTCGAGCTCGCTGGTGCTGACGAGGTCGACGTCGCACTGGTCTTCGAGGACGATGAGGACGTCGTAGTGTCTGCCTTGCCAACCATCTCCTGCACCCATTTACCCGCGTCGCTGGAGTACACATCAAAGTAATTGAGGTGGTTGGCCGCGGTGTCTCCGCCGGCGCAGATCGGATCGGATTCAACACAGTACGAGCGCATCACGCTGGAAAAGGCCCGCATGCCGGCGAGCTGGTTCTCCGGTCGTGGAAAGAGCCCGTTGTCCGGAGCTCCCGAGAGATAGTTGTACGGCTGACTGGCCGTATGTCTTGTATCGCCAAAGATGAGCACAGCAGCCACTGTGAAATATCCAGTATTAGCAATCTCCCGCCTTCACAAGTTGTGACACATGTAAACTTACGTTTGTTGCCGGGCGCCTTTGTGGCATCCAACCCAGCATTCGCTTTCTGCTGACAACCCTGGAAGAACGTACCACCTCCACCACCCAAAACGTCACCAACAACATGGCCGCCCTGGGAATACCCGCTCACAACGAGCTTCGCGTCCGGACAGCGCTTGTTGTACGCCGTGATCTGCGCGGTGCCATTGGCGGCGCCTTCTTCGATGGACTGGCAGTAAGGCGCCTCGAGTGGGTTGTAGAACTGAATGTCCTCGTAGTCGCAGCTGTCGAGCCCGTCGCAGATGGCGGTGACGAGCTTGCCCTGGCGTCCGGGGTAGGGCTCGTTGTTCCCGCGCGCGAGGAAGATGTGCACGCTCTGGCAGTTTGCGTCGCCTGTGGCCTGGCGCGGGGTGACGACCGCGGTACCCGAGGTCAATGGCAGCGCAGCGGAGAGGAGGGCGAGAGCCGCTGAGAGGGACGAGACCATCGTGAGCTTGATCGAGAGGCTTGCAGCGGCCCGTTTCGTTGTTGGTGACAGAATAGCGAAGAGGAGCAAATGTCGGTCAACGAATTGAACGCACGCGACATCGGCTACCAAGCTGGTTTTAACAAGTCCCTCTCTTGCAATGGACTCCCACCCCTTGCGGTTAAGGCTGGAGATAGATGAGATGCCCCAGAGCCGGCGAGCCGGTGGGTGGCATTCCGGAGGCCGTCCGTTACGGGCAAATACGAGTCAACGATAAGCCCTGATCCACCGAGGTCCAGGGATCCCAACTGTCGCAGCCCCGGTCTATCTGCCATAGCAACGTCATGTTCTCCTCTGTGTTGGAACTTAGCGCTGTCAAACAAGGCCTTGCAGGTTCTAACGGACGAGACGAGCAGCTGAGAAGCCCTCCTGATCGCCCGGCAAGTGGGTATTGTCGGGCTCCGGCCGCGACGAAGGGACAAAGACGAAAACAATCATGAAGTCGAATCGTTTAGCCTTCAAGAATTACAGAGTGTGGTTCATGGGATGAGTCGCTGAAGTGGTTCTCCTTAGATGATAGTTTACAAGGAACAACCACGACCGAGAGCTGGCACTGGACGACCACTGATATTGGCCCAATGCGCTTCGCTTTGGAGGCTCTTATGTTGACGGCGACCAAAATAGACTGGCGGAAGTGTCGGATTGAGTGTGGCTGGTTTGTCTCGCGGTGAACATGGATCAACGAAGCTCGGAGCCCGCATTCAGGGCAACGGGAATCCCGACGCGGCACTTAAGCTCGTGGAACCGCCGCTATTCGGTGAGCAGAAGTTGCCTCTTTGTTCAACTTTGGGTCAATGTTGAGTCGCTCAGGTTCATCTAAATCAATGCCATGTTGACAGTTGAGCTCAGATGAATTGCAATCCAAGGCTCCGGGCAACCGAGTTGATTTGAAATTCAGCTGCGACTGCCACATTCGTCAAGCCTCAGGGCATTGTCTCGCAGTAAAGGGATGCCGAGTGGGATGAGAATGCCGCAAACGAGTTATTCCCGTTACGAAAGATACCTCTTTTTGGAAACAGTCGACATTGATCCTTGCAACAGACTCTGGCTTCGAGGTTCTGTGCTGCTATGATGATTTAGACTTTAGGTGCAAAATCCAACTATATTCGCTTCACGATGCACTCTTCAAGTCGCTCTGAGATCCTCAAGCCAGGTTCGTGCCAGCCCAATTGCTGTGCCCAACTGCCCATTACCCAGAAGTGAAATCAAGCGTTGCATTGCCTTGCATTGCCGGGACGTTACACTGTCGATCCCGTTGCAAGGCAGAATGGCACAGACTGAAAGCTTGGCAAAGGTAAGCTGAAATCGCATCATTGAGAACGATAATACGACTGCATCAATTCATCTACCTTTGAACGTATCCCGAATGAATTTCAATGCCCACACTGCGTTTACGAGATTCGCTGATTACATGGTCGCAAACAACATCTTGGCATTGAAGAGTTGTGGATGAGTTCCTCGGGATGCGATAAAGATTGGGTTTAGAGTGCCCGGTTCCCCATTGCGACCTTCCTCATCCTCCATCTCGACCGCTTCAGGGGTACCCGCAGAGGTGCGCCATCATGCCATCCAAGCAGCATCGCACAATACGAGAGCGAGATGGTGGCGGCGCCACGACGACGACTTAAGGTGCGGTTCGTCCCGCGACTTTATTCTGAGTTGTGGTGTCTTGCTTCTCGGACTTTGTCGCCATCTTGACAAGACAGGAGGACAACCCGCCAGCCAGCCAGCCACGATGAAGTTCTTGGCAACGACAACCATCCTCACATCCTGGGCGACTCTTGGCGTCAGCGCCGCAGTCCACGAGAGGCAGACTACGAAGCCTCTTGTCGACTCCGCGAGCTTCCAAGAGCAGATCACTAAGGAGAAGTATGCCTATATGCTCAACATTCCCCTCTCTCTCCCACGAAACTCATTGCTAACATGATCACAGCCTCCAAGCCAACCTGGTCCAACTGAGCGACATCGCAACAGCAAACGGCGGCAACCGCGCCTTCGGCCTCCCAGGCTACGCCGCCTCCGTCGACTACGTCTTCAACCGCATCTCCAGCGCCGCTGGTGCCAAGGTCTGGAAACAGGATTTCTCTGCCACCTACAACACCGAGCTCCGCGCCAATCTCACGATCAACGGCGAGAAGTCGACCATCTACGGCCTCTACGGGTCCCCCGACACGCCCGCCGAGGGCATCACCGCGCAGCTCGTCGCGGGGCCAGAGGGCACCGCCGCCTGCGAGGCCGCTTCGTACGCCAACCTCGACGTCAGCGGCAAGATTGTGATTGTGACGGAGTCGGTGTGCCCTGGGTACCGAGATGGGTTCCACGCTGGTGTGATGAAGCCTGCTGCTGCGGCGGGTGCGAGTGCCGTGATTGTTGTCAATGACATCGCGCTGAATCTGACGGCTGGGAACCTTGGTCCGGCTGATGATGGGACGTATGTCCCTACGGGCTTCGTCAACCAGCACATTGGCATTCCGCTCCAGACTCGGTTGGCGGCCGGGGAGGTGCTGAATGCTTTCTTTTGGGCGGCTGAGGTTGTCGATAGCCGTGTCACGCAAAACGTGTTTGCTGAAACGGAGGGTGGTGATGAGAACAACGTGATTGTAGTAAGTCATTTTCGCCCTGGATAGTACCAGCCAGGCCTCTGACGAGTTTGCAGCTCGGCGCCCATCTGGACAGTGTTGCATGGGGACCAGGTATCAACGATAACGGTAAGAGAAACCCCTCCCATTCACGAAGCCCGTCGAATAGTTCCCGAATACTCACACATATCAGGCTCTGGAACCTCACTCCTCCTCGAGCTCTTCCTGGCCCTCACGAAGTACACCACCAACAACAAAATCCGCTTCGCGTGGTGGGGTGCCGAAGAAAAGGGCCTCGTCGGATCCCGCTACTACGTCAACAACCTCGCCACGCAAGAGCGTGACAACATCCTGGCTTACCTCAACTTCGACATGGTCGCTAAGGGCTACTACGGCGTCTTTGATGGCGACGGCGCGTCTTACGGCGTCCCTGCCCCGCCTGGCTCCGACGTCATCCAGGAGCTCTTCACCGCCGACTTTGTCGCCAAGGGCATCAATGTGACTGCCGCGAGGTTCACCAACGGCAGTGACTATGCCTCCTTCTGGCAGGTCTTGGGCAAGCCCATAGGTGGTCTTCACACGGGAACGGGCTCTGCGCAGGATCCCTGCTATCACCAGCCGTGCGACAACATCAACAACCCGGATCTGGACCAACTGACGGTCAATGCAAAGGCAAGTGATTCGAGCTTCTTTATGAGATTTATTGTAAAACTTCGTTACTAACTCTCATGGACAGACCACTGCTCATGTGCTGTCCGCCTTGGCCCTCGACGGAACCAACCTGATCAAGAAGCTGACCGCTCGCGTGCTTCCCGCCCGTGCCGCTATGGCTGAAAGAGTCATCGCGACTGTGGAGGAGTCCGAGGACGAACATCACCATTGCTAATTAGGCACGGTAGAGACAGTAAGCCGCAGCGAATTCAATACCTTTAATGAGGAATGTCGGCGGTTTTCCACTGTGATGCCTGCTCTTCGATGTCCCCTTAAGGACGACGTTATCTCCCGTTCCGTCTCTTCCGTGGCGAGTCAATTTTTGGCCAACGAGCCCACGGTGATATGCGTAGTATGTCTTCTGGAGGCCACTGAAGGTGAATATTTCAGAATTTGGTGAATACACCCGCTCCTCGAGCACGTCTCAAGCGGAGGTATCGGCCATATAAGAGGGGCTGCCACACACAGGTTTATTGGGATGACCAGTAAAACAGCATAGTCCAGTGTGGCAGGGCTTGCAGAGAGGCTCCCACGAAAACCGAACCCGGCGTGGATTCCGGCTTGATCAGTCTGGAGTTTCGAACTTGTAGGTTCACGACTATCTACGACTTTGACAGAGAGTCATCATTGCTCGTCGTTGGGATGGTATACGGCGGTGAACAAGCCGCTGATGGCGAGAGTCAGCTTGAGACAAATCAATCCTCTCCCTTGATCCTACAATTGGGTGGCCCTAGACATTGTGTTTCCGTGACATCACGAGCTCGGATAGATAAAACGACCAGGTGGTACAATGACGACTGGATGTTGCGGTATATCTCAGACCCATCATCTGCTGACTGCGTCCACTGTTATATACCACCCGAAGGGTCTAGTAATCAATGTGTTTGAACGCACTTCGCCATGGCAGACCCAAGTATGGTGCCTTGATCACCGACCAGAAAATAGTCTCCAGAAACCATCGACAAGCCCCCAGGAGCCCGCATCTTCTTCTTTATCCCCACCCGTTCCGCCTTCCTTCCTGGGGGTCTCTGCCTCCTTCATCTCCGCGACAGCAAGCTTGAACCCAACCCCCAGATCACTCTGCATCCTCCTATGCTCCCGCGCCATTTCCTCCCTCGTCCGCCTCTCAAGCTCATCCAGCTCCTTCCTCCGCGCCCCAATCTCACCAAACTTGGCCTGATACTTGACCCTCAGCCCTTCATTCTTCCGCTCCGAAATCGCCAGCACCATCTCCATCTCTTCCCTCAAAGCGCCTAGCTTAGCCAGGCACTCGCCCTGCCGCAGCAGCTTCGCGAGGCTCTCTGCGTCAGCGAGGTACGCCTTCACATCCGCGACGCAGAGAACCTCGCGATGAACGGCCTTGTGCCGAATTTTCTTGATCGATTCGAAGAAGGTGTGCCAGTCTGTATGCGGCAGCGGCGCGGTTTCAGCTTGAAATGTATCAAACACCTCGTTCTTGAAGATCCACATCCACATCTGTAGCTCGACACATTCGGGCGACTCCCATTGTCCTGCTTCCAGGATCTTGGGGTGCGCCTGCTTCGCGTAGTCGAAGCAGGCCTTCTCTAGAAGGGTTTGGATCTTTGTGAAGAGAGCGTGTTGGGCTTCGTATGATAGGAAGGCGGTGCGCAGCGCGGGTATAGTTGCGGCCTCTATAGGTAGCTGTTGCGCAGTTGTCGTTGCCGTTGACTCGGCGATGGCGGTGTCGCTGCTGGTCGTGGTGCTTGCCGTGTCGCCCATCTCCGTTGTAGCCTGACTAGTGTAAGACCCCGGATCTGCCATACTTTCTTCAGCCTCTCGTCCTGAACCACCCTCTTGCCTCGTAGCCTCCGACGTCTCTGGCACATTCGCCGGTGTAGCTACTACTTGTGGTGAAGGCGAGACCTGTTGAAAGAATCGAGGAAACCGCTTCTCAGCTTCCCATCTGCTTTCGAAGATCCTCTCCTTAAGGAGTTTCTGGCACGTACTGGCGACGACTGGCCGGGAATACTTCAAGTCCAGAGCGTTGATCGCTGGGCTCAAGCAAGCGTGAATTCTGCGTTGAATGGCGTTTAGGCGACGGATCTCGGCGTGCTTTATGAAGAAGACATGTTGCATGGTGAGGTAAATCTCCTCTTCCATCGTCGAAGCCATACTTGGGGGATGGGGTGTTTCCTGTCGTATATCACAAGGATGCTGTATGTACTCAGCCTGGTTTTGGAGGGCCGGAAGTTTGTTGATGAAGTGGATTTAGATGGTCTAGGGGAATGAAAGGGTCCCAGGGTCGCATCATCTTTCGACAAGTATGTATGTGGCAATGGGCACATTGGAGAAAGGTTTTGAGTTGTTGTTAGGGTACTCGGGAAAGGCTGGATCCAATGTCAGCCATAACTTCAAGAGAGAAGACCACCTTGATGGAGTGCACCGCAACGCTCCCACAGTAACCTCTCGACCCTACGGACCGAGATGCAAAGCGGATTCCTACCCGTTCTCAGGAAAATTAAATCAGAAACTCACGGAATTCATGGACATGCTCCTCAACTCGGTGATTCGCCTAAAAGATGCTGAGACTAGGACTCTGGTCGAGCATGGTAGATCACCGTAGAAGGTCGAGGAGAAAGCTCAAAAGCATGCGCTCACCGCGGTGGCAGGCCTATGACTTTGGAGAGATAGTTCCTCGAGATTATACAAAGGCTCGTTATTCAAAGTAGCTGAATGAGTTCCCTTGCACAAGATATTCATATGAATGAGGGAATGATGTCTCCGGTTTCCTTTGAGTCTGGTTTTTCCTTCTTGACTGGAGCCCGCCGTTGAGGCCTTGAGTTTGCTCTCCGGTTCTTGAGTCTAGTAAAGAGATCATCATCGTCATCGTCATCGTCATCGTCTTCATCATTCGTAAGTGGTGTGTTCGTAGCCGCTCTGGCTGATGGGATCGGTTTCGGAGCCGCTGTTCCTTCATTTGAAGGCGCCTTCGCGTCGGGTAGCCGCGCGCTGCTTGAATGCGTCGTTTGTTGCTGATTGCTGGGTCGGCTTTGGACCTTTGCATTGGTTTTTGCTGGGTAAGCCGATCTTGCCGGTCGGTTGTGTTCAGTCTCCCTCCTGATCGGAGCTTTGACGGGTCCTCCAAGGTCATCGCTCTCATCTTCCGTCGTCGCCTCATCCACCGGCGTCCTCCTCTTCGCCGGCGCCGCCGGCCTCTTGCTCTGAGAAGACCTCACCACGCCCCCAAACAGCCCCGAAGCCGATGTCCTCACCCCCGAATCCGTCCTCGTCAGCGCCATCAACGGCACCTCCTTCTTCTTGGGACTGTGCATGAGCCCCTGCAGCGACGTGCCCCGCCACGGCACGCTCGTCTCGTCCCCGGTGTCCTCGTCGTCGCGGCCGGCGTCCCTCTTTGCGCGGCGCAGCGCCTCGCGCTGCTTCTTCTTACGGAGCAGCTCTTCCTGGCGTTTGCGGGCGAGCTCGGTGAGGGACCCTACGACGGGACGGGAAATGGTCTTGATGGTTTCTGCGTTTTGGGTGCGTGTTTGGGCTTTGAGGCGCTGGTATTCTGCCGCGTGGAGGTGTGCTGTGAAGTGACCGGCGATCGTGACGAGCTCGTCCTCGACCATGCGGTACTTGTCGTCGTTTTCGAGACCGTCTATCATGAACCTGTGGATTTGTTAGCGCTGCGTACGTCTCAGGTGTGAGAATCGGGACAAGTACGTTTCCGTGAGAGGCTCTGGCGGTGGTGACGTCGAAGGGCTTCTGCCTATGAGAGTTCTAGGTCAGTGAGAGGAACAATGTGACCAGGCGCGACTCATACCTTCAAGGAAACCATTTGAGCGGGCTGGTTTATGATTCGAATAATCCAGCGGCGACGCAGCAGCTGTAGTTGCTCGAGATGCATCCCGATTTGGTGTCGCGGTTCTGCGAGGTGTCGTTGCAGTCTGTTTCCTCTGGGTAGACGTACGTTCTAGTGCATTACGGTCCCAGGGAAGTTGTCGCGTCATGGCTGAGATAGTGGGTGAACAATCTGATGAAGTGAGGCTACAGACTGTAAACTCTTGTGCTTTGAAGTTCTCAAGACGATCCTTCTTGAAGTGAATTAAGATCGATTGAGATGACTTATCATGACTGCCTGCAGTGAGCAATCCAATAAGGTCGCTGTGGTTAATGAAGCTCGTCGCGCCTTCCAGGTGAGACTGGGCGGATGTGCATGTGCACTGCACCGCAAATTATGCAAAGCCTGCATAACTATCTCCGAATGCACGCCCCGCATTCTGCATAACTGCTAAAGCATCAATAGAACTTCATCACCATCAACCGAACGAAATGTATTGCAGAAAAGATATCTTGATAGGGAAGAAAAAATACCCGATCCGGGATATGACTATTTTAAACGCTATGAGTATGCCCCATTTTATCTATCACCCGTAACCCAGCCCAGACAAAATACACGCATCACCAACATATACCCTTCAACCCAGATTGAATTCACTAGCCGCGTTCATCACAGCCCTCATCTTCATCTTCATCTTCCTCTCCATCTCGCTCGGCTCGGCACCAGTATCAATATCCTCCATCGCGTTGCCACCCGAGGGCCTGTTATCTCCTCTCCTCTTTCCGGCGTTCTTCTGCTTCATGACCGCCTTCTTACTGTCGTGGCCGCCACGTCCGATGCCTGATGGCGCCTCGCGCAGACCGTACGCCTTTGCCATGTGACCCAGGTGCAGCTCGTTGATGTCAAAGTAGACGCGCTCGTCCTTGATGTGGGTCGCGTACGCCCTGACGTGCGAGCGGAAAGCCTTGCGAGCCTCGTCCAGGAGTTTTGTTGCCGAGTCGAGCAGAAGACGCTGCTCAAGGTGAAGCTGCAAGTTCTCGGCGCGGTTGCTGAAGCCCCTGTCGGTCGCGGGCTGGGGCTTGGTGTCCGTCTCAACGGGGAATTCCATGCCTGTCGTGAAGCCCTTGTGCAGAATAGTGTCGTAGAGTTCGGGCTTGGGAGGTGAAGCGTTCTTGGATTTGAGGAGGTCGATGTAGCCTTCTTCGCAGCCAGGCATGAGGAAGAGAACCGCCTTACCGGGCTTACCGGCACGCGCTGTACGACCGATACGATGGACATGGTCGTCTGCGCTGAAGGCGGGGTCGTACTCGACTACGAGCTCGACGGAGGGCACATCGAGACCACGGGACGCGATATCGGTGGTAAGCAGGACTGTCGGGTCTGTACATTTACTGTAAGACGCCAGCGTTGCCGTACGGACTGGTTGAGGGAGCGAGCCGTGCAGTTTGTGGAGGACAATATTTGTGTTCGCCGCCGATGTGATGTACGCCGAAGACGCGACGGTATTTGCGGTCGCCGACGTTGCGTTATCGGTTGAGCTCTCCTCCTTCTTCGGCGGTTGGCGAAGGAGATTGAAGTGATAGTCGACCGAATCGGCGCAGGAAAAGAAGACAATGGCTTTCATCACCGATCCCTTCCTTGAAAATGTGGACTTCAGAAGTGCTATGAGCGTCACCAGCCGCAACTTGGCTGGCACAATCAAGTAGTTCTGCTTCAGTTGCGCCGGAGCCTCGAATTTGATCTCCTCGCCCTCGACATGCTCTTCTCCTGATGTAGTAATGTGGACCGCATCCTCCAGACTGATCTCGCCAAGCTTCTGAACGTTCATCTTCATGGTGGCCGAGCAAAGAACTGTCACGCGACGCTGCGGAAGGTTGGCGAGGGACACACCATTGGCTGTCTTGTCCGCCAGAGGGTTCTCACGGATCCTACTGACAATGGTGCGCAGTTCCGCCTCGAAACCCATCTCCATCAAACGATCGCCTTCATCGAGAACCAGCCACCTCACAGTGCCGACGTCGAGAGTTTTAGTATGCTCGAGGTGATCGCTCAAACGACCGGGTGTTGCGATTAGGATGTTCACACCTTTCCGCAGACGGCTCTTCTCAGAGTGTTTGCTCTCACCACCGATGACCGTTGTGCTGACCAGGTACGGCGGGAGGACCTTTGCGAGTACGAGCTCAATCTGCCTGCAAAGTTCACGGGTAGGCGCCATGACAATGGCGAACAAGCCCGAGTCTCTCTTGATCTGACCCTCAACCGACAGAATACGCTGGATGATGGGCAGCAGATACGCCAAAGTCTTTCCGGAACCGGTTTGCGCCTGCACAAAGGCATCACTGTCTTCCTTGATGAGTTGGGGAAGGACCTTGGCTTGGATAGCTGTCGGTGCCTTGAGCTGGATCTTGCCGGAGAGCGTCAACGCCAGTCGTCGTGAGATACCGAGGGCGTGGAAGCTGGCAGCTTCATCGGATAGCGGCGCGTTTGAAGGCTCGGCAGCCTTTTCCTCAACCTTCTCAGCACCAGGCTCATCGAAGACAGTCTTTGGCGTGGGGTTGTAAGAGAAAAGCTTCGATGAGATTTGGCCGTCTCTCAGCTTGTTCGCGATGCTGCCGGGCGGCATTTTCCCAGTCCGGTAAGCCGTCGCATGAGGATGCTCTGGCCGCGCACGCTTCGCCGGGCGCTCGAAAGAGTCGTCGTCGTCGCCAGGGCGGTCTGACCTCTGAGGTTTCTTGGATCCAGGCGTGTATCTTTGCGGTAGCGGGGCATCGTCTTTTGCTGTTGATGAAGCCTCTTTTTCAGTGCCTCTATTCGCAATCCGGTTGGCCTTGTTCCTGTCGCGCCAGCGACCACCCTGAATCTTGACATGGGGCTTGACAGGGCCGCTGCCCATGTCAAAATTGAGAATCATGCCATCGTCCGCCATTTTGTCGATGAGATTTTGCCGTTGGTCGCAAATCTGAGGCGCTGAGTTGCCGAGACTGGGTGGAAATTTTCAGGCAAGCAAAGTCTTATCGCTTTCGGGGTTTAGATAAGCCCCACCCCCCATTTTAGGTAGCCTCATGCAGGGGTGCTTGGGCCACTGTTGAAATAGGGTCCGTTTTTTTCCCACCTTCAATGGAAGACATCGTCTTGTACTCCGTAGTATCTGTCTGGTAGTTCCCACCTCTCATTGACACAAGACAGTCGAAGATAGTTATCTTCTATACCACGGTATACTCTAGGCCTACCTCCTAAGGAGGGCATACTCTTGTTTCTCCTTATCTCATTGAGAGATTGCTAAACATTGTTCTCTACTAATACTGCCAGATCTCAGTCGTCTGCGTCGAGAGTTCTTACTTCTCGCTTTACGCTGAGATGGTCTCGTGATGGCATCGCGAGATTTTGCCCTAAGCCTAGACTTGGCGTTCTCTTCATCAATTCTTTCTGGACCCCCATTGCGCTTCAGTATAAGAGTCCTCAAACTTCTGGTCTGTCTTCCGTGTCCGTATATTCCTCCCCGTAGCTTAGTTCGCCGAGAATGAGTGGTAATGGGTGGAAGTGCCCTTCTGAGGTACTAATTTGGAGCCGACCTCAAGCACGGGCGCGACTTCCACTTCGCTCTCTTCCACCGACTCAGCAGTATCAAGTTCGACTAGGAAAAGGACCTGTCTCGCTTGATGAAAGCCACTCCAGATCGCCGGCCTTCCGGTTTCAGTTAGGAAACCGAGCCAACAAATCATTAAATAAGATTCCCCTTCCAGAGGAGGGGAATTTTACTATGGGCCTACCTCTCTTTGGAACCATTCTTATTCTGTTTTTTCCTCTCGGTTGCTGCAATTCCATGGACATCGATATTTCGTCTCTCTTTCTTTATTACTAGCTTTGCGATTGAAGCGGTACATTACGTGTCTCTACACAAACTAGCGACTGGACTATGTATTCGAGATAACGGCGGTAACGAAATCCGTGGAAGCCTGAAGGGGAAGACGAACAGGGGTAGATGCTCATCCAAGACCAACGGATGATCTTCTTAGCCTTCCTTCATGGATCATCATCCCAGATGAAGAGCACTTTCGAGCCAAGAAGCAAGATCTCAAAAGATGGAGGGATACACAGCGGCGCAGCTCCGAAGAGGCACACGAGGAATCGTCATCGGATGCAAAGCTTCTGTCATGATCGGAAAGCTTCTCAATAGCCCTCGCATATCTGAAGGAATTCCAGATTCACTGTGCGTGACCTAGGCCTAGCTATTGGACGGAAGCATCCAACCACACGTTTGAATTTGACTTTCATGTCGGAGGCCCTCCACGCATCATGCACTCTTGAAATCAAATACACAAGAGCAATTCAACAGAGCAGTGGGAAGGTAGGTCTTGCCTCTCCTACTGGTATTATCACGCCAGTCCCGCGATTTCATGCCTCGCTTATCTCGTATGTCCACCGAAGGATTATCCTTCGGCCAGTTGACTTACCTCGGTGATGCACTCGATCATCAACCGCCTCGCGAGTAGAGTATTCTCTCTAGATCTCGAATTGGCCTATTTCGAACTCGAGCCCATTGAAGTACACGAATCATTAAAGGGAGGCTGTTTTCTTGTCTTGCTTGCGGTCTTTGTTTGGTGCAAACTGATGAGTATCCCGGAAACCGCACCCAAACCTCCAATGCTGTGCTACGAAATCGACGACGAGTCGCTCCGCCTGGTCCTCCAGATGCAGTTGGAGGACTTGGAGGACATCAAGGAGAGTAGCAAGGGCAAGTGCCGAGTGGACGAGATCTCTGACCTCGACCTGGCTGTCGATGCATACCACGCGGAACTGGAGTCGCAAGCTGTGCTCGCGGCCGCGGCGGATAGGTGTATGTGCAAGAGCATGGCCAAAGCAAATCAGTCCGACGGGCTTCTCATTACGATTCTCACGAAACAGGAGAACCAGGCCACTCGCGACAGAGAAGCGGCTATTCGACTCAGTAATGGGGCCACACTCGGCGAGGACGTGTCTTCTACGAATCTCCCCGTCTCGTCAGATGAGTCTTCCGCAAACGCGGAAGATGAGATGTTTTTACGAAAGCTCGCATCTCTCTACGTCTCTGTTGACTATGGTGAGGAAGAGAATGACGACGACGACGACGACGAGGAAGAGCCAGAGTCGTCATCGTGGGCGGCCTCCAGGAAGCAACCCGATGCGGTAGCAATCAGACCGACTAGGCGGGAGAAGAAGACAACATGCGACAGCTGCAAGGATGCCTACCACCCAATAGCAGTCGCTCAGCTTCCATGCAAACACAACTACTGCCGCGACTGCCTGCGGACCCTCTTCGAGCTCTCCCTCACAGACGAGTCGCTCTTCCCGCCGAGATGCTGCAAGTTGCCTATCCCCGTGGACGGAGGCTATGCCAGCGTTCTACTACCCCCGAAGCTGGTAGGGGAGTTCCGAGCAAAGGAGGTCGAGTTTTCGACGCCCAACAGGACGTACTGCCACAGGCCGACCTGCTCCAAGTTCATCCCCAAGGAGTTCATCAGAGCCGACGTCGGGACCTGTCCGCAGTGCCAACAGCAGACGTGCACGATGTGCAAAGGCGCCGAGCACGGGAACCAGGACTGCGCGCATGACACGCTGATGCAAGCGCTTCTCGAAGTCGCCGCCACCAACAAGTGGCAGCGCTGCTTCTCCTGCCGAAGGATCGTGGAACTCAACCACGGGTGCTACCACATAAGTGAGTCCTCTCCCCTCGTGTTACCCCTGCCCATCCATGCTCTACATCACGATGAGTACGACAAGTAGCTGAGCAAATGGTACCTTCCTAACAAACAAAACAGCCTGTCCCTGCGGATCCGAGTTTTGTTACCTCTGCAGCCTGCGGTGGAAGACATGCACCTGTGAGCTTTGGAACGAGGAGCGGCTCTATGCCCGCGCTAACGTGCTCGTGAATCGGGAGGCCGGCGCAATTGACTTGAACGCCGCGGCTAGAGCTCGACGTGTCGAGAGAGAGGCGCGCAACCTCGTTGCACACCACGAGTGCCTTCACGATACCTGGATGCGCCGCAACGGTAGTTTTCGATGCGAGGAGTGTCGCGACAGATTACCAGAGTACATCTATGAATGTGCCCAGTGTCGCATCCACGCGTGTCACAGGTGCCGACACAATCAACTATGAAGTGCATCGAAGGGAGAGGAAAGAGATGGGATATGCCGATTATGGTGTTCAGATCTTTCAAGGAACCTTGAGAGCACACTCCTTTTTCGGCTTGTTTTGGCTAAGAGGCAGAGCTCCAATGCTCCAATTAGGTAAATAAAAAAAATGTCATTTGAACCCAGAGCCATTATAGACTCGTAGATGAGGAATTGGCGTAAACGGCAAAAGATATTGCGGCCAGTGTGGATTGAACACACGACCTTCAGATTAAGTGATTGAAGTTAACTTCAGTCTGACGCTCTCCCAACTGAGCTATGTCCGCCGCATTTGATTGGTGATCCATGGGGTGTTGTGTGCTGAGTAGCGTTGCGCGTGGGCCCGGGCCCGCCGCGGCAGGACCGAAGAGAGGGGGCCCTTCGTACCCAAGAGCATCTTCCGTGCCGACCTCAAGCGTCCGGGTATCGCGAGGTGAGCTTCAAGCCTGAAGTTGTCTGGTTTTAATCTGCCCTGTGACTTCGAGGTAGATTTGCCGCAAGAAAGCTCTTTCTTGCGCCGGAATTTCTGAAGCATGTCGTCACTTGCGTGTAGGTTGCCTGGCTATACTGAATCCTGACCAGAAGACCAAAGAGCTCAAGCCATATACTTGTTTTTGTAGTGAACGTCTCCTCTCGAACATTCATGTACGCTACCTGATATCATACTCTTTTCTATATTTTCATGCCCCAAATTGTTCGCTTTTTGTTTTACTCTTCGGTCGATAAGCACCGACCGCACCTCTCAAGCCAACCACCCAGCATACGTACTCAACTCCTCCCGCCTCGCACCCTCCATCTCCCCCTTCACACCCAACAACCGCACCCTCGCCCCCTTCTCCCTCCCCCACCCCTCCAAGAACGCCTCAACCCTCTTCTGCGTAGCCTCGTCATCCCTCATAATCAAAGCCACAGCATCAAACCCGCCCGCGCCAGGCACGACCCCGCCCAACACGCCCTCGACACCACTGAGCGCGTCAAGCAGCTCCGTCTGCGACTCGGGCTCAATCGGAACACCGCTTCCCTTCCCCATAGCCCGAATCAACTCCCTCACGTCCGCAACCGCGCCGCCAACCTGATCCGTCTCCCCGTTCTTCAACGCCGAAGCAAGAGCCTCATTCTTGCCCTGCAACTCATCCCACAACGCCTTGCTCCCCTCCGCATCCGCCTTCCTCCACTCAAGCACCTTCTTCACCATACTCACCGTCTGACTCCCACAATCGACATCGCACATACGAAGGCACACGCCCGCAGGCAACCCCGTCCCAGCCTTATCAACCTCGACATCCCACGCGAGCAACTCATCCACCTTCCTTACCAACGCCTCCGAAAACCCCGGGCTACCCGCCGCCCCGAGATCAGAGAGCAAAGAGGGCGAGAAGCGGCGGTACCGACAGCTTCCAAACACCGCAGCCGCCACATCGAACCCGGACCCGACCTTTCCTTGGGCAGCGCAGTGCGCCGCCTGCGCGAGGTTGTGGAGCGTGTGCTTCCCGGCCTCGGAGTTGATGTCAAACAGCGACGTGGGAAGGTGGTGCGTCAGCAGCGCGGCCGTCAGGGAGGTGACGAGCGCGGCGGAGGAGCCGAGACCCGTCTTGTGCGCTTCGCCGATGGTGTGGGGGTACCGCGCGAAGCGGGTTCCCTTCTTCGCTGTCGGGACGGCGGTGCCGGAGACGGCGGAGTCCGGGTCGTTGGATGAGGAGGGCAGGGAGTAGTAGTCGTTGTCGGCGAGAATGATGAGGCGGGTTGAGGTGAGGGCGTGGCTTGGGCGCTGCTTGTTGATGCGGGCGATGTAGGTGAGGGCGTAGCTTAGGGTCGTCTCGACGAATGTGTTTGGGCTGATTCTGGAGCCGCTGGGAGGGAGGTTAGTGATAAGGTGAGATGAGTGAGTGAGAGTGAGGGTGAGTGAGGCAATGTGAGATCTGGAGTGAGTATGCTCGCTAGATGTGATGATGTTGATCATGAGCGGGGAAAAATTGTCATTCACATATGAGAGGGACGTGGCAAGCAAAGCACCGCGAAATCTCTCGCCCAGCTCAATACTCATCTGCCGCGCGAACATCTCAAAGACTTGCCCCTCATCAACCACATCCCACCAAAGCCCCGCACCAAAAACGCTTGAAGAACTTTGAGACACACAATTCCCCTCAACAGACCCCGCGCCAAGCTCATGACGGACAGACTACACAAATACCAAAAAAACACCGAAGGATCCGAAGGAAAGAGAGGGGAAGCAAAAGCGACTTACACCTGCAGCTGCGTAACCGTAATCCCGCCATCCTCAGGTGCGAGATGGAACCCGTACCGCCAGACGGCGTCGACAAACTGCGGGCTCTCGACGACGATCTCGGTCAGGTGCACGCCCGGAATGGTGTGGATCTCGGCGGCCACGACGTTGATACGCGCGCTGAGCCCAAAGACGAGGCCCGTGTAGGCCCTGTCCAGCACCAGGTAGCCGCCCGCCAGGAGGACCTTGCCGGGCGCCGAGACGGCCGTCGTCGTGGAAGCCGTCATTTTTTCTTTTCTTCGGGAAACGTGGTCTGGGGTTAGGTATCTAGTGGTATATACGTGTGTATTTACGTATGTATGTATGTCGGTGTATGTCTTTCGGGGTTGGGTCCGGTTTGTGTGAGGGGTATGTGAGATCTGTATCTCAGATTGCAGGTCGAGACGTATATCTTCGACCGTAATTCTCGCCAATTGAGTCTGTACAGCTATGCAGCTTGCGGTGGGTGAAGTTTCAACGCGCTTGAATATGAGGCACGGTTGTAAGTTGAGGCACAATGAGGGGTGGGTTGTGTGATGACGCAGGCGTGATGGAGGTGAGGGCAGCTAAGTAGTTGAAAGTTTGGGATGCGAAATCGCATCGTGGGAGGAACGGACGCACAGTGCTAATGATACGTGCGAAGGAGCTGATGCATCGACAATGCACTGTGTAAATCTCTGGTTCCATCCCAACGAGGAGCCTCAAATTATCGCCAAAGCTGGGCACAGTCGAAACGACAACCAGAGCTCCAGCTCCAGCGGTCAAACTCCCGGAATGAGCTCAAGGTTGCATACTGATCAGATTATAGAGGAAAAGCTCAATGTACTTCAGCACATCTTCATTATCCACATCTATTGAACACTACACACTGACAGCAAAACATCACCATCCTCACACTGCAGGCCAATTGTTTGAACAGTCGACAAATCTTATTTTGTTGGATGCTGCCGGTAATATACATACAGCAGGATCACATGCCCTCATGACATGTCGTCGTAAACCGACCCCCAGTACCCTTTCCGTCCATTCATGATCCTCTATGCTGCGTTGCGCTTCTATCCGGCGCCCTCTTTTTTATACTATGCTTGAGTGGGGTTGTGTCTATAGTTTGGGCCGTTGGCCGTCATCGCTCGCTTTCCGATACAAAGCCCCGGAACGGGTGCTCAGTCGCCGTGACCCTTTTGCTTCCGACAAACGCCGTACCGACCCAGTATCCCGATTATGGGGGTATAAATTCGACTTCCGGTTCAAACTCCAAATTCCAAAACCATGTGACGATATGAAATGCTTTCGGCGCACTGCCGTAAACCAGACTGGCCGCCGATCCTGGCCAGGCACCCTCAGTCCACCTACTTCAAAACACAACGGGGTATCAAGCAACGCGGTAGATGAGGGCAGTTACAAAGGAAATGTGTTCATCAAGGGAACACGCAGAGCAGCTGCTCAATGCGTGATTCGATGGTTTGACGAACAAGGTAAGCAAGACAGGTGTAGGGATGAGCTCAGTTGTGTGCAACAGCTTCCTCACCGCCGCCACCGCCAAGAAGCTCCAGAACCTTGTTGACAACAGCACTTGGGTAGCCGCGGCAGAGCATCTCTCCGACAACACCCTTGGCCTTCTCGCGCTCCTCGACGGCGAGGTAAGCACGAGTCATAGCCTCGTATGTGCTGGGCTCACGCTTCTCGTGGCCGACAGAGTCATAGATGGCTTGGGCTTTCTCGATCTGCTTCTCAGCGGCCCAGCCGTGGATCAGCGTGTTGGCGATGTAAGGAGTCATCTCAACGCCTCGTCGGCGCATCTGACCAAGGATGGCCTCAGTGTCGACAACCTTGTGGTTTGCCACCATTGCCTCAAACAAGGCTTGGAAGAGGCTGGCGTTGGCCGTGACAGCCCGGTCAGCCATGACAGAGTCGAAGACCTTGCGGGCGCCCTCCATGTCGTGGAGGTTGCAGCCGCGGGCGTGGATGAGAGCAGCGAAGTGGACAGCCTCGGGCTTCTGACCGGAAGTGCGGATGGCTTCAAGAACCTTCTCGGCAGCAGCCATGTCAACAGGCTCGAGGGTGGCGTGGGTGTCAACAAGAAGCTTGTAGGTGTGAGCAGTGGGGGCGATTCCCTTGGCCATCATGCGATCGTAGTAGGCAAGAACCTTCGCCTTGTCACGCTTGGTGGTCAGGAAGAACTGCATCATGCTGTTGTAGGGAGCAGGGCGGGCCTTGTAGTTGGGCATCGCCTCCATCTCATCGAACAACTCTTCCGCAAACTTCTCGTCGCTAACGCGGCAGAGAGCGTTAACAATGGTACCGTAGGTGACCGAGGTAGGCTTGATTCCCAGAGCGCGCATCTCGGCGAAGTAGAACAGGCAGTCGTCGATGCGACGAGCCTTGCCCAACTTGCCGATCAGGGCGTTGTAAAGAAAAGAGCTGGGCTCAACGCCCTCAGCCTTGGCACGGTGGAAGATCTTGACAGCCTCGGAAGCCTCGTCAAAGGTCTTGGCGGACTCCTTGAGGGTGGTGATATACAGACCGAAGGTATTGGCGGAGGGGGCAGCACCCATGGCAAGCAGCTCCTGATGGTACTGTTCAGCCATCTGGCGGTGACCAATGGTGAGACAGGCGCCAACCATAGCATCCAGGATGCTGGACCAGCCGTAACGGACAACAGCGTACTGGGGCAGCAGGGGAACATCAGTGCGGGCCATGGCGAGAATGTCGTTGCAAAGCTCCATCTTGCCCTCGCGGGAAGCAGCAGAGATCAGCTTGGCGTAGGTGATGTAGCGAGGGTGACGGCCAGCACGGCGCATGTTGCGGAAGCGACCAAGAGCATCGTGAAGTCTGGGGCCCTTGCGGCCGTGAGAGCCCTCGAGCTCATCAGAGATCAACGAAGAGCCCTTGAAGTCGGTGTTGTGCGCGTACGGGTCAAAAGAATCCTCAAAGCTCGAGACAGTGGCCGATGTGGTGAAGGGAGAGGCGGAGAGGTTCTGAGAAGACAGCTCGCGAGGATCGGTGATGCCACGGCTGCTCATGAACTGGTGAACAAAGTCAACACCCTCCTCAATCTCGTCAGCAGACTCAGGGTTGGCAGCACGAATGCGCTGGAACATGAGCTCGGATTCGGCCAGACCCTCAGCAACTTGGCCAGATCCAATCATCGCAATAGCGTACATTGCAGTGGGTTCGATGAGCGCCGGGGTAACCGGGGTCTCAGGAGCACAGAGAACGTGCCAGTAGCGAGCTGCGGAAGCAACATCGCCCTGACGAACGCTCAAAGCAAGAAGTGCCATGGCAGGGGTGGCAATCTGGGGGAAGTTGATAGGCAGGTTGGCGAAAGCAGCGACGGCGGTGTGCTTGTCGCCGTGATCCGCAGCGCGAGTGGCAAGGCTGCCCATAGGGTCCGCTCTGACCTCAGCCTCGACAACCTGGGCCCAGCGAAGGGCCTCGTTGAAAATGCCGCGGTCAGTGAAAGCCTTGACCATGCCAGAGCTGACAATCGCATCCTTGATATCGCCGGCGCGGACACCATATTCCTTGATAATCTTCTCGTAGAACTTCATCGCGCCGTCAACCTTGTCGGAGATGATGTAGGCGTGGATGACAGAAGCGTACACTTCGGCGTCCAACCTGTCGTTAAGGGTAGGCTCGCCGTGGTCGTTAGCAACTGCAAGGTCCTTGTACTCGTTGTAGCACTCGACCGCGCTGACCAGGTCGCCGGAAGTCGCGAAGGCGGTGATCATGCTGGGGAACATGGCGGCGAAGGGGGTGACGCGGTTCAACTCCATGTGCTCGTACAGGCGGAGCATGTCGGTAACACGCCCAGCTTGAGCACAAGCAGAGATGAGCTGGTGGTATGACTCAGCAGAGTAGGACGCCCTCTGGGTGAGGACAGACTTCTCAAACATGTCCATGGCAAGATCGAGCCTGTCATCCTCGGAAAGAATGGCATGCTCGAGCTCGTGAGAAGCGAACATGAACTTGCCGGGCTCATCCATGCCACCGAAACGCACCAACTTATCGTGAAGAGTCTTCTTCAGAGAGGCAACCTCGAGGGATCGGGCGGCAAGAAGACCAACAAGAATGTTGTAGGTATCGCTGTCCGGCACAATCTTGCGGCGGAGCATGTCGGCGTAGACATCCAGAGCCTTAGTAACCATCTCGTTCTTGGCGGTGGGCAAGTGAATGGCGGCAACCAACAGAGCGTTGTAGGCGCTCGCGATAGGCTGCACGCCGGCGACGAGCATAGCCTCGAACACGGCCGGAATCTCAGCGTAGCGGCCATCCTCAGAGAGCTTGTGAAGGTGGTCGGCGTACACCTGAGATTGAGGGTCGAAAGGAGGAGTGGCAGTTCGGGCTACGCTGACGGGAGTCCGCGATCTGTCGATTGCTGGGGACTGGTATGAGCGAGCGGCGGAGCCATTGTGGGACGCAGATCGAATGGAGTGCTCAGAAGCCTCTTCCAAAGCTTCCATGCGATTCCTGAATTCGATTTCTTTCTCGAGTGCTGCGTCAATCTGCGCCAGGGCGGCCTGTGCCTCTAATGGGATTGGCGACGCTTCTCCATCTTGAGCGGCGGCGAGCTCTTCGGCATCGTGGGCCTTTGACTCGCCGACAAGAATGGAAGCTGGCGAAGGCTTCCACTCAATCTGGCGCTGGAACTGGAACTGGGTCCATTCCTTGTCGAGGTCTTCATCGGAGGCCTGCTGCTCTTGCAGCGCCTCGAAGTAGGCGTCTAAGCTTCCATGCTTAAGCTTCTCGTCGAGCTTCTCGTGGTGATGCTGGGGGAGGCCAGCACTCGTCCGCTCAGCGGTGTGGAAGGCGGACTGAAGCTGGAGAGACTGAAGACGACCAAAGCGGTTGGTGTTTCGGCGCGCAAATGAAGGTCGGTTTTGTGTGTTGAGGATGGGATGTGTGGCAGCTACGACGGACTGGGCGTAACCGTGGGTGAATGACTTTGCGAATCCTTGACGGATGAAGTTCTGGTAGAGGGAGGAGTAGATGGTGGGCATTTAGAAGACGCGGCGGAGGGGGGAATTCTGTATGGCAGGATCGTCAGTCAACTTGTGGTTTCCCTTGGAGTTGTTGCTGCATAAACGGTGATCGGCAAGATTTGCGCTGTGCTTTCCGCGTGTTCAGATGACACATGTTTTTTTTCCTCCTCCGTTTCTTGGAGGAAGCTGCGCATTTGGGGTTGTTGGTTGTTTCGCCACAGCCAAATAAAAAAAACGCCGGGCGAACGGGGATAACGGTACGGGCGACTCAGACAGTCGCCGGGGGTCATTGAGTGGTGACAACTTACATAGGGAAATATGAAGAGTCCGTTGCAGGTTCATTTGACAGCACTGTAGCCGCCAAATAAACGCGCGATCTGATTAAAGAAGGGTTATTGTATTGGGTATTGAAAAGCAAGAAGAAGGAGGGAAGCAAGATGATGACGGGGAGGGGGCCTGAGGTAGAAGTATTAGTCTGAGGCGCCGATAGATTTGGTGACTACCCGTACGGATACTGCCATCCACTACTGCGTTCTCCGTACCAAATGTCTATGGTGGCCGCAGGGGAAAAAAAAAGAGGTGCAGGGTATACCGATCGGTAGGGAGGTGGGAGTGGGAATGGGCCTGGGAATGGAAAATGGGAGAGAACGGGAGCGCGTTTGAGATCGGACGGAGTCGATGAGGCGTACTACAGCCGATGCAAAGGAAGTCACTTTTCCATGGTTTACAGTGTGAAAGTCGTAGCTGTCATTGTGGTAGGTACTTTGATGCCTCTGCCACCTCAGCTGGAGCTACTACGGATCGTCCACCGGCCACGGCTCTCGAATCCCTCCTTGGCCCGTCACGGCTGTCTCTTTCAGACTCTGGAAGGAATGGAGAATGGAACAGAAGGGGGGCCAGCTACGGGCACGCTAGACAAGGGCGAGTGGCAGGCCGCAGACCAGGGGAAAGGAAGCAAGGCGAAGGCGAGGGACTTCGCATACGGAGTACGTGGTGTAGTGTAGAGTCTCACTCGCACTTGCGCGCACTGAGAAGCCTGGGGGAGAGACACACTCGAGAGAACTTGGAAAAAATACCACAACAAGAATATGCGCAAAAGACTGGGGAACTTGTTCGCGTGGATTCGGAGCTCTCGCATGGACTGTGCCGACCTCGTCCAGTCATGTTGCGCGCTGACGGGAGAGGTGCGGGTACGTGACGGCCAAGGGTGGATTCGGGAACTTTAATTACTAAGGCCGTTGTGGCCGTCCGGGCGAGCAGCTCCTTCCAAGTTCCCAACTCCCAAGGCTCCAGTGTTCTTTCAGTGACTTACCCGTAGTATTGCTGCCATTTTCCGTGGGTGGATACATTGTGGCTACTCCTTGATATTAATGACTCAGGCAGCAAACCCCGAACTGTTTGCGACCTCTGAGTGGCGGCCACTCTCTCTAGCCTCGTTTTGCTGTGGCTCACTCCCTTGTTCACGCTTGTTGGGTTTACGGACCAAGCATTGAAAAAGCAATACTGGTTCATATTGGAATGGGCCCTTGACACATCCATCCATAAGATCTAGCTACGATACCGAGAAAGAGACTGAAATAGGGGGATGGACGGAAAGGTAGACACTAGGTGGCCTCAATGTCCAAATCTTCCCGAGATCTGCCCTCTTCCTTCCATTAAACTGTGCCTTGGAAGCTGACAGGTGACGACGGCGTGTAGCTTTACAGATAGAATACGGGATGAAATGAAGTCGGAGACGGGACGGATACGTCTAGTAGACGCCCCCGGGGCCGACTATGCGTGTCATAGGTACGGATACTGGACTCCTGGAGGTGTTGAAGGCGCAAGAAAGATACTTGTCGCAAGTTTGAAAAGCCCGTTCGGTCACAAGTTCACTTTGAGCCCCTCACCTCCCTCGGCTTTCCAAAATGGTTCCCGCAGCGAGATGACGACTCTGACCTGCCGCCTGAGGACGCGAGATTGACTGATCATCGCTGCGCATCAAAGAGGCCCAGCTATATTTGTGCTAAGAAACGGACTAAAAGCTGCGCTGGAACGTCAACTTGACAACGCCTTGGAACGCCTGAACGCACACGACCACCAAAAATACGGGGAAATTTGGGGCTGCATCCCAGGGGTACCTTAGAAAACTGCGTAGGTACGTAGCATAGGGGGCCTCCCAGGGCTCACGAGTCCAGGCGATTGCCAAATCAGGCCGATGACTCTTTGATGTCTTCCACCCAAATGGCCCCCCTTCTGCGAGAAGAAACCGGCACCAGTGTACTGGATTGCGTGGGGCCGCTTCAAGGCTGGAGACATTTTCGAACTTTTTGACAGAAATGCATGTGGTCTATCCCCAATGTTTCCCCGTGGCTGTCCAATCAACGTGAGGTTGAACGGATAGAAGGTACGGGATACCTGCTCCTCCCCTGGCAGAGCCAAGTTGGAAGGTCGTGGACGCGAATAGACGGTACCCGTGCCGTGACCAATCAGAGCCGGTGCAATGCTGGGAGAAGCCGGAAGGCGCGGGATGGTCGGGGAGTCCTTCCTGCCTCCACTCGGGAGCCACTCACCCAAGGTCAAGGAAGGACCAAGTGCTCAGTTCCGTCCTGTCGGGAAGCTGCCTACAGCCCCGCCCTTTCCATTCCGTTCCCACCCATTGCTGTGTTTCGCCCACTGAGGTACGAAGTGCCTCCGTCCTGGCTGGCAAGTGGCTGCACAACTCTGCACCGTCCACACTTGCCTCCAGTTCGCTCCCCTGCTCCGGTACTTCCCCGCCGGTAGCGTCTGCTAGTCGTCCCCATTGGTGATTCACCACCAAAACTCCCATCCTCGTACGCAAATTTTTCAACACCAAATCCAGGGGCCATGATAGCTGAGGCGGACCCTTTGCTCAGCTCCCACCGTCTCCTATCTCGATGATCGTGGCTCAAGGTATCCGTCACTGGTAAGACTGGCAGAACTGGACCAGCTTCAACCTCTGGATATCACGCATCTTGGACCTCCTACCTACGATCAGACATTGCCGACAATGCTTCTCAAGCCACAACCGTTGACTTCAGGTGAAGTAAGACTTAGCAGCAAGCTATGGATCGCCGCCGCCAGCAATACCACGGGCAAAAGAAGAAACAACAAACCGCCAGCATCATATTTCGACCCTTTTTTCGCATTCCCAAATTCCCCTCTCGTAACCCCTGGTTTGACTCCTTTTCCTGGGCTGTCTGAGACCCAACCTGCTACGGATACATAGTTTTCTATCCCATGCCCTTGGGGCCTGTCCTTCGTCCATCCCTTGCCTCCGCGGACGAATGGCGGCGCGCCCAAACTGACAATGTAATCTGCCCCTCCAAGTCCCCGTGGACCCTTTGCTTCAAGGGTCACTTACCGCATTTCTCTGAATCTCGAACACGGCCCGGAGATGGCGATGAGATCTTCATTGCCAATTGTCTCGTCAACTGGCAGCGGGAGCCATATTGGGCCAAAAGTCAAACTGGCCTGGCGGTGTGAAGCTTCTCAGGTTCCCTGTCGTTACTATGGCAGGCCGCAGACGGTTGTCAAAGTCGTACCCTAACAAACGCGACGCGTCGAGACAATATTGAGGAATCGACATGTCCCTGGAACCCCTCCTCCGCAATTAGAGAGGCACGCTCGTACAACCGGCAGCATTTCACAGGCCAATGGGAGACACACTGTTAACCGTGGCCGAGCACCTGAATTTCCCGCGACTCGTGGGGGGCGCCTCACAATCTTTCACATCACGAGGCCATTCCTCCACGAAAAAGAGCCGCCATCAATTCTGCGGCACGGCGCAGAGCCACAGTCTCACAGATCCTAAAACAGGATCTCGGTCAGGCACAAGCTCCCCCGCCAGACATGGATGTCCATGGATGATGTGCGCTGCAAGGCGCAGGTACCTACCTACTCGCCGCCGTTGGAACCCTTTAGGCTCCGAAGGCTCGCGAACACAGGCACGTCAGACTCGGAGGAACGGGCTTCTGGTTGAGCCGGCTTACCTCCGCCGCCACGGACTGAACGAAACTTATCCCCGCGCCTTCATCATAACGCAGCATCACACTCTCGGTTTGCCAACCGCCGCCGACGGGTTAGAGATACAGTAGTGCCACTACCTACCCGGCCGATGGTCCTGTTCCCGTCATTGCCCTGGTCGCGTCTGATGCCGTCACCGCGGTTCGACCAGGGAATTGCGGCTTATTCATCACCCGCCCCTAATGCGCTGCAACCTGCGCCCGTCCGGGGATTTCGCCTCCGCCTGTCACCGAGATGTGTCGGCTCGGGACTTCGGTGTGGGCTGTGGAGGATCGACGCCCGTATCCAGTCCAGCGGACTCCAACCCAGGCAGGTCTTGACAAGGTGACATGTTTGACTTCACACTTTTTCCCACGTGGGGCGCAGCCGTGCAAGTTCACAACGTGCGAGCGGGTGCCGTGCAGAAGCTAGCATCAGGGAAGACGCATGGCGCATCATTACATACGCAACATGCCGACTTGGAATCGCGTTTCGTTTGCAGTTTGCTTGCACATGTCTGCTCGTCACAGGTCTACTGTGGATTTACGAAAGGTGGCTCCGAGATGGAAATCCGATCATCTCGGACTATGCGTGGCTGTTGCACGAGGCACCAGGGATGATGCAAGGCTGAGCCTGCTGCATTGAACGACATACGCAACCCCCCTAGGTTACTGACAGGTGACAAACGGAACCCCAAACTAGACACGTTGTTGCGTATCTGCAGAGTAACAATTTCCCTTGCGAACTTGGAGAACGAAGTTGCAAGTCTGTCCTCTAAATCTGTTTCCACCCCCTTACTACGGCCAATACGTCCAAGTACCTACATGACTCCATGTTGCAATCTCGAAGCTCCCGTCGTTCGCCAGCATAAAGCATTTCGCATAATCCTAGGAATGTTAACCCACATGACGCGTACAAGTACATCATCTCGTAGATTGCTACCTTGGTATGGTGAGTTGAATGTACACATATCATGATTAGGTTCTCCCAAGCTTTAAACACCTTGAGCCGATGATATATTCAAGTTGTACGAGCAACATGAACCTAGCATTTCGCAAGGAACGCCGTATGAATATGCCATCATACCATGAACCGGTGACATCCGGAAACCCAATCGGTATTGCCTTCGTAATGGTGCTCTCGTGCATGTCGGCAGCTGAATGAGAACACCTAGGAAGCAAGTCCCTTCCCTGATAATGTTCGTTTACAGATCAGAACTCCAGACTCATGGGCAAGTATGAAGCTGTAAACAATCATTACCAAAGCCCTGAGCGTATTACGGGGTCCTATCACTGTTTCACCTCGAAGAGACCCGTGTTTGCTAGTACACCCCATTAAAGGGGAATCACATACGGAGTTATACTTATACGGGGTGAGCCTTTTTACGCACGTAGTGCATAAAATAAAATAAAAACCAAATACGGGGTAAGCCTTTTCACGCACGCGATGACTTGAATATATGACAATCCAGTGTACAGAAATCAGACCGGTACCAGCGTTGAAGCTTGTTTTGGTATTGGCCCTTGGTGCAATAGTGCCGAATCTCGTGTGGTTGTGTCGAGGTATAAGTATATGTATATATTGTATCCTGTAATTAAGTTATGATACCGTGTCGTAGGATTTCCATTGAAAACTAGAGAGAGACCGTCAAGTTCGATATTTTACGCCTGCACAGCCACGGGGGAAAACCACTACATATCGCATGTGTTGTCTTCCCCCCTTGAGATGCTAAACCGTCCTGTGTATATGTGAAACCCCTCAAGCTACTTGACTGCAGCCAGAGAACGCCCAGGTCCTCATACTATCATACCTCTTTCTTATGCTAGCAGGATTCTTATCCTTTTTTCCAAATCTACTATTCTACGTAGGTAGAAGAAAGGCAGTTTGCTCATACTCAGTGGATTACTGAAGTCCTCAACCGTTCACCCGTGTAGCCCACGAGTGTTTTCGAGGCGAAAGGCGTAGTAAAACGGCTGTGAGAATAAAAATGGCATCGCGAAGAGCATACAGGCCTCGTTAGCTTATAAATGAAAGATGAAAGTGGAAGGGTGGACTTCCAAGAAGAGGGATTGATTTGCTAGAACGTTGATGAACCCCTAGTATTTGCACAGCTTGATGGCACCATGACTTTCGCCCACAGTCCAAGGCCACAAGGAAGAATGCACAAGGAAGAATGCCATCGTATCATGACTTGTTGAGAAGCCCGTCCTAGATGGATGGTGGTGGTGATGATGAGGACGGAGGATGAAGGATCAAGGGTATTCAGCCTTTCTTGATCCAACTCGTGGGGAACAGTAGCCTCAGGGATTTCTCCCATAGATGAAGAGGATAATACAGGCTTTTTGGAAGAGAATGGCAAAGTTTGAACATCTGTGATACTCCACAACTACTGCGCTCAAAAGATGCCACATGGTGTCGGGCCTCTGTACCCGTACACCCTCTCGGGTCCCTCCTGGCAATCTTCGTAGCAACTTACCATGAGTCTCCTCACAGGCTGCATGCCTCCCTCGCAACGACACTGCGTAGGCAGATTGATATCGGTTTCCATACGGCAAAAGTTTGGGGAAATCATGGCTATATGAAGAGAAAGAGTCCTGGGGAGAACGATGGAAGGGCAAAAAGGCGGTGGTAGTCGATTTCAGTCATACACTCTATTGAAAGAAAACCACGTATACATATGTTTGTACAGGGTGAGCAGTTTTATATACGTAGTGCTCAAGATAAAATCAAACTTGACGGACATCACCCTCACAGTCTCTCAGCATTCACGAAAAAGTACCATCAAGAGACTGAAGTAAGTACAAGGGAGAGTACTTGATCACCATGGCATCACAAAGAATGATCGAAGGGAGCAGAAGTTTATTTGATATGATTGTTTTTATTTCTCAGGGTCGGACTTCAGTCTCGACATCTTCCTCCTCTCTCCTAGTATCTCATCCCTCGGCCTATGGCCTCCCTCGCGTACCTAGTGGTATCGTTCTTCTCCAAATAAAAGCAGCTCTCTCTCTGTCTCCAATGTGCGTATGACATTCATGTCATCGCCATGAGTATTCCCATCCATAAAACGCCATCGCTTGCTAAGAATGTTCATCCCAGGTATCGTAGTACCATGCAGTCGCTAGTAATCAAAGACAAGAAAAAAAAGTCGCTCAAAAGATCTTCCTCCGCACCAGCCTGGGTGGTTCCGGTTGCAGCTCCATTAGGTCCAGCTCTCATTAGGGTGTAGTGGTGGTAGTAGTGTGGTGTAGTGATGTTGTAGTAGTAGTTGATAGTAATGTTGTTCGACAAATGAGAGGTTGAGAGTTGAGAAGTAGTTGTGTGAGGACTGTAACCATCTATCGGTAGGAGCTGCCGACGGTGGAGATGGAGGCGCTGGACAGAACGGGCTGGATGGAGAAGAGAGGGCGGGCAGGGAAGTCGGAGTCGAAGTCGGCGATGCCGATGCGGCTGGCGACTGCTTGTTCCTTGAGCATGGCAATTCTGAGGAAGACATGTTAGTATATGGTTGATAGTTATGTAGTTTAGGACAGAAGACTTACTCATCTGCGCTGATGCCAGCGAGGTCGAGGTTGCATTTTTGGAAGTTGAAGGGAGCAGAGATCTCGGAGCCGCGCTGCTTGACCTCCTTCCGGTTGCGGCGGATCACCTTGTTGAGGAAGACCTTAAAGCCGTCGTTGGAGTGCATGGCTGAATCGTGTTGCATTGTGGATGGTGGTGGATAGCGAAGATGATGAGAGGTGGATGGTGGTATTATATGTTGGTGATGTGTGTGTAACTCCAGCGCCGCGGTTGGTTCACAGGGATAAGATGTGTTGTTTGTTTGTTGATGGTGATCGAAGGGATGATTCTTCAAGTTGTTGATGTTTAAGATTTCCGAAGATGGCGGGAAGACGAGTGGTGATATATCTTTCCTAAGTGTTCCCCCTTGTCTCGTGGATCTGGTCTGTGTTCCCGATAATCTTGATGTGTTCCTGAACGTCTTTGCTTTTTCTTCCAGCTCTCTGGTTCCTTGGTGTCTTGTTGGTGGAGTTTAGGCTCAGCCTTGGAGAAATCTGATGGTCAAGGGTATAGATTGGTTGACTTATTGGATCGTTGTTTAATTTGATTCCTGTTGTTGATTTGAATACTGGTGAGAAGAAGCAAGTAACGGGAAGGAGAGGGTGGGAAGTAGAATCATATATCTATTCCCAGATCGGTGGACTCACATCCATGGGGGCGTGTGGTGTGTGACGAGCGAAAAAGAAGCAAGGAGTGAGTGAATGGGTGAGTGAACGAGGAGGAGGGTGAGGGTGTGAGGGGTGTGGCCGCGCTAGCATGGTGAAGACGTGCGTAAGGCACGTACGTCCCCGGGAACGATCGCACGCCCCCTCCTCCACTGAACCCATTAGCTCCACTCCCTCCCCTCCAGGCTCTCAACCGTACACCCCGTCCCCGTCCCCGTCCGCCTCTCTGTCCTTCGCCGTGGACTTTCGGGAAGTGCCTCCCTTGAGGTGTGCCAGTCATCTCATCAGTGCCAAAAGCATCCGAGGGAGGACGACAGTCGGGGAGCGGAAAGGGTGGAGGATGGAGGGGTGTGCGTGTGTGCGAGAGTGTTCGAGAGAGAGTGATGTGCGTACGGCCAAGACTCAGAGTGAGGAGAGATGTGGGATGAAACTGCCGCGTGCAGAATCGCACTCCCAGGAACAACCATACTGGACCGACTTGACCGCCAGACTGCCAGACCGCCTAGGTGCGAACACAACGCATGCCATCGTAAAGTCGACCAAAGAAAAGTGTCCGTCCGTCGGCCGACGGACGCCACGGACGCGGAACAAGGTTAGGCGGGAGAGGCTAAGCACGATGGTCCGCAAGGATGTGGAGGAGAGGGAGGATTTTCGTGAAGGGGACAGGCACAGGCACAGGGTGGTGTGAGTGGGTGTGTATCCATTGCAACGGACGTAGAGGCAATGGGGGAACTAAGAAGCTACTGCCTACCGATAACGACGATGACTGCTACTACTACTCTAATGCCTTTGCTACAGATTCTCACTTGCTGGGCTAAATGCGACTTCTTTGGGAATAGTTCCGTGATGGGAATTGAGAGAGGAAGTGATATCGATGAGGCTTATCGTTTTGGGCTGAGCCATCGACGTTGTTGCAATATCGGTTGTTTGAAGAAGAGAGAGTGAGTGTCAGGCATCTTACGTGGGCTGACTGTACCGCAGCAAACGGGGACAACGGCATTAGGTGATTAGGCAACAGAGTTTCCGAATTCATTTTGTGTGTCAACCTTTGAATGATTACTTTGCTACATTACGTGACTGTACTCCCTGGTGAAGCAAAACGACGAAAACGAGCTGCTGCGAGAAAGTGACAGGTAGAAAGTAAAAGTTTCGAACTCCGTGTTTGGATCGAGCATTGGATCGGGGACGTCGGGAAATTCCCCAATCACGAGACGGACAGGGCAGGACAGGGCAGGGGGGGTAGGATCATCATCATCATCGCCGCGTGCGCGTGGGGATGAGAATTCTCCAGAGCTCCAGTCGCTCACAGACGGCCGGCCGTACGCTGATCGCCGAACCGGCAGCCCCCAGTTGGAATGGAATCCCCTGCAACCCTTGCCAAGATGCGAGAGCCTTGAGTGAGTGTGAGAGTGAGAGTGATAGAGAGTTCGGACTGACTGACTGGGCTGAGTGAGTGAGTGCGCAAAAAAAGAGAGTTGACTGCCCACCCTCACATTGAAATCTGAAACTCGGCGCCGTAAGGCTCACTCATACCTACTTCACTCACACACACTCACTTACGGCTTACCGTTACGTTCCGTCCGTTGTTGTAGTATAAAAAAAAAGAGAATTTGTTTCAAGATGGGGAGGATGGGTGTGTAGGTCATGGGTGTGTGGTGGTGTGCTGCTTCGTAACGCTGCTGCGCAATACGCGCGCAACGAGCATTTCATTTTATGCCTTTTTGTGTTAGTCCACCAACTCTTACGTGCGGTGCTGCGGTGCCGAGTGATGCGCAGTCGGCCGGTTCGGGGCTGGTGAGTGGACGAGAGATGACATCGCGGACCTAGAATTAGACACACCACACCAGCATACGCATACACACAGACAAGGACGCTGCTCTCCCGCACGGTTGGGTTGGTCTCTTTGATGTGACGATATTTCGCCAACGGCCGGCCGAGTGGTGTTCTTGCCAAAAAGGCCGTTGGCTTGGACGGGCTTTGCATACGGATACGCCAGCTTCCAGATATTCCAGAGCGCACGCGGGCCTTACGGCGCGTCATATCACGTCCTGTCGGCTGCGGACATTTTCTGAGGCATCACGGAGGAGCGTTGAAGATGACCGTGACCTTTTCAGGAACACATGAACATATGCAAGGCACCATGCAGGTCCCGCCCGCCGACTACTCGTCGCGCGCCGCGTCCGCGGGATTCCAGATCGAGCTGGGCCTGTAGGTAATCTGTCATCCTTCCTCTCATTTGGGAAACCCTACACTACTCTCCCGGCCGATGACACATCGCCGCCGCCGCCGCCGCTGCCGAAGCAAGGCGTGCCCCCCGTGATCTTGCTCCGGCCGTGCCCGCGGATCCCTCATCATCTCTACCTTACCCTTGCCCGCTGCTGCATTGAAGATTTGTGTAATTAGGTAAGAAGGGAAGAAAGAAAAGCGATCGCGAAACACCCCTGGTCCCCCGCCGCGCGCGCGCTGTGTGTACGACGCCCGCCAACCCAGACGGCCGGAGTCCGGGGGCCGGTGGGGGGGAGGAGGCCGGCGATGTGTGTGAGTGTCTGCATACTGCTTGCAGCCCAACTTAAGTTGCAGTGGGGGGTGTAAGCTCTGGTGCGTCCAAAAGTTGCAGGCATCTTCTCCTGGTGTTGCGCACGTAAAAGCCGACAACAGATTTAAAGTTGTATTGGGTTGGGCGTGGCATCACTGAACATGGGTACGAATTGGTAAGGCAGAGCATGGGTTAGGAAACTCAAAAGGCATGGGGACAAGGGGAGAGAGAGAGTTAGAGGGTTACAGCAGAAGCCCGCGTGATGCCGAAAGCTACACCACCTTCTTCACTAACTTCTCACGACAAAGTAGAGTTTGTCATCGGAGCTTTCCCTTCCATCTTCAGGCGACAGCGGCCGGGGCTGCGGCGACGAGACGATAGGGCTCTCACTCTCCTGCGGACTTTACGAGCTGTCTTGTTTGGGAGGGTCGTACTCCGTTCATGTCCGTCGCTATCGGCATCGCGATCGTAGAGTTGAGGTTACTGGTTGCCTCTCGCGATGATCGTTTGGCATGAGGCATGGAGCGTGGTAACGGGAAACCCGGATGTGGTAGTACGGCAACGGTTTCCCTAGTATTCTGAATCCGTACACTCTTCTCTGAGTCTGTATACGGGCGGCATCATCGTACGCTAGGCACTAGACACTCTGGTTTGAGCTTCAGACACGCGATCGACGAGACATTTGTACCGGATTCCAGGTTCGGAAACACGTCGTCGTGTGTTACGAAGTATTGAACCGGCCGAGTATGAGGTTGAGTCTAACATTCCTCTCGTCGGCCGTGGAAAGCGGGGAGCTTCAAGCATTCCAACACTCAATCCCGTCTCATCCGGCCATTCCAGCGTAGTATCAGTCCAGCCCTCAGCCCTGCTACTCCACGTACTCTCATTAACTGGATATCAATTGCTGTCCATTCTTTACCGCTTCTTTCTTCAGCAGAATTTCTAATGAGGCTGGTTAACATTCCAGCAACCTGTATCCGTACTAATTACTATCCCTGTCTCCGCCTACGGAGTACGCAGCAGCTGGAATGCGATGCGGAACCCCTGCGACAATGGTCAAACCCGTGCCCTCTGGGGCTGAACAATTTCGCAGGAATGTAATCAAGGACCCCTGACACTTCGGGCATTCCTTGGGTCTTCTTGCAGCCTTTTGCTCCGGACTCTGTGAGTCTTGGGTGGTTCTCGATGCATTAGCTGCATTTCTCTAGGCATCATCATCGTTTTCTTCACCAATGATACCAAGACTCTTGGCTTCTATTAATGGATCGTTTTTCTGTACACGTACAGCAGATGAGGGGGGTGAGGTGCAGTTTCTGTCGTAGTCGTAGTCGTCGTAGACGTGAAGCCTCCACAGCCTCAACGCCAAGCACTAGAACGGACTCACGTTTCGTTTGGAACACATGACCAGAGGGTGAGAGTGAGAGAGCGAGAGTGAGAGCCATAGCTTGAGCATTGGAAACATCTTCCAAGCCTCAACCGTTTTAGAGGTGCTGACACAGGCAAGCAAACAAGGCGTGGAAACGGGCGCTGGCAGAGACTTGTCAGCGTGTCAGAAGAGAAAGCACAGAGCATCCAGTCCTCAGTGTAAGATGTTTACCTAGTGCACAGAGCAGATACTGGACAGGTCTGGCACTCGTCGATGGCGTCTGTTTCTCTGCTTTCCCCTCACTCTGATCTCTGTCTTCCCGCGCCACATCCGCGTTTGCCAGCTTGCCCTGACAGGTTCTACAGCCTACAAGACCCGAACGTGCATGGAACTAACGCCCAATCTTGCCAAGTTCCAGGTCCCGTGGAGCGGTGAGCACCAAGCCGCTCTACCCTGAAGGGTCTAGCAAACGAAGAAAGATGGACGCTTTGGGACATGCCTGCGAGGGCTTCGTGGGCTTCTCGGCTTGCAGCAGGCGTACGCCCACCAAAGATGAAGAGGTGGACGAGGGGGAGAGGGGAGCATGGGGAGGAGCACTGGGGCTGTCGGACTGGGCTGCACATCGTCGGACTGAAGGGATGGGGGCTTAAATTGGTTGGCGGTTGATCCTCATCACCAAACGTCCATCACCGGGTTCGAACGCAGACGTGCGGCGTACCTTACCTAGTGGACGGTACTCATGTGCTGGCAGCTGCACACGGAAAACACGGATGGAGATAGGTGACCTACCTATATCACCACAAATGCATATACGATCGAGTTACACGAGCGGAACCGTCAGGCACCACGGCTTTTGCAAGCTCCACGAAAGCTGCATGAAGCTGAAGCCAAGAGGGTGTGTGAGGAGCAGAGATAGTTGCAGGGCCAAGCAAGACGCAAGCACTTACCTTCACAGCTTCTCACGCGTCTCACTGGTTCCGAGCTGGTGGGTTGTGAACCCCGCTGGAGGGGATGGTGACACCTAGATGATGGATTGATGATGACGATGATGATGGCGGTGAAGCCATGATGCAGATGATTTGAGGCTGACGATTTTCCTTATTCCGATACTGCGGTACCCGTACGCCTGCCCGTACTCCCGTACGTACGAATATCCGTAGGTATTGATTCCCAATGATTTGGAACGTATGCTTGCCCTCCCCCTGCCTTTGCAGATTGCAGCTTGCAGGCCCCCCTTGGCTGCAGACTCTCATCTCGCCCAGCAATCTGCAATAGGCAGATCATGGCGGGAAAAGGATTGCAATGCCTGCCATGCTTGCTTTGCACTCGCTTGCCCCTGCACGTTCGCGTTCGCCCTGTGCCTGGCGTACCTGGCAACCTGGTGGTCAACCGAGAGATTCTCTGGATCGGTAATATCCCCAGCTCGTCTCAGCATGTTTGCTTGTTTTCCTCACATACTCTTTTCCCTCCCCTTCAATATCGGGATTTGGGACGTGAATCCCTCTTTCAGCCCCAAACCAGTAAAATGATGTGCCATTTGCCAATTTAACCCAGCAAATAGACTCGATCCAATAAAAGCCCCTCTAGCCTCCAAAGCCAGTCAGTGCTGACAGTGGAGGGGGGCCACTCCTCTTCCCGATCGGGGGCTTTTTCAGCACGTATCAACCCCTGATCAGATCAATACACCTACCTAGTGTAGTAGTGAATACTCCGTAGGCCCTGCCAGGCTTGCCAGCTGGCTGGGCTCCCTCTCTCTCGCGCGTCCCAGGACAAGGGTTTGGCAGCTCGCCTCGTCGACGCCGTGTCCGCCAGCCCAGTCCCAGGCCTCGACGATCTGTGATCTGCTGCAAGAGAAGAAAATCCCCTCCCCTCACCCTCCCCCTGGTGGCTGCAAACCATTTCCATTGGATCGAACCCGACTGTTCGTTAGCGTCCGCAAGCTTCAGTGCGCCACAGCGGGACTTGCTCGGACTACCCAGCTGGAAAGAGGGGAGAGATCAAGAGAGGGGAGGGTGGATGATGGATCACAGATGGAGGACGCGGCAGAGGCAGGCGACGGCGTCACGGAAGCACCGCTTTCCAGATCAAGTGCCCTACCACAGCAGCTGAGTTACGGCCGAAGCGAAGGGAGAGCGAGGGTGGATACCCGTGAAGAGTGGTGGAGAGGGGTGTGTGATCTTTCTGGGACCTGTGATCTGTGATCTGAGGAGCTAGCTTGGATAGAGATGGTAGCTAGAGTACACAGATGGACAGATGGGTTAATAGGCTGGCATAGTTTGGGCCAGTTCGTGGGAGAGCGACATTTAGCCCAGCTTACCTAATAGACTCGACAGTCAACGGATGTGCGGTCCTTGAAGCCATCGCCAGCTTCAGTAAGGTACAGAGTGACACCTCAGAGCAGGATTAAAGATACTACGTACTGACTGACAGAGCCTCGTGAGCCTCCCTGACAGCGAATTGGCACCAGTCGAGCCAGTAAACTGACCAACTAGGTGTGGTGCAAGGCACGTCGCACATAGAATTGCACGCTACAAGATAGCGGCTGCCCCTAAGACTACCTACCTGGAAAGCCGAGGCCCCACCCTTCCCGCTCAGCACTGGCCTCCGGTGGCTTAACTAAGCGTCCCGTCTGGTGACTCCTTCTCCAGATCAGCGCTCTCCTCTCCTTCACTCCTTCCACCAAAGTGACTACACACCCCCGTGACCACTGAACCCCTCACCACCGAGAATCACCGGCTCCGGAACGGCCCCACCACTCACCGCCAAAGTCATTGGCCAATTCGGTTTTGATAGTGGAGACAACACACACCCGTCACGGTCGACTATCTCGACATCTTGCCCGATGCATCGATATCGACATGGACAAAAACTACACCAAGCAAGCACGGACGGATCACCGACCCAAGATAGCCTCAAAAGTAGTCCCCGACATGGCTGAACGCGGCAGTTGCTCTTGGCTTTGATGACTTGCCAAGCTCCCCAAAGAAAAGCCCAATTAACCCACCGGCAGTTTTTCACTCCCATCGCGCGGCTCTCTCCTATGGCTGCGGTAGTGTACGATGCACTCTCAAACTTGGCAGACACCAGCATCAAAATCATCGTATATTCCGTTTGCGGAAAGTTTCAAGAGTCCAACGTCGGGGCGCAGCACGAAAGCAGGGCAAATTCTCGTTTTTTTCTCCTACACTATCTCTCGCCTTTCTTCACTACGTGACTATTCCCATCCGCCCATCCCGCTCTGTAGTACCGAAAATCGTTTGTGCCACTGCGTCCGTACGGAGGAATCCCATCAAGGAAACGACTGAAACCTTCCGAGGTAATCCCCATCACCACTCTTTGCCGCATACGAACGACACGCCCTCCCACATCCCGCTCCTTCTTTTTCGCCTCTCCAGCGGCCGACGATTGCCTCCATCACCGTCACCATCCTACCTTCTCTGGCCGCATTCGAGCAAGTCGACGGTTTTATTGCGGCGTAGAAGAGGAAGAAGAAAAAAAAAGTCGTTATGTTTCCACAACGATAACAGTATGCCTCATGCGGTCTTCTTGTTGTTTCGTACACGTCCGCAATGAGACACGATTCCCAAAGGGTTTCAACAAAAAACACTGAAGGCGAATTCTCAAATCCCCCCCTCGAGATGTTCTCGGCCATTGCCACGCAAGCTTTTTCCATTGTTTAAACTCGACGATATCCCACGCGGGCGCGGCCGCCCGCACGCACGCTTTTCTTTCTCAACGTTGATGTTTGCTTCCAGAACTTACAGAGAGTCCATAACGTGAAAGGTGTCGTTATCGTATGCTGGCCGCAATAGGAAACAGGAAAGACTCAAGAGATGGGCCACATTGTCAAGCTTTCCTGCAGAATGTGTCTCGCACGAGTCGGAATAAACCTCCATATGCTCTTCTTCCGTCTTGCCTTTTCGCCTCCGAGATTCCTTCGCCCTCCCTCAAACGTATGTTAAGACGCTTCCGGAAACCGCACTTCATACACCACACACATTTCACAATTTTTAACTCCAACGTTGGTCTAAACAAGACTTCTGTCACTTTTTTATCTGAATGCGACGAGACGACGCACCAAGGTAAAGCTTCGCGAGGCTTTTTTCGGGAGATCTTGCACTCGCGGTTTCCGGGTTTCAAGGGTCTTGCATGGTTGTTTCGATGCTTAGCTGTCTTGGCTGTATTTACACTTTTTTTTTCCTTGCTGTTAACTTTTTAACAGTTCAACCTCGAATGGCATTACTCATACCCATAACTCTCTGGTGACTTACTCAGACTCGTAGAGTTTCTCACACTACAACAGGCCCCAGCCCAGTCGTCAGCTGTTCGTCTCATGAGGAGAGGAGCCAGCAGACAAGACACCCGCACGGGTGGGAAAAACCCCGGTTGCGATAACGAGACGACGAAAAATGGCTTTCTTCCTCCGCGCCGTTTCCGTGTCGAGCTTGAGCTTATTTACTTCTGTATGCGTGCGTGTGGTTGTATCCGCCATGCAAGGGGGGACCAAGGGGAATGATGACACGTCCCACGTTGGTCGGCCCTCGGACTGCTGCTGCACACGCCTCCTCCACGCAGTAAAAGAGAAGAGGGAGAGATAATAAACGTGTGAAGATGCCAAAAGCGGATACACAATCGGCATGCAAACGCACAAACGCATCGCATCACATCGCAAACTGACCACTCACAGCCTCGGTCTCGGAATCGCCATGCCCCATGCCACGCTGCCACGCTGCCATGCTGCCACGCTGCAATGATCTACGACCCTTACCTGCCGTCTTCGACACCGCATGTTCCGAGCGCGGCCGTGGGAACCATGGAGGCCCGGCGTCGGAAATGGAGGACAGAATGCAGAGAGGACACGAGGGGGGGATTTAGCGTACCAGCTCGTCGGGGACGTAAGGGGAGACAGAACGATCGTGCGTGGACACACAGATCACAACCACCATTGACTAAATGGCATGATTCCAACCCAATGTGAACCATCTGAGCGTATAGCGAACGCCGTTGACGTGAGTGACACTGACAACTTTGAGGCTGTCGGCGGGTTGGGTTGATCATGCCATTGCTTTAGCTTGGTGCCAGCTTTTGCTTCGAAAAAGTTTGACTAGTAGTCATATCACATAGCAGGTTTATCATGGGTAGTTCCGTCCGCGCCTTGACTTGGTAATGGCCAACCGAGTGAGGTGAGGTGAGGTGAGAGTAACAAAATAAGAGGTATCTTTGATTTTTCAAGCGTTAACAATATTCGTGTGATCGTGCCATATCCACTTCTCCATCGTGCATCTCTCTCCCCGATGCTCTGGCTCAGCCTAACAATGACACAGACATCCGGCCGCCCACTGCTTCAACAAACTTGTCAAGGAAGACTACGCCATGCTAGTGTCCACAAGAGAAGCGGCTGCCTGTGCGCTGAAGAAACGCCGTCTTCTCTGACGTGGGCTCGAGTCTAGCAGTAAAGCCTTGGGACCCGGGATTCAGGTTCCTGACAGAGACAGTGCTGACTAGATGGAGCCTCCTTCCGCCTGGCATATCCCGCCGTCGCGATGTCTGCTCTTCACCGGGCAAAACACCATCCTAACAACATCGCCAACACCCCTCCTCCTCCTCCTTCTCACCCAAGCTTTCCCACATGACACGGATGGAAGCCAGTGACAGCGGGCGCAAGGCGTGCTCACGCGAGGAGGAAGGCTACGGTCCTACCGCTCATTTGGGGTAGTCCTTCAAGTGGTAGCTCTTGAGCTTGACAAACTGATCGTAGCCGAAGCGGCTTAGGGTCTGCCCCTTGCCGGAGTTCTTCCAACCCGTCCACGCTAGGTCCTAAAAAAGTTGTCAGTACCGAAAGACTCTGAGGGGAAGGATGATGGCGGTGGCTTGATGACGAAGATGGCTTGCAGGCCGATGGATAAACAAAAACGACTGGCGAGTGTATAGAGTTTGCGAAAGCCGGCAGGCAGATAAAACAACAAAAGAAAAGGAAGATAGTATGCGGCTACCCGCTCCGAGTCGGAACTTCCTAACCACTTTGCCAACTCTAGCGTTCGGGGCGGGGGGAGCATCGGGCTAAGGAAGAGGGAAAGGGTGGGGACCGGAGACAAACAAACACGGAGGATGGTGATCGGAGCGGGCAGAATACAGATCGGATGACCGCCAAGGGTAAGAAATGCCATGTTTGTTGCTTGTAGGGTATACTCACTGGGCTGGGGTAATCGCATCGGTTAACGAAGACGGTTCCTGCTTCGACCTGGTCCGCGAGCTCGTAGCCGCGGTCCGTGTCCTTTGTCCAGATGCTGGCCGTCAGGCCGAACTCGCTGTCGTTCATGAGCTTGACAGCCTCCTCGTCACTCTTGACCCGCTGGACGGGAATCACCGGTCCAAACGTCTCCTCCGTCATGACGGTCATCGAGTGGTCCACGCCCGTGAGGAGCGTGGGCTTGACGAAGTTGCCCTTGGGCGGGGGGTTGCTGAAGGACTCGTTCTCGGGGGTTGCGTCAGTGGCGCCCTTGGAGAGGGCATCCTTGATGTGCGACTCGATGGCTTCCTGGGAACGCTTCGAGATGACGGGGCCAACGTGCGTGCCCTTGTCAAAGGGGTCTCCGAGCACGTACCCCTTGAGAACCTTCTGGACGGCTTCGACAAAAGCATCGTGAATCTTGTCGTCGACGTACACCCTCTCGACGGAGCAGCAGCTCTGTCCCGAGTTGAAGACGGCGCCGTCGACGATCTCGGCCGCGGCCCAGTCAATGTCCACATCGCTACGGATGTAGGCCGGGTCCTTTCCTCCCAACTCCAAACCGACGTTGACGACACGGTCTGACGCAGCCTGCTGCACGGCCAGACCACCGGCCACGGAGCCGGTAAAGGCAACGAGCTTCACCTTGGGGTTACGCACGATGGACTCAATCATGACGGGAGAGCCGCAGTGGAAGTACTGCAGCACGCCGGCCGGGAGACCGGCCTCCTCAAACACCTTGGCCACGCGCTCCACAATCGTCGGAGTCTGCGGTGAGGGCTTCAAGATGACGGTGTTGCCAGACAACAGCGCGGGAATGAGCGAGTTGACCAGAATGAGGTAAGGGTACTGGGAGTGTGATGTTAGTGAAAGAGACAGGGGTATCGCGTTGGTGGTGGCTCAGCAGTTTGCGCGTTGTCTCACAGCAATGGAAACATTCAACCATGCCGCGGACACCACGTAACGGGAGGAGCCACGAAAAGTAGGAGACAAGAAAGAACCCACATTCCAGGCAAAGAGGACGAGGACCGGGCCAACGGGAACCTTGCGAATGAAGCGCTTGAATCCCTTCTCAGCCTCGCCTTCGGTGTCCTTGAGGACGTCATCGGCAATCTTCAGGAGGTACTCGCCGCGCTTCACCGCCGTGGCGATTTCGACGCCGGTGTAGGCACAGGGGCGGCCCATCTGGACGGTAAGCTCTTGGGCGAGATCATCCTTTTGCTCGAGGAGGAGGCTCAGAGCCTTCTTGATGATGGTCTTGCGGTCGGCCAGCGAGGTCTTGCTCCATGACTCGAAAGCCTTGGTGGCGGTGTTGGGAAGCTCATCTAATTCGGCCTGAGAGACGCCATTCCGGGTGAGGATGGCCTCGTTGGTGGTGGGGGAGATGGTCTTGAGGACTTCGACAGACATGTTTGGCTGATTCTCTTCTTCACGGGGTATCAAAAGGTTCAAGTTGAAGAGAAAAACGTATGAATGAGAGAAAAGGGAATCAGTTCACAGTCGTTGATCGGGAGGCAATTCGCAGCTTAGATATTCCCCTTCATGAATCGTGAGCTCACTGAGGGGCAGGTGGAGGGGCAATGACATGGAGGGGCAACCGCCGCACCTGTGACCTCCTGCCGGACCGCGCTTGTGGGGAACGCGGTAAGATAAGGGATGATGTAATCAATCAGCACCACCACCGATAAGATATTGGCGATAAGGCCCGCTGTAATTTTTTTGCAGACCGCGCGCCAGAGGGCTGGGATCGCGGACTTTTGCTTGGATACCTATTGTACAACGACAGTTGCATTACCGCCGACCACGAGGCTACCGACAAGGCTGCAGCAGAGGAATTGCATCTTGCTCTTGCTAGCACTTACCGATTTCGAGGACCCACCGTCTACCCATACTTCAGTTCTAGCAGCCGCCATGGCTCCCGAAAAACGAAACAAGTTCCTCGACGCAGACGAGAGCGACGACGACCTCGACCAGGGCTACGACTCCGAGGCCGAGGAGCTGCGCAAGGGAGGCCGCAGCGCCAAGAGGCGCAAAGTCGACAGCGAGGACGAGGACGACTTCAGCGACGAGGAGCACAATGTCACAAAGGACACCGAAGACGCAGCGAGCGACGACGACGACGACGAAGATGCCGGCGAAGATGCGGAAGCCTCAATCTCAACCAAGAAAAAGCCCTCAAGCTCGGCAACAAAGCTAGACCTTCCCGACGTCTCCAAGCCCCTCACGAAAAAGAACCTCGTCGCGACGGAAGAGGCCATCAAGAAGTCCGGCGTCGTCTACATCTCCCGCATCCCGCCCTTCATGAAGCCCCAGAAGCTGCGCTCCCTCCTCGAGCCCTACGGCAAGATCAACCGCATCTTCCTCGCGCCCGAGGACCCGACCGCGCACGCGCGCCGCGTCAAAGCCGGCGGCAACAAGAAGAAGTCCTACACGGAAGGCTGGGTCGAGTTCATGCGGAAAAAGGACGCCAAAGCCGTCTGCGAGCTGCTGAACGCGCGGACCATCGGCGGCAAGAAGGGGTCGTACTACCACGACGACATTTGGACGCTAAAGTACCTCAAGGGGTTCAAGTGGCGCCACCTGACAGAGCAGATCACGGCCGAGAACGCGGAGCGGACGAGCAGGATGCGGGCTGAGATTAGCAAGGCGAGCAAGGAGAACAAGGAGTTTGTGCGCAATGTGGAGAGGGCCAGGGTGTTGGACGGTATTGCTGCGACGAGGGAGAAGCGCGGCAAGGCGGCTGCGTCGACGACGGAAGCGGGGGCTTCTTCTGATGGTGGTGCGGCGGCGGCACCGGCGGCGGAGGCGGAGAAGCTGGACAAGAGGCGGACGGTGTTTAAGCAGATACCCCTGGCGGATAGGAAAAGCGAGGCTGGCTCGGGTGCGAAGCCGGCAGGTGATGTTGCGAGGGTGCTCGGAAAGATCTTCTGATGAAGATGGGGAGGGGTGGGGCGTGTGCTTATGTTCGGCGTTCAACAGTTATCCGCCGCTTATGTTACTGGTAATAGGGAGCATAAAATGTGACTTTCAAAAATCATAAGATGAAAGATAATAGCCCTATGGGCCGGCAGCCTCGGGATGTTGCGGCGTGTGTGTGGTTGCAAGTGTACGCGAAGGGGTGGGTATCTACGGCCGACTGCCGGACTACGAATGCGAGAGCTACTGGGTCACCATCTTTGACGGCTTAGGTGGGCAATCTGTCTGGCATCTTGGCATGAAAAGAGAAGACGAAATGACGTCCTTTTACGTGTCTACCTCTACGGGACGAAGCTATGCACAGTTGAGAAGCCGGCGGTAGCATTCAGGCAGGATGATGCGTGTCGTCTGTACTCGCCAGCATGAAGCAGACCCTTTGGACTGTGAAGTATGTTGCTGCATAACCGGAGCGAATGCGAATGCTTCCTCTACACCACTCTCGGCTCCGCGACGAGCTACACACTTGACGAGCTCCTGACTTGGCGATCTATTCACTTGGCATGAAAGATATGATGAAATGGTCCCTTGGAAACTCGGACGAAGAAGCTGCTCGAAATGAAATCGTTACAATAGCCGGCGTTAACATGAGCACTTTGCCGTTAGCGTAACGCTCAATTTGAGGCTCAACAAACCTCGCAAGAGCATGTGAGGGAGTGCGTAATCGCAGCAATCTAGGCTCGGAACGACCTTCCATTGGTAATCTTGCATTAAGTCGTCGTTGTGTAAAGATTCTTGCCAGCCGCGGCTGCGATCTTGATCACCTCATCAGCAGCTCTCCAGCCTCGGCCTCAACTTTACATCGCCTTATACTGAGCTCACCACAACGCAACCTCGGCGAACCTCCTAACTCTACAATACCGGCCCAAACTCGTAGACACAAGCCATAGACTAGAACGCTCTGTTATGACATGTCATTATTCCTACTCACACGAAACCGTAGTCATCGTCAAAAAGCACCGCGCCGCGCCAACCTTCACCGGCGTCCAAGAAACCAAGCAAACAAAGTACCCGTCTACAGCATCTCGATCAGATGGCAGCAACCCCGATCTCCAAAAGCCTCATACGCAAAAGAAAAATCAAAAAGGCAACACCCGTTGTTGCGCGCGCATACGGGCGGTCTCCACTCCCAACTTCTGCCCGCCTGCCGACGCCCCCACCCTCCCCCGGCCAAATGGAGTAAACCAAGCCGCCGTGGCCCGCCGCCGTGTGGGTGAGAGGATGAGCCTCCCGTCCGTCGGAGTCCGCCTTGGCCTGTGAGTGAGTAAGGTAGAAACAAAACGTTGACCACGACGTACACCCTCCCCACCATCATGACAAACCTCAGGGAAACTGTAAACCCGTGCGGTATGGCGCCGACAGTCAGGTCCCCGTAGGCATCCCGCTGCCTCCCTCCCTCCACCGTCTCATCAATGTCGCCAGCGAAAGTTGGTGGTCGGGAAGGGTGGAGGTGGAGGCTTACCTCATGATGGATGGGGTGTGTATGTGTGAGTAGAGCCTCCATGGGTGCAGCGGACACGTCTATGGTCTGAGTGGTCCAAAGTCTGGGGAAAGGGAGGTGCCGACAGGTCTCTTACTCCCGCTTAACCGCCGGCGCCTGGAGGGTGTCTGGGAACTCGGGTCCGGGGTCGGGGGGGATAAGGCTGAGTCTGAACGGCCCCTTGGGGAGACTCTGGGGAAGCCTGAGGGTAGGATGAGGAAGGACGGGCCATGTCGGTTTCGTAGAGGGTTGAAACAACGACCGCCGTCTCTGGTATCCAGGCAGAGCCTCAGAGGGTGTGGCTCCTAGAGTCGGCGGCGGCCGGCTTCGCGGACCCAGGAGTGTCCAGTGCTGGATGAACGTAGGAGAGGCTCTCCGCCTCTCGAATGAACAGACAGACAGACGGACGGACAGGCCATGGGCTCGTGAGGCCCATGACTAAGGTAGGGGTCTGGGGGTGCCGAGTTTATGGTGTGACTTGCGTGCTTAAGCCCGCTGGAGTCGGCGATTAGAAACAGTGAAGTCGGCAGTCCCAGACAGTCGGCACCCTCTTTGGGTAACTGGGAGAGAAGAGCACGGACGAACAACTGTTGATGGGAAGGTCGATGTGCTGTTGTACGAATAAACAACACAGGGTAGGGTGTGAATGGTGTGAATGGTATAAGTCGGGGGAGCCCCTGTCGAGGGCCGTGCGACGAGTTGCTGCTGAACGCACGTACGACGTTGCCCATCAATGGAGTGCTAAGCACGGGACGTAGAGAGGGCAAGAAGAGTGCATGAGGTGAAGCTCGGACAAGTTGGAATGGCACATCGCCGACAGCTCTGAGACTGGATCCCTGCTTAACGGCGATGGGATCGTGAGATGCGGCGGTTGAACGGCAGAGAGGAATACACGACAGAGAAACGCAACCAAGGCAAGGCGGACGCATGAGCCACGTGGTGATCTAGTAGTGTAGTCTTTTTTCTCTCTTTCCAACGACAAACGCAAACGCCCTTTTTCACTTGCGTCGTAGTCTCAGTCAAAGGTATCTGATGATGCATACACGCCTTGCCACCCCATCCTTGAAACCATCCCATTCATTTTTTGTGTGAGAGAGAGAGAGAGATACCTTCACTCTCTTCTTCTATTGCCCAAGAAACCAAACGTGTCCACGTACCATCTCGTAAGGAAACACATTTCCTCCCCGCAGACGGCCACTTAACCTTAACACCACCCCGGAGCCACCAAACGTCGGGGACCTCAACAGAGACACGTCCCAACTTTGTCCCGTCCGTCCATAGACGACACGCCCCCATCCCCTGCCCGCCGCCTTTCGGAAGACAGGCATCCACACCTGACGCCTAATCCTGAATCTGGAGTTCGTCCATGTCGTCAAGCAGTTCATCCATGTCCACCCTCGGAGCACCCTCATCGCCCTCGGTCTCGGCGATGCTCATGGCGTCCGGATCGATATTCTGCGGCTGTTGTGACTTGTACAGCGCCATCGTCGCGCGCAGCTCATCGTCCTCCTCGACATCGCGCAAGAATTGCTCATAGTCCTCGTTCATGCGGTCCTGGTCAGCCTGCTTGGGCAGCAGCTCACCCTCGTCCTTGGCCATGCGCTTGAGCTTCCAGTTGCGGTTCTTGTGCTTTCTTCTGTTGGGGTAGTGCTTCTTGACGAGGATGACGTCGGGTATCGTCGAGCCGTAGGCGTGCGACTCTTCAATAGCGTCAAACTCCTCGTTGTTGAAGTTGGTGCCCGTGAGCATGTAGCCCAGGACCGAGTCGCCGGCGTGCAGCAGGCCGCCCAGGTGTGTTCTCGCAAAGTAGGTCTTGTCGTTTGAGCCCAGGTCGGAGGCGCGGGCTACTTGCACCTCGGCGAGATGCCACTTGCCCTTTGTGATGCCCGTCGGCTCGATGTCCATGACGATAAACTCAACGAGCGACTTGACGTCGGCGAGGGAACGGAACGGTGCGCGCCAGTAGATGGGAGCGCTGACATCTGCGGTCTGAAGGGTGTTGGGGTCGAAAAGGTATACTGCGGTTCCGATCTTGTGGCAAATGACGAGGGGAGAAATGTTGCCGGATGCCCGGGCCAGCTTGATGGGCAGAGCCACAAGATCGTCACGGCAAATAGGAATCAGTTCGACTGAAAAGGTGAACTTGAAAGATTTTGTCGATGTGTGGATATCTTGCGAAATGAGCTCCTGCGACTTCTTGACCGTGCAGGGCACAACGGAGTTGAGGAAGTCGCAGAATTTTTCAGCCTGATTCCTTGCCGAGAAGAAGAAATCGATTCCGTCCTTTGCTTCTTTAATGTTGAGGGTATCTCTGTGTGCGCCGTGCTTCATAATCAACTGCTCGAGGTAGAGGAACGTCCTCTTGTGCAGGACCTTTTGCCGGACCTGGACGGAGGCGCGCCACACGTTGGCCGTGTAGGACTTTGCGCAGTCGGGACATTGCTGGTACGCGACGATGTAAACCGCCTCAAACGCCTGCTGGAGAAGGACGCCGCTCTGGACCTCGTCCTGGATCGTGATCTTGACCTTGACTCGTCTCGAATGGGGTTCCGTCCACACAAAGGAGGCGTCGATGATGCGTATCTTGTTCAGGCCCTTGAGCTTCTTGAGGCAGAGGGCGAGGAGTTCGCGGGACTCGGGGGCGGCGACGATCCAACTGCTGGGCGGCAGCAGCCAGCGCTCGCAATCTCTGCAGTAGTTGAGGGTGGCTTCGCGCTGGACGCCCTGGGAGATGTCGACGGTCAACTTGATGCAGTCGAAGCAGAGCGCGTTGGCGGCGGTCGTTCCGTCGATGGGAGCGCCGCAGTTGCAGCAAAGAATCGTGGCGTGGGTGCTATTCATATTCATTTTGGCGTCTCTTTTTGCCCTCACTGCCTATGTCCTTGTCGATGTCGAGGAGGGAAAAGGTATGGGAAAATGAGGCGACAAGGGGCTCTCTTGGGCAATTTGGGCTCGGTGTATGGCGGGGTTGTTCATCGAGGGGAAAAAAAAAATCATGAACCCCGGCCGATAAGGCGAGCGCGGGGCTTATCAATAAAGTCACATGATAATGACGCCGCTGGTGGCGGGGTTTCCCTGAAGTTCGAGTCACATTAGTAATCACAACTAACACCAGTATCCAGTTGCGCCCTCTATCATCTGAATAACTCATGTTAGAGGGAGTCCCGCCCTCGGAAAGACCGCAGCTAGGCAAGATGATTCGAAGATTTAGTCATAGACTGTGTCAATACATTACTTTTGTGAGTCATCGTTGGCTCAATAGCTTGGCACCTCCTCCCAGGCCGGGATCGTCGGCCATGTCGATGTTCAAGAGGCTTCTCAAGGTGGTAATTTACTACATTTGTGTGAAGAAAGGCTAATAAAAGGCCCACCCGTGGCATATCGGTTTTTACGAAATAGCCTGCGGCTGCTCTGGATCTAGCTAGCTGGGACGCCATGATTGCAGCGTAACCAGGATCTCCGTTGACAGCGGTGTCGGACAATCCATGAGAGAATACAAGAGTCAGGGCACTTCACATAGACCTCTGCATCTATTCAGGCTGTTGCAAAAGTTTTCGCCTGCCTCACTATCAGTAGGACAGTAGAGAGAGACAGAAGGAAAAGCAAAGCACGAACCGCATTGAGTCGGCATCAGAGTTGACCACGCCTTCATAAATGCTTTCATCCAGGGGTCGGGCTCGTGGATGTCAAGCCCCTGGATCGGAACCCTTTTTAGATCCCTGGAACTGTGTCTCGAAGATGAGCCATCACTGCTGAGTCCTGACGGGCTAGACGACAGGTACGAATAAACAGCCGAGGATGACCTGGGGAAAAGCGAGACTACCTACCTTTAGGCTTATCGTAGTTCTGCAAACCCATATCATCGACTTCAAGGATCTACAGCTGCTATAACCGCCGCGTCAGTCAGCCTGTGGACTTTTCGCCCACACCGCGACCGCCCATTGTTTGTGGCAGCGAAAGGAGAATAATTGCAAGGGACGATCTGTCATTTATCACTAAGCTACTCAGACATTCGAAATTACAGCTGGGAACTTTTGGCATTATCAACATGGCTTGAACTTCTGTGGTAGTGTGAGGGACATCCAAGATTCTCGCTCAGTCTAAGAACCCATCACTGTAGGTCTCCAGCTTCCACAAAGCCTTCAAATCGCAAAGAATCTATTCTTTCTCTCTCAAGGGTATGCCTACACAAGGTCTCAGATCATGAACTCGTTAAAACTGGTCATCTCTACGCCTTACCGTTTACCTCCTCAGTCTTCTCCGTCCCCTTTCCGTTCGTCCCGTTGCCGTTCTCCTGACCAACGGGACCAATAGTCTCCCGAGCAACCATCAAATCCTGAGCCAACGCGCCGAGGTGAAGCACATCAGCCGACATGGAAATAAGACTCATCCTCTTCGCCGCCTCCCGAAGCTTCTCGGGGCTCCCGTACGGCGGCGCGCAGAACGCGAAGCCGGCATACGGCTTGTCGTGCTTGTCGATGGTGTCGAAGAAGAGCTTCGAGATCTCGAGCCACTCTGGCTCGTCGGCGCCCATGCCGCCCATCTTGGCCTCGAGGTTCATGCTGACGCGGCAGTCGAGCGTGCCGAACCAGACGACGTCGATGTCCGGGCACTCTGTGAGGATCGCGTCGAGGTTGCGCACGCCCTCGGCGGACTCGATCTGGATCATGATGGCGGCCTGGTCGTTGACGCACTTGTGGATGTCGCGGTTGGGGTCGTAGGGGGTGTCGGTGAGGAAGGGGATGAGGCGGAAGGGGGGAGCGGAGCGCGTGCCGCGCTGCTTGGTGCCGTACTTGGCCGCGGACAAGACGTGCTTGGCCTCCTCTACCGTCTCGACCTGGGGGATGACGACGCTGGCACCGCAGTCGAGGGCGTAGCCGATGGCGGCGTGATCGTGGCCGGGAACACTGTTTGATGAATGTCAGCGCCAGCTTCACTATTGTTAGTTGCTTGTAGGAATCCCTACCGAACCCAAGGGATGGTTCGTCCCTGGCTCATGAAGATAGCTTCATGGACCATCTATACCCTGTTGGTCAGTGAAGTTCGGCACAGCCAGTTGTCGTTCCGGCCGATGACTTACCGACGTCATGGTCTCGACGTTGCAGGAAGTGTGCTCCCAGTCAATCCAAACTGCGTCGTATCCCATGGGGGCAAGGAAGCGTGTGATGGGGAGAGAACTGAGGCCAGCATAATAGCACATCAATGGGGGGATCTTCTTCTCGTGGGCATCACGAATGGCTTGACGAGCCTTGTGCGGTTGAAACAGGGAGGGCGCCGCGTAGGCATTCATTCCCAGCGTAGGGACATTCTTGTATTCCTGGCCGATGACTGACATCTTGGCTAGTCTGTCCGCTCGGAAGATGGGTGATTGGTAGATGAATAGAGTCTCTGGGGTGAGGTATCCACGTAATGGAAGAGATATCGATGCGTTCAGATGTCGACGAAAAGAGCGGCGAAGGTCACTCTTTTATATCACATTGAATTCATCAAACGTCACATTGCATGCTGCCAACTTGTGGACCTTCAGGGGCCGCCAGAGCTTGCCGGGGCTCGCAGTTGGTTTCTCTCCGACAGCGACAACGTGGAGCTGGACTATCGGTTTGTCTCTGTGACTCGGCATTGGTACTATACGGTGCTCTAGAAGATGTCCCAACTATTGACTTGCTTTGACCTTGTTCGACGAGGAGCATTTCTACAGCACGATGGATGCAACGACGGGTGGGTACCCTACTCTCACGTCAGCGTGTGTCGGCAAAAGAAAGTGTTTGGTCGTTATGCTCAAGCATAAGGCTTTGCAAAAGAACAAAGTTCCGTACCCTAGCCGTAAACGCCCTTCCGTACATCAATCCAATGGCTTATTGGGTATCTTAGTGCTTAGTATAGGGTAAAGCAACAGCGATATAGGCGAGCTTCCTAGACGCGGGGAACGCAAGAAGTTGGTGCATTAACCAGACGGTGATTATTCGAGGGACGTCAATTGCTACCTCTCGGACACGGGCCGAATTGATCGGGCCCTAATAGCCGGCTGAGCTGGCGTAAGCTTCTATCAGCCTCCAATGACCTTTGAAAGGAATATCATGTTTTTGGCTCCGCGCTAAGCGTTGTCCATCACAGTAGGTCTTACTGCAGGATCATTTACGACCTGGATCAGACAGGGGATCGTAACCCTCTTCAGGAAGGACCCTCAGAAAATGTCCCACATGGATATTTTGCCGTCTTTGCTCCCAGCTGCCAGCCAGTGAGCATTCTGAGCTTGCTGGATGCGCCTGTCCTTGACACTGAGCTGCTGTTGTCCTGGACGAGAGATAAGATCGTGGGGAAGCTGATTGGGATCGCTGGACGCGCTTCGGGTTTCATCAGTCCGAGATGTAGCCCCGACACTAGCCAAGGCAACCGCGTAACATCCCACTTGGTGCCATTTGAGAGCTGCCACCTCCTTGAGCGTCTTGGAGGAATACACACGAATCATGGAATCCCAGCCAGCGGTAGCAAAGATGCGTCCGTCGTCCCGCAGGCGTAAACTCTGCTGGCCCGAATGCTTCGTGTTCAAAATCTTCAACGGCTGCTGGATGATGCCCAGGTCAATATCGGAGTTAGGTACCGGATTAAGGCCCGGAATAGGGTGTTTGGCGATTGTTGCATCTGCACCGGAGGTAAGAAAGTAGCCTTGCTCCGCGACGACGTCGAGGGAGAGGATGGGCTGGTTATGGACTTGAGACAAGTAGGTAGTATTCCAAGTCCCACTGTTGACCTGCAAGACCGTTGCTAACCCATTCTCGTATGCGGCGACGAGGGTCAAACGACCATTGGTGGATGACGGTGTAGACCCGGGTACGTCTACGTACAGCAGGGCTAGGGCCATGACCATGCCATTCTTCTCTGTTGACTTTATTGTGTGAAGTCGCTTCTTGGACGGTAATTCGTAGATGTCGACCTATCACGGATGCACGGGTTAGGTTCCCGGTCTCATGCACAAGGCCGGGCTTAATGGCGGAGATAATTGGCGGGGATGGTGAACTGACCGATTCCGACGCCAGAGTGTTTGGCACTGCTAGTAATAAGTTCGAAGACTCGGACGCGTCGTCGCCAGGCAGCGGAGCACATGATGCGAATGAACAGAAATTCATGGTGTTGACGTCGATGAGATGCAAAAGCCAAGGTTGTGGCCGTGGCTCTGCTGTCTCATCGAGAGGTAGCTTCTTGCTCAGGTGAGATTCATCCTTGAGGCCCAGTTGCCAGACGGCAAGCTTATGATCCCGGCCGTGGCTGAGTAGAGTGTGAGAGAGGATCAGCGATGCAGCGATGGAGAGATGCTCACGTTATTATCCGGTCGTCTCCCCAACCCTTTATCCCCAAAATTGCGTTCTCATGTGGCCTCCATACAGCCGTCGGGCGCATAATGGTGAGGTCCCAGAGGACGACGAAGCCCTCCGCATCTCCGCTGGCCAAACGATCGTTACCGCGGACGAAGGATAAAGCGTGCACTTGGGCTTTGTGGCCTCGAAGGATGGACTTTGGGTGAGGGGTTGATTCTGCCATGGCCTGGATTGTCCGACCTGCGATCTTGTCACGCGAAAGATTAAAGTGAAAGCGCGGCGATTTGAGGTGGTGGAGGAAAAGTCAAAACAGTGTCTTTGATTCCAAAAACGCACAGTATCCTCCTGCGGAAGGAAGGGTTCTGGCCCACCTGCACTCCTCTAACCGGCTTACTTACCACAGCGGAGGTGAGCCACTATTGCCTGCCGGAACATGCTATTCACAGTATCAGAACAGTGCTTCGTCTGATTGCCATGCCATGTTTTCTCTGCTTTTAGGAATCTGACAAATTGACAAATTCAGAGATGGCATTTCTGACCACCGGGATTTGGGATACCGAGTACAATAAAGGGGACAAGACATCTCACGTCAGACCTCTGACACATTACTCCGAACCGCCCGTCTGCGTGAGGTGTCGCACTTTGATTCGAAGACGAACTGATGATAATCTACTCTCATGAGCTCGAATCCCATGGTGGCGGTTATCAATATGACTGGCAAGATAAATACCTGATAAGGACCAGGGATGCTGTGTGAGGTGAGATATCTTGGTAATCCCGGAATAGAGCCCGTGACGTGGGACAATGGGAAACAGGCACTGCAGTTCACCTTTACTGTGAGGGCAAATGCGTGTACAGGCGAGAGAGCCGGTAGATGTTTGTCTACTTCGGTCGCGATTGGGGCGTCTGTTTAAAGTTGCCTTTATCCACCGCGAAGCTGGGGTTATCACGACATGACTCTCGTAAGGCGGAGAACATCGAGAGGCCCGTGAGGCCCATGTTCAGTGTATCCATGTAAGTCGGTTCACGTTGTATCCCTCTGTCTCTGCGAATGCCACAAGTTAGTAACCGTCCCTTCAGTGCGGTATGAGATTTGTCCACTAGAGGGTGGTGGGAAGCGGACGGTGCGGCCGAGTCGACCGAAGGGTCCGGATCGCATCGGATATTATAGATACGAGCGGAGGGAGGTGAGTCGTCGCCCGCTCGGTCCACGTCAGCTTGGAATGAAGGGTCTCTTGTATTTTACCGTGATGCCTAAATCCTGTCGGAGCACGCAACGTGGAGTTGTGTAATGTATCCTGGGCTGGAGGCAAGACACAGCAAGGTACGGGGAGCTTGAGTTACCACATGTAAGTTATCCAGAGCTGTGGAAGATTCCCAGCCGGGCGGGTTGGATCCTGGCGGGGCATCCTTTCTGGTCAGACGGGAACGTCCAGAACCAAGTCAGCGGGATTATTTGGCTTGGATGGCACACATTCCTGGTTCTCCGCCGTCTTGTCATCTCTCTAGGTGAAAGCTCGGTGTGGCCAGGTGTGTTCGGTGTATCAGGGTTGCTTTCCTGGTGGTGTGCCGGCGTGGGGGGGGGTCTCATTGGATCGTTCCGTCTGTGCCCGAGCAGATTTACGGTACCTGCTCCTTCTCCTTCGGTGCTCCTTCCATTCCAGATTCAGACCTACTTGTACCTAGGTAGGTACCTAGGTTCTACGTGTGTCCATCCCGGTCTCTTGGTGCCGGTACGTATCACAACTTACGCCATCGCTGCTTACCTCATTTGTCTTTGGTAATTGGCCCTTCCTGCAGCCCTCGTAAATCTGACAGACGGCAATCTCTCCGACACGTGCAACGGCAACATTGGCACGCAATTGTCGCCGACGGCCGTCTTCTGCCTTACATCCACCCAAGCACCCAAGCCACCCCCAAGCGTCAACTTGGCATCATCCTCAACAGACGTGTCGGCCCAGTTGGCTTCAAGATCGGCACACCGGTCTGGTGTTACACACACACTTCGTTTGCTTCGAGTCTGCTCTGTTCCTCCGCATCCCGAGACCCCTTTCCAATGCATCTCAGTCAGTATCGATACACGACAAACCCCTTCATCCGGGTTCGCGGAGGACGTTATGATGAATCCATGACCCCAAGTCGGCAAAGTTGCTCCGAACCTAGCGCACAGAGAATCCACCCGTGATGGATGGACTTTTGTGCTATGGGCGCTGAGCGATTCGTGTCGCAAGCGGCATTCTCGAATTAGCATTGAGCATCATCTCGGCCTAGCAGTCACGGCGGATGAATCATTTTGCCATCGATGATCGGGCACACCGTTCAAGAGCCTATTCAATGGGAACTTGGGTATCCTGGTTGTTCGCCCTAATTCCTCTCCGCTCCGCACCGCTAGGCAATGCTTGTCTGACCAAGCTTATTGAGCTGTCGTTTCTTTTTTCGGTTCTCTTCTCTTTCTCTATCGTCCTTTTTGTTCGTCGTCTCAATGTTCTCGAGTACTGAATCACCGGACGAGTCACCGGCAGGCGAACCATCTGGTACACGGTTGCTTTACAAATCAACATGGGAAACGTTAGTCCGAGTAGTAGGGACGGGCGCAAGTTTTGATGATGTGGCGGCGTTCAGTGGGCAACAAGCGCAGCCTTATCCGTCTGCAGCATCCAACGAGATGCCTGTGAAACTCGAGCTATTCCCGAATGGCTTGTACCCGGTGTTCGCAAGTGCGTCTCTAGGGGCTCGGAGCGACCCCAAAGAACAATACATTGCGTGCCTAGACACCTAGACTGAAGGCTCTGACTCCTCCGCTCGACTAACGCCCACCCAAACTCCGCAGATATGTCGTTATGTCCATTACTTCCACCGAGTCGGCGGAACCGGTACTGCACGCTGCGTAAATGCAGCCCCATGAGCAGAGACAGGGGGGACGGCTGATGTACAGCAAGCGATGCAACGCCGGAGAGCCTGTCTTGGCCTCCAATCTGCCTAAGCAGAGAGCCTCAGAGACCCCCAAGGGATATTGCGGACTTTCGGAACATTCCAGATCTACGAAATGGAGTCAAGCCTAAGATGAGATACTTGACTGTCCAGTGCAAGAAGAGGGATGCATCACGAATCGCAACTACACCTGCGGCACGCATGCGGAGATTGGACGATGTTGACTTCCGTAGTTACCAAGCAGCAACGCCAAAGTCGTGCAAAGCTGCTCACATCTTGGGTCATTTTCCCTTTTGGGCTCGGTGCTAAAGTGTTTGTAGTAGGGCTTACCATGACGCCCTTACATCACGCTTCGAGTCGTTCATACGTACCACCGTAACGTCCCAGCCTAACGCATCCTTCTCGGACCTGAACGCACCACCAGCATGTTGGAACGACCTGTTGCCCGTTATGTTACCGCGACATAGCACACAAGTTAGCCTTGCACCATACACAATGAGCCATCGCATCAAATGTCTCCGTTCAGGAGTCCCCCCCTTGTCAGCTTCCCACCGCGCCCAGGCGTCTACCGCACTTCGGAGTGGACCAAGGCCACACTTGCGGGTTGTCTCTCTTCCTCCGAGCGGCGGGCTCCCGGGGTCAACGCTTTGCAAACTCCGACCCGCATCGCTTCCAGGTTCTTATCATGTTGTCTGATCAGATACATAAGAGAGCCGGGCCTCCCCCGGTCATTGCACCCTCGTCTATTCTGTGGCACGCACTTTAGAGACATTCAGCCTCAACCTAATCATCCTAGGATCCAATCCTTGCTTGGATTTGAGAAGCCACAAGCTATTACAGGCATATCAAACTCTCAGTCTTACCGCCAGAGTACTCGAGCTACATGCTTCACAACACCGCAGCTATGACTTCAACTACCAGCACCCTAGTAACACCACGAGAGAAGGCCGGGGAGAAGACAGGAGGAGAGACAGATCGGGAGAACACCCCTACACCATCAATGCTTGACGAAGAGGTAGTAGAGAAGAAGGAGGAGGCCGGCACTGCAACTGATGAGGAGGCCGGCTCATCACAACCAACGGAACCCAAAGAGCCCGAATACCCCACCGGCATCCGGCTCACCTTCATCGTCGTCGCTCTCGTTCTCAGCATCTTCTTGGTTGCTCTCGATATGACCATTGTCGCAACCGCCATTCCCAAAATCACAGACGAGTTCCGTGGTCTGGACCAGGTCGCCTGGTATGGAGCAGCTTTCTTCATGTGTGTTGCCGCTTTTCAGTCAACATGTAAGTCATCCGATCCCCCCTAAACAGTGGGCACTTCATTCGGCCAGAGCATCACTAACACCATCGTGAACAGGGGGTAAGGCATACAAGTACTTCCCACTCAAGACGTCGTTCCTGCTCTCGATCTTCATTTTCGAAGTTGGCAGCCTCATCTGCGGTGTCGCTCCCAACTCAGTCGCCCTCATCGTTGGCCGTGCCATCGCCGGCGTGGGTGCCGCAGGTATCGGCTCCGGTGCCTACACCATCATCGGCTTCTCCGCTCCGCCCGACAAGCGACCCACCTTCACCGGTATCATCGGAGCCTCGTACGGCATTGCCTCGGTCATCGGGCCTTTGATCGGCGGAGCCTTCACCGACCACGTTAGCTGGCGCTGGTGCTTCTACATCAACCTCCCCATCGGAGGTCTCTCTGCCGCCATCATCCTCTTCTACTTCCACACCCCGCCACAGGCCGTTCCCGTGAAGGCGAGCATGCTCGAGAAGTTCCTCCAGATGGATCTCATTGGCACCGCCCTCATCATGGCGGCGACCATCTCCTTTCTGCTCGCTCTGCAGTGGGGAGGTCACCAGCACCCCTGGAACTCGTCCACCGTCATCGGTCTGTTTGTCGGCTTTGGCCTTATGATTGTCGCTTTCATTGCCCTTGAGTGGTACCAAGGCGAGCGTGCCATGATCGCGCCCCGCCTCATCAGTGACCGCACTGTCTACATCTCCTCCGCATACGCCTTCTTCTTCGCCGGCGCCTACTTCGTTCTGGTCTACTACCTGCCCATTTACTTCCAGTCCGTCGACAACGCATCTCCCACGCAATCCGGGGTCCGCAACTTGCCACTCATCATCGCCGTCACCATTGCCACCGTTGCCTCGGGCATCTCCATCTCCGCCACAGGACTTTACACCCCGATCCTAGTTGTCGGCGCCGCTCTCGCTACCGTCGGCGCCGGCCTACTCTACACCCTCGACATCGGCACTGGAAGCGATAAGTGGATCGGATACCAGGTGCTCGCCGGTCTCGCATGGGGTGCTGCCTTCCAGGTCCCCATCATTGCCGTCCAGGGCACAGTCAGCGAGAGTGATCTTGCATCTGCCACCGCTGTTCTGCTTTGTAAGTTTACTTCCCCTCCTCCCCCTTGTCCCGTACCCTCAAAAGTTCATCCCACTAACACCAAGCCTCACAGTCTTCCAAACCGTCGGTGGAGCCTTCTACGTCGCCGCAGCCCAGTCAGGATTTCTCATCACTGTCCTCAAGAAGGTTGCCGAGAACGTTCCCAACGTGGACCCCAACCTCGTCGCTCTCACCGGCGCAACCCAGATCCGCACCGCCTTCCCCGCCGATGCCGTCCCGGGCGTCATTCAGGCCTACATGGACGGTCTCAAGGTCGCCTTTGCCCTGGCTGTCGCCGGTGCCGGCATCTCGTTCCTTATCTCTCTCGGATCGAGGTGGAGCAAGCTCAACACCAAGAACCTGGCTGGCGCCGCCTAAGTCATTGTTGTTCCGTCACGAGAAAGAAGTGGGAGATTTCATATTCTCAACCTTTAAGTGTTATTCGACTACGATTAGCTTTCCCTTTTGTCATTCACTAGATACCATACTCGACTGTGCAGGAAAGTCTTATAGAATCTAATAATAGGCAGATGGGCCATGGAGTTTTGGTTGCATTTAGGGGTAGGAGGAGGACTTTTGGTCTACCTACGAGGGTGCTTATTTCAGGGCCACTCAACTCTTATGTTTTACGAAGATAATGTCAAATTTCCGTTGCCAATGCACGACATGTGTCAAATATGACTGTGTGAATCGATGATCAAGTCTGCTGATGCTCCACCATCGTAATGCCGCTCGGCGATGCTTCATGTTCCACTCTGGATGGAGGCTAGGATAGATAATCGAGTCGTTCTCACCTAGATACGTGGTGTAAGGTAAGGGTCGGATGTAGCAAGGTGACAGATATGCACGGCAGACGTAGAAGGAAGAGATGACAAAAACAACGGCAATAGTACAATGGGGGCGATGGAGCGATGGCGATGAAGGAAAGTGCGAATGTACTCCTTCGGATATGCTCAAGCCAGATCTTTTTACCCCCCCACCCGCATTTATTCCTTCAAATTGCACGAGCTGATATATGAGTTTCCATTGTAGCACACCTCAATTCCTCGTCATGCAAACAACTCTTGAGTCTTCCGCCTCGTCTCCCCTGCAGACGAGTCAGTGGGCAGCTGCTCAACCTTGTACTCGAAATCCTTCTGTATCCCCCTCACCGGCCGCAGCTCCGTCTCGCTGTCCTGCGCCGAGGAGACACGGCCGTCGCTCTCGCCTTCCAGCCGTACCGCACCCTTCTGCCACTTCCTCGACCGCAGCGACATGCCGCCCGAGCCCCCAATCGTGGGACCCACGTACTTTGCCGTCGTCTGCCTCGTCGCGTTCCTATTCTTGCTGAGCAGGAAACGAAAGGCGGGGAGTGTGGCGACGATGATGCTGACGGACGACTCGATGTGGCTCCACATGCTCAGGAGCACCGGCCCGTTGGCCACCGTCGTCGGGTCCTTTGCTGCGTCGCCTGTGGCTTTTGTTACTTGTGCGAGCCGCGCGATGGCGAAGGCTACGATGATGCCGCCGAGGGAGAAGAGGATGGCTAGGCCGAACTTGTGGGATGGGGAGGTGCTCAGCTTGCGCAGGAGGTTGAGAGGCAGGATCATGACTGTTCGCATTGTGTAAGTAATATGGGACGCCTACTGCAGCTCTGCATCCGAGACGTACTGAGAATATCTGCCGCGATATCTGCGCCCGTCGCGAACTTGATGGACGCATCTGCTCGTGCCAGGTCTTCCGGCGCAGTACACCCAGCTGGTTCTGTAGCATTAGTCATTCGTTCAACAGTCTAGGATTCGCGATAACGTACTCGTACTCCAATATTTCGTCAATGGTGTGCATGTCAAAAAGTTGGAAAGCATGCAAGCTAGATACAGCACCAAGACCGCACTGAAGCACACCCACCAGGCGCGAATGTATTTGGGCAGCCCGGTGACCAGCCTTCGTACGAAGAAGAGAATGGAGAATTTTGCTGTTGATCACACAAACGCGCTTAGCACTGTTCACCACCATATCCATTTGTGCAAACCGGAGAGGAAGAGACATACCGGCCCACAGCGTCGTCCAGAACAGCAGCATTTGACAGAACATCAACTTGAGAGCTGCAATCGATCTGGCAATAAACTCGTCGACCCCCAAAGGCACTGGTGTCTTGGCATTGTTGGCAGCCGCCTTGGTATACTCGCCGGCGAGGTAGAACTGCGGCAGCATGCAAGTGATGACTGCGGTCAAGGCCGTCAGAGTCACGAGTCCTGCGATGATGAAGTAGTCGTCGGTAAAGAGGCGCCGCTGGAGGATCCATTGGAAGGTGCCTCGGAAGACGGTCATCCCAAAGGCGGCTCCCCACATGACCCAGATGAGTATCTGTCAGACATAAGATATCGTGTTAGCCAACAGATAACGGAGCGATATAGGGTAGCATGGCCAATGCGACGGTTACGACCGAGGCACGGATCAGAGATCGACAAACGGAGACGTTGCCCCGGCCGTGCCGGACTCCGAGTAGGCGGGGGCGGGGCGGCACGGGCGGGTCGGTTGGCTGCTTACCATCATCTCAGTGTAGCCGAGCACCGGAGTCGCCATATTGCGAGTCGTTCGTCTACCGGACGATGTCGGTTTGCGTCTCTGGGTCGGATGTTGGTTTTACGCAGAAGTTCGACAAGTGGCACAGCAGCTGAATATTGGGGAAAAGTGGCCACACGAGGGCATTAAAAGAACGCATTCACATTGCTTTTTTTCTCTTTTTGCCTTTTGCCTTTTGCCCCCCGAACCGACCTGCTGGATCAGGGGCGCTACGCCGAGACGCATCCTGCCCATGCGAGTTGACAGAAGGATGGAAGGGATTCTCGTCACTCACCTGCGGGATTACCGGCTAGGTTTGCGCCATTCGAGCAGGGCAATATCTTTTGTGCTCTTTCTCGCTCGTGTCAAACGGACATGCTAGCCCGAGTCGGGATGCGGACGACGTGGGGTTGAACAAGGGTATTTGGGTATCGACGGGGGGCTCGCCACCAACGGCAGCACCTCATCTCGCGTCTGCGAGGATGCTACCGACCTGCCAATGAGAGAGTCGTCAAACCATGACACTACTGCACTCGATGGCAGACCTCAACCAACTTGCATGATCCCCTCCATCCTTCGCTAACGATATTTCTGCAGCTCCATGGGATCCCCTGGGGGGCGAATTCTTCCCAATTTTAATATACTTCCCATCGCTACGAAACTGGGTTCGAAACCCGGAATCCCGCGATAGAAGAATGCTTGACTTTCCTCCTGCATCCAGACCTCCTCCACGTTTCGTCGTGGTTCATCGCTTCTCTGACTGACTCCTGCCAAGTTACCTTAGTCAACAACCATGGTTTGCGCCGCATCTCTCGTCGCCAGCTTGCTGGCTGTTGTCGCAAACCCCCTCGTCGTTGCGGCTGAGAGCATCGCCGACGCCGCCACCAATTCGGCTGTCGTAGCCAGCCTTCCAGGGTCAGAGAAGGTGGCCTGTGGGCTGCTCAACTCCCGCTACCCCAAGCAGACCTATTACTCCGGTTCCGATGGCTACACCTACGAGACGCAGACGCAGTACTGGTCCGCGACAGAGTACAACACACCAGCTTGCGTCTTTGTCCCGCAGAATGCCCAGCAGGTGTCCTTTGCTGTCACCACACTGACTCTGAGCTTGACCAAGTTTGCGGTCCGCAGCGGTGGCCATATGCCAGTTGTGGGATACAACAGCATCGGATCCTCCGGCGTCCTGCTGTCAACGTCCAACCTGACCACTCTGACCCTCTCCAGCGACAAGTCGACTGTATCTGTTGGTGCTGGTTACAGGTGGAGAGACGTATACTCCTACCTCGCGCCTTCCGGCCTAGCGGTCGTCGGAGGTCGCATTGGCGGTGTTGGCGTCCCCGGTCTGCTTCTTGGGGGCGGAATCTCCTTCTACTCGAACCAATACGGCTTCGCAGCCGACAACGTTGTTCGTTACCAAGCCGTGCTCTCTAGCGGATTGGTCGTCGAGGCCACCGCTACCAATGCCTACTCGGACCTCTTCTGGGCCCTCAAGGGCGGCGGAAACTCCTTTGCCATTGTCACTCGCTTCGACCTCAAGACCTTTGTGTCGCCCAAGGTGTGGGTAGGAATCTCGCAGTACGCACAGGCGGACAGCGCAAAGTACCTCGACGCCGTCTACAACTTTGGCAAGTTCGGTTCCGCGGATGGCAAAGCCGCCATTATTCCCACCATCCTCACCTATCCGTCGTATAACATCACCGCGTACGCGGCTGCCCGCTTCTACGACTCTGAGACCGCGCCCGCGACAGCATTTGAGAACTTTACGTCTCCTGCCCTGACGCCTGTGGCCGATTCCTATGCTCTGCAGCCTCTCGCCGACTATGTGACTGCCGTTGACGCACTCCAACCCACCGGTCTCCGACAAGAGTGAGTCGTCCCCTAGCCCCTCTGACTGTCATCTTGTCATCCCACTGACTCTCTTCAAGATTCCGCGTTATGTCTCTGGTAGTCAACCGCGACGCAGTAGACTACGTCCACGACACCTTTCTCGCAGCCACCGGCGCCAGCCTCACCGGCATCGTCGGCCTTTCGGCCTCCATCACCTTCCAGCCCATCACCAAGGAGTTCATCCAGCAGGGCGTAGCCAAGGGCGGCAATCCCCAGGGCGTGGACCCGTCCAAGGCGCCGTACTTTTGGGTCGTCGAGAACCTGACGTGGCAGGACGCCAAGGACGACGCCGCGGTAAAGGCCTTTGCCGACAGCGTCACGGCGGAGATCGAGGCCGGGTTGGTGGCCAAGGGCGTCGCGGGCGGGTATTTGTACTTGAACGATGCGGGACAAGGGCAGAAGATCTTCCAGAGTTACCCGGCGGCGAACCTGGCGAAGCTCAAGGCTATTCGCGCCAAGTATGACCCGTTGAGGATTTACACGAACCTCTTGGTCGGGGGGTGGAAGGTCCTTGACGCTTGATCTTCGTCTGACTCTGACGGTTGCTGTTACTTTCCACTAATCAGCCGAGAATAATGTTTATAGTAATGTGTACTTAATTGAGCCTGATGACCAACCTTGAAAACTGATGTGTACGTGTTTGTGATTCGACGAGCTTCCATGAGACGAATTCGAGGCTTCCATGAAAACCCACTGGACCGTTCAGTTAGCCGCCTCCTTTCTCCTATCGAGACGAATCCTGGAGCAGACATCAGCAGAGACATCGCAGTACAACCATGCAATCAGCAAAACACTGATACAGCTGTTCCTGGAAAACAAGAATTCAACTTTTGTAGGTATTCCAATCTCGCTATAAAATGCAAAATGCGCCCTTCCCCCTTTCTACCTCTTTGCAACTCCAATCCGTACACCCACACACACCCCGCAGCAAGAAAAAAAAAGTCTATGAAGAGCCGCCCGTAACCTTGACGCTACCATCCTCCATACCAAAGTACGCAGCCACGGGCTTCTGCGCCAACCCGACCTTGCCAGCCGCGGCGGCCTCGACGCCGTTGAGGCCGTGGAAGATGCCGATTTCGACGATGCCGGGGATCATGAGCAGCTCCTTGGCGAGCGCGGAGACCTCCCACGCGCCGCTGGCGTTCCGGGCGCTGCCGCCATCGGAGACGTCTGAAGAGAGCAGGAGCTGCGGGAAGGGCGCGTCGATGAGCCACATGCCGTTGTCGGTGACGACTTCGCCGGCTTTACCGGGAGCGCCGGGCCGGACGGCGGGCTTGACGGCGCCGAGGGCCGTGAGTCTGTCCAGCACGTCCGGGGCGGACATCGGGAGGACTTCGATGGGGATTGCCTTCCAGTTTGTGAGGAGTCTCGCGGAGAGCTTGCGGTAGTCTGGGACATTCAGTCAGCTCAATTCTCAGTTCTTCCTACCCGGGGAAAAACTCACCAGCGACAACAACAAACTTCTTGGCGGCGATAGCAACAAGCTTCTCCTGGAAAAGACACGCGCCGCCGCCCTTGATGCAGTTAAGCTCGGCGTCCACCTCGTCGGCGCCGTCGAACGCGACGTCGATGGCGACGAGCTTGCCGTCCGGGCCGAGGGGCCTGTCGTCGAGGTTGCACAGGCGCAGGCCCGCGGCGCGGATGAGGCCCTTTGACTGGCTGCCCGTCGGGAAGAAGGTCATGTCGCCGTAGAACGCGGGTCCCTTTGCGGCGATGGCGTCGACGACGTAGACGACTGTGCTGCCGGAGCCGATGCCGACGTACCGGGCGCCTGGGGCGAGGTGTTCGTCTACGGCGCGGTAGGCGGCTGCCTTTTTGGCTTGTTCGACGAGGGACATTTTGGGTGTGGTTGTGAGGGTGCGGCGAAGGGTTAGGTGGAGGGAGGGTGAGGGTGAGGTTGAGATTGATGGTGGGGTGGTTTGGGCTGTGCGGGATGGCGTGAGGGTGAGGAGGGGATGAGTTTTGGTGGTGAGGTGTGAGAAGGGGCGTGAGGTGGTGGATGAGGAGGAGAGGAAGTGAAGTGACGAGACTTTTGATCTTATAAGTCTTCTACTTGTGCTGATGCTAGTCAGGGACATGGAAGGCGAGGGCGAGGCGGGAGTCGGGATGAGGTGGTGGTGTTATAGTGGGATGAGCCATAAAGTTGCGTCTCTTGCGGCTGTCCGGGCTTACTCAGGAACCTGAATCGTGACGCGGGACGGGGAGAGTGGATTCGGATCTCCGGCTGGCGACGGCTGGTCCCGGATGGGAGGTATCCCGGAGCCGTATTCAAAGATAGACTTGGACAAAGAGATATTGCGGCTGGCATAGGATTATTGTGTTCGGTCAATTGTAATCCGAACTATTAGAAGGCATTGAATTCTCTGGTATCTGATTGATGTCTTTTGCGGTCACCAAGGCGAGAGCCGCAAAATAAGATGGTCGATTCCTCGGTGAGCCTCGGTGAGAACCCCTCCTTCACCGAGCGCGGGGCACACCACCCATCATATGTCAATGCACCTCAAGGACTCAGGAACCACTTCTTTTTTTCGCCATCTCCACATAATGACGTACCCAACGGTGATTTCCAGGGACGTCTGTTCTTCTCCACCACGCAGCACCGACTCAACGCCCGCCGTTTATCGTCTCAGAAGTCAGAAACCGGATCCGCCGAATCAGACCGAGACGGCAAGACCTCGGAGGGGAAACCGGGAGTCCCACCGGTGTGCGTCCCGGTGGAGAATTGCCGGTGGAGAAGGAGGGAAAAGTCTGTACCTTTCATAGGAGATTAGGATGATCCTTCTCATGGAACTACCCTCGCGGTCTTCGCGGGTAGTAAAAGGGTTCCATGCCGGACGACGTCATTTTGCTCAAGTATGGAGACTGGTTGGTGTTCTGAGGGGATGTGGATGGGTCTCAATATGCATTTGCGGTTTAGGGAGCTTCACGTTCAACGAATCTGACCCGCCTCGTCAGCGAACTCGTGTTTGTTCGAGGATATTATTTCCAATGATAAGATCACAAGTCCATTGTCAACTGACTATCAGTGCGAACCGCACCATCGGCTCTCTGCAATTTGGAAACATCACCTATCTATTATTATATTCCTCAACCTCCTATGTAGATGCCGTCTTGAATCCAATACATCTACCAAACTAAGAAACTGAAAAAAGGGACCAGCGTTACAGAACATTGGCTACTAATGTACTGACGCCAATCAGCATCCGATGAGATAGATGAAGACTGAAGAACTAAATGAACCTGTCCACGTTGCGAGCAAACTTCTGTCTCAGACCGTAGTTCTGAGGCAGGGTGAACCGTTCGGTACGGAGATAATGTAGTCTCTGGCCATTAGACAACTTTCATCTTTTCAACGCGTTTGCCAGACTCCCGCCCAAGCTGCCCCTAGATTGGGATAACTTCTTTCTCGTCCCCACCAACAGAGACAGATAACACCCGTCACCACCACACTGGCAACTTCGCACAAGGTCAGCAAGAGTCATGCTCTACAAGGCTAAGTCACATACCAGAACCCGTGATAACCTGCCATCCTGACCATGCATTCGGGGTGAAAGAGTCAATCTGCAGTGCCAAGAGCGCTAAAACAACAGAGACCGGCGACTGTGGTGCATGAGCAAATGAGAGAAAGCGGGTTCTCGTCCGATCAAACACTTACAAACAACACCGTCAAAACGGTGAAGACGGCAAGCAAACTAGCCTGCCTCGACGAGTGCAGAGAGGTCTCCGTACTGGCCTGCCCGTGAAGAAGGCCTATGAGTTCTTTTGTCTATCCAGAAAGTCGGTTAGTCTTCTCTAGTAAAGCGTACTCTGGAGGATAGCGATACCTTTGTTTGCACATTCTTGGCGTCCCCGTCGACTTTTTGTACCACAACATCAAAGTCACTCCTGGCATGCTTGGGGCGGCAGCCCTTGATTCCCCATTTGCAACGATCTTTCTTCCCGGTCATTTCATGTAATCTCTTCCAAACACTCCATCTTTGCTCGAAAACATCTTTGATTATTTCGAGCTCGTGCAATACATCGTTGATGTTCATCAGACAATTTGTGACCTTGGTCGAGAGTTCGCCGAAGACTTTGTCAGATGTTCCGAGAGAATCCTTGAAGGTATCATAGTGACCATCTACTTCTCGCGACTATTGGCGTAACTCAACTGTATCAGTAATTCTGTGGAATGCAGCTCGAACATCGTGCTCAACGGAATTTCAAACTCACGATGCGCAATACCTCTTTCGAGAATACGTCCATGTACGGTATACGCTTACCCTTAATTTCAATCAAGGGTCGGTATTGTATAGCCGTCTTCACCATGTCGTGACAGAGCTGACTCGGGCCAGGATTGACATTATTGGGATCATCGGATCTGAGACTAGCTTTGACGAGATTCTCAAGGTCGACTGATAGATGATCCTGGGATTTCCTGGAGGGATTCCAACGTTGGGGAAATAAGGTGACATGCAGATCTTCGTTCCAAAGTCGCGTTAGTAAATGTACTCCTAAACAACGATCACATATCTTCCCACTCAAATGGCATTACACATCGCCGGAAGAATAAAATAAATCAACGCTACCGCCAGTGGCTACTTACTATTCAATTTGATGATCCAAAGTTGCGATACCACAAGTATGCTGTGAGGGGGCTCTTCGTCCTCAGCAGTTGATCGCGCCGCACTGAGGCTCTTCGGTTGCTCAGAACGATCCTCACGTACGTCTCCTTGACTTTCCAGATCCGAAAGACCACCCATAGGTTTCCTTGCATCGGATCTGTTCGTCAGTGTATGAAGAAAATCTCTGGCCCAAGACAGAGAGAGACGTTGAGCTATTGTATTCGAGCTTTGACGCTGACTTGTTACAGTCTGTTTGGAAGATCGTGCCTTCAGGTAACGAGTCAAGACTTGCTCCTTGTTCAAGTGACTCTGCTGATGTTCGCTCAGGTCCGTGTGGTAGTAGTGATCCAACGTCCGCGGGTAATGCAAAGCTCCCTTTTGACCCTTGTACTCTTGTCCGTACAAGGCCCTCATACCGTTAATGTGTCTTTTGTTGGCAGATGTGCCTTCCAATTGGGAGAGATCAAGGGATCGCTGACTATCGTCGGCTTTCAGGAAACCCGCGAGGTAGTCGACATCAATCACAGGAAGCTGCGGGCAATCGTTTAGCAGACTGGAAAGTCGAGCAAGTATCTGGACTTACCACGATCAGCATGTCGCGAGGCTGTCTCTCTTCATCTGGACTCCCTTTCTCGCTGGTGTTTGAATGCTGTGTTGAAACACCTGCCACATCCTTGATTCCCATATAGCCATGCTGGCAAAGAGGAGGGACGTGTCCCGTCGATTCGAACGTCGTTTGGAAGCACTTCATGACTTCTTTGAATGTAGCATCAGTCTCGTCGCCAAGATATTTTACACATAGGGCCTGTCCGTAGTCATCAGTATGCTGTATACAGGGCGAGGTATTGCGTCACCAATGCAACACGGTCGAAGTACCTTTGCCCAATGCCACTAGATCATTGTTGTTAGTCGCGAGATGTCGATGATAGTTCCTTGGAAGAAAAGGTTTCAAATACTCACGTTGTTTGCCGGGAGATGGTACCACATCATTGGTTTCGTCGCAGTATGGTCTCTTGCCAAGTATGTCATCTGAGGATTTTCCAGAATGTCTCTCATAGGAACGCTCTCAATCTCTGACTCTGCTCTTTTCGTGGAATCATCTTGTTGTCTATGAGGCTCGTCGCTTGATGCGCCGTTCGGGTCGCCCTTCGTTCCGCTTTTCGATTGATCATTCGATTCCTCGTTTGTCGATTTGTTCTGCTTGACCTTGCCCCGCCAGGTCTGAGCCTTGAAGCAGTCTAGAGGATCGTCACCTTGTGACAACTGCTGAATTGCATTACTCAAGCTTTTCAACAAGTTGGTCAGTAGCTGTTCCCGTATCATGTCCGCTATAGTCTCTGCTCCGTATGTAATGGCGAGTTGCAGTGGCTGCATGTGATCTGACTCCTTGGTACCTGTTCCAGGATCTGCTCCATTCTCAAGAAGGATCCTGACAGCTTCTTCCTCTCGAGATAGAATAGCGAAGTGCAAAGGAGTCCAGCCATCTGGATCACGCGCGTTGATGGAGTGATTCGCACTGTTGACCAAGACTTTCAGCAATGAGATGTTGCCCTGGCGACATGCTTCTTCCAGACACAAACGGCTGTATTCTTCGTGATCGATGCCGGTACACTTATTTCGAGAGGCCTGCAACATCCCTCGAACGAGTGCATCCAGCTTGTCGTCCGAGGGTTCTTCAGACCACAGAGGATATATGCCGCGACCTGCGAGATATGAAAATGGTGTGTTTCCGACGTCGTCCTCCTGGTGTACGTTAATGCTCTCAGAGAACCCGTCAATGAGCAGTTTAGCGACCTCGAGGTTTGCGGCCCTACACGCGATTCCCAGCGGAGATTCTTTGGCACCGTTCTGGGCATTAACATCGATGTCTCGTTGCTTGATTAAAACCTTCGCTGCATCGAGACTCCCAAACAGACAAGCGACATGGAGAGGATATTGCTTCCCGTATTCATCAACCGTGATGGATTGATCTTGGTCTTGCAAATACCTAAGAACATCTTGGGTCATGAGACTTCCAAGTACTTCCTTCTCAAGTAGTTGCCGGAGCCTCGAAGTATCCTCGGGGTTCTTTGGGTTATTCTGCTTGTTCCAAATTTCAGAGTTAGCATGGAAGATCTTCTGCATTGTATCTGTGTCGTTGTTCCGAATGGCTTCGAAGAGCTCTTCAAGTGGGGACAGCTCTAGCGCCTTTTGAGGCTTAGGCGAATTTGGCATTCTATTGCCTGTGTCAACGATGTTTGACTTGATGTCCGCCATACTGAGGGTTGTTGAATGAACGCGATGACGGCGGTCGCAATGTGATCGTGAGTGGACAAAAGTTGTGGTTTCCTGAATAATGCAGAGCAAATGAAGGAACTACCGACAGTTTTATCAGAAAGCATCTCAATTCGATAGACCCTCTTCGAATGGCCCGACTCCAATGAGGAAGCTCGAAACAAAGTGGAATCGATGTCTTGATGTTGATTTTTCCTACGTGCGTGTGAGCCCTTCGGCTTGCCACTCTAGTCCAAGGACGTTGCACAAACCTGAGACATGCACGCGCTCGCTATGGAACCAGGCAGCCTCAACGAGGCAAAGAATGCGAGTATGGATTGGGTGACTACGTTGGTTTGAATCAGCCTTGTTCGATATCTGTTGATTCGCTGACGATATCGAGTCGTGGTGGACATTGTGTGTGACTGCATTCATTTATTTGCAGGAGCTGAACTCAATAGTTCCTCTCATGCAGCAAATAAGAAGGAAGCATACAGTCAGTTCAGCCAACAAGGAAAGATTCGCGGGCAGACGCACGTCAGGATGCCATGTAAGGTAATCCACAGCCCCACTATGCACGCCCAAGCAATCTGGTAGGGATTTTATGCCCATAGCCGCCCGAGGCGGGAAGAGTTCGGGCGGAAGCTATCGCCAACCTTTGTCTCGGCAACTGCGGGATAGCGATAGTACATTCATACGTATTTTTATGAGGGCAGATAGCTGATTGTACATTAACACGACATGTTTTCCCTTCATCTCTCTTCTCGTTCGATCTACGGAGCCTTGGTATAATAAAAAAACTTCGTCGGTTAGTCAAGCCAGTAGAAGAAAGATATCCATATGGAGTCGTGTCTAGGCACCGCCAATCTTGTCCCTGTTATCAGCACGGGAAACGCCCATCTCGGTAGACGAGTCGAATTAAACTGTATGTGAGGAAGTCGGGAAATTCAGTGGATATATTATTCAACGAAGTTGGAGTCTGGGTTGACCGAGGGCTGCGCTGTTCGTTTCCGAAGACGGGCGTGAGCTAATAATATAGAGCCAGTGCCCCTCTCCTTCATTTCCATTCAGCCTTTCCTTTTAATATCAATATCATCCTTATTCGAACATTTAGCCCGTCGGTCAACGGTTTCACTACCAGTTCTTAAATACATACACGGTCAATTGTACAAAGACTTTCCAGTCAGTAGCTAGCCCTCTTGTGGGAGTAACCTGACTATCACCAACTAAGGTCAGGTAGATGGAACTTAGTGAATTTTCAGGACTGAATCAATATTCACTTACTGTCCTTTTCAAGTGAAAGACAGCGAAAGGTTGTGCCCGTATCAAGTTATGACTTCCAACTGCCTCTCTACGGCCTATTTTGTTCACAAAGCCCAAATGGAGCAGATTGTATCAAGCGTATAGACGGTCTTACTCAAGTCTACGATTCTTACGGATCTTATTCAGCGATGACAGTTCAGTTCAGTGAAATCCGAAAGGGACTAGTGAAGGCCACAGAACTCCATGAGGCAGTGCTTGTGTAACGCTTCCGTTTCGAATGCTGCGGGTTCTTAATCTGCGGGAGTGTGAACCACAGATCGAACCGTTGTACACAGCCGCATTGCTGACATAAACCTTAAGGCAGAGGCATCATAAGGCTCTCACTCTATCACTCTGAAAATGATTGGCCCGGATCTCATACGGCCGAGTCGGTTCCTTCACTGAGTCTTGGGCGAGGCCATGAACGATGGTCATTGGCTATTAGATTGCTGGGGTGGGAGCCGGCATATGATGACTGTCTAGAACCTAGCTAGCGTTCGTTTGGTAAGTTAAACACTGGTATCATCCTTGACGGGGATCTGTATGCTTGTCGTTGTCAAACGAATTTGACTTCGACCTAGAAATTATTAATCTTACCTATTGGAATCACGAAGCCAATGAAGTCCCGCAGCTACAAGATCAATACGTTCAAGTACGACTAATAGAATAAGGGGCAAGTTTTATCATCTATTAGGCTACCAGAGTCCAGCTGAGAAGAAAGGCATACCAAAGGGCCTATTGCTCTAGCCCAAGCTCTGGCTCCCATGTGCCTACCGTCCTGTCTCTTCCGGCAACGTCTTTCCGCATCTGTTGTCAATGTTTCGATCCCCATGTTCTTACTGACATAAAGGAGGCCTCTTAGCTGAGATGATGGATGTGAAATCAGAGCTTAGATGGATTTCTTCATCGAGACGAACCGCTCTAAATTTCATCCAACGAATCTGCGACTTTCGGTCCATAACCCGAAAATGGTCGTCAACCGGTTGCATCCATGGCATACGATGGCAGGTTCTCTAGCGTCAATGGTCATTGACACAGGGACCTTGACATTGAATGACACGTCGCATCGTTCTTGGGGTCATGTTGTCCCACCGGCTCCGGTCACTTACGCAAGACTAGTATCCCTTGAACAGTGAAAAGGGGCGTTGTGGATTTACACTCCAGAATACTTAAACTTTGCCGTTTCCCCGGGTTCATTGACGATTGAACGGTGCGCAGCTAGCGCCTACCAATTTACTATGTAACTCAATCTGAAGATCTAGGTTCAGATTGACTTCTTGTCAAAGTTGTTGCACGGTGAGTCAAGGTGTGATCTGCTAGCGCACCGAGCCATGGAAACCTGACTCAACCAAAGATTGACTCTGACCACCTCTGACTCTACCGAATTTCGATTCAGAAATTTTCTTAGCCCTACAAGATGAGTGGCTGCGTCTTGAGCTGCATCAACCACGGTTCCCATAAAGGCCGTTCTGCTTGGCACCTGTTTCTATCATCAGGGTGGAATACAAGTGCTGTAATGAGCAGCACCTTGGCAGAGACGCAGATAAACAACGGCTCGGAGAAGACAAAGGTGAGACACGGCCGAATCAGCACCGAAATTGGGGGATTCACATTGCAGAATGATGTTCGAAACCATGATCGTCGAACCCGTCCCTGAGAAAGCAGAATTACTGCCTCTCATGAAAGCAGGCTCCAAAACATCGAGGTAAGCCCAATCAGGTTTTTTCCAGAAGAGAGGCCTCCATGATGGCCGATGATTCGCGGTCCAGCCACTCTCATGGAACCAGGTGGTCTGCATGTGGATGAGAGTCGGCGCGGATGGTGCAAACGCCGTAGCCGCCCTTGTCTTGATTGCATTGTTTATGGTAAGAATGATCCGTTTCGAAGGGGGGCCTAGATCATCGACGAAAGTGACGTTGATGAGCCACGGCGATCATAACAAGGAAGGGCGAAAATCCAGTCGGGTAGGCAAAGGAGGAGTTGCCGCCAAACGCCTCGACTGATGCAGTGGTGGTGGCTGAGGGCGATTCTCATGAGCGAATCGCATTTCACGAATAGTGACAAGACCCCGCTATTATCCGTTTAGAGACATTGACGGTTGACGGCCTGTCGTCTAGCCTTACGAGGATTGACGTTCAAGTGTCAGAAGAGTCAAGGGGGGTTGAGAGGGGTCATCTTGGGTTACTGTGTTTATGACTTGGCGGTTTGGTGGGCAGGCTTGCGTTGTAATCGAGCTGTCATCTCGGAAACTGGAGAGCATCAGAGGGTTATCCCAGAGACAAGCGAGTTGTCAAAATTTGCGGGATACCGATTGGCTACCCAGAAGCCATCTCGGAACTCTGCGCTTCCTGGACTTTAGAGTTCACGTTGACAGAATCGCAAGAGCCAATCGCAATCAACCTGAGAAGTCTGAGCGGAGGGGCTTCAGATATAACAGCGGCTGAACCCCCCAGCAAATAAACGCAGCATGACAGCATCCCCCAGCCAGGTGTCGACAAAATTAGGGATCAGATATCGATTAATGCCTTCTGCTAAGTTCAGTCAGCGCTGATGAAAGACGGTGGCATCCCGTCCCGGGGGAACGAACACAACTCTTCACATATAGGTTCGCACTCCTATATGTGTGCCCCTGGTTAACGCGGCTGTGCTCTTCGTGATCTCCAGGCGATCTGACGCTGTAACATGCTTCCACAACGGCTGACTAGCGAATCGCATTCTTGCGGAAGCACACCTTTCCCTCTAACCCCCGCTCATTTCCCCAACTGTTCGTGCCACGAGATCCTTGGCAAGAACACTCAGGAACGCTGTCTAACGCCGATGTCAAATGGCTGACAATTGAAACAGTCGGTTGGTTGTCCCTAAATTGGGGATAGATCTGCTGAGGTTGTCAAAGTCTAACGCAAATGCCGACTAGGGGCCTTGCAAATTGCACGCTTCTCACTTTCCCATCCCATGATTCCACCGCCGTAAGGCCGCTAACGCTCCTCGTCCGTCTTGGACGGAAGACTGCGCAAACAGCACCCGGCGTTTGGGGCCGCCGACGTTGCATCCCGAATCGAGCTATACTACCGTGTTTATATGACTTGCATAAGGTGTGCATTGGTGATTTGAGAATCTGGAGAATCTGTGATCGTGAGATACATAAACGTCGTCGTCGATCCAGTTCTCGCCAAGCTCATTTCTTCTGTGTCTCAAGCTCACATGAAGATACTTTGCGATAACATCAACCACTCGCAACTACAACTCTTCTACTCCAACAACATACTCTTTGTCTGCAGGTATCAGGCGCCATGGATTCCTATCTCGAGGAGACATCTTACACCTTCTTCCCCAGTGTCGAGGGCAACAGTCCAGTGTACACATTCGATTCTCAGTTCATTCCTTTCCCCGCATCAGAGGGCACAGAGAACTTCTTTTATCCATACTCATTCCCGGCATACCAAACATCAATGCCTCTCATGAACAACGCTTCTCCACTCTCCTTGGACACCGACTACGCAACCATCAACACCCCGTTCACCGCATCCTCCCCCCGCTCAGACTTCTCGCCCATCCCCAGTGAGCCTTTGGATTTCGCATCACCGCCCAGCACCAGCAGCGGACCAGTCTCGCCACGATCACCCCCACAGGAGGTGCAGCCCGAGAGCTGGGGGCCGGCGGATCTTCACCAAATGGGTTATCTCGACGTCGCCGGCAACTGGCGCTGCCGCTACTCAGGCTGCTGCTCCTCGCGCGTGTTCCTGCGCGCGTGCGATCTCAGAAAGCACTTCCGGGGCCATGCAAAGTACTTCTTCTGCACCGAAAAGAGATGCCAGCAAGCGGGCGTTGGTTTTGCGACCCGCAAGGACTTTCAACGGCACATGGGCTCTCACAAGCCTGCTGTGAGGTGCATGCACCCGGACTGTGATCGCATTTTCAGCCGGAAAGACAATATGGTTCGTTCAGCCCATTCTTATTGTAACCCCATCGAAACACAAGCTAATTCACAACATTAGAGAGAGCACTACAAGAAGATTCATCAGAGGTTGAGAAATAACCTCTTCCCAAGGAGGTGCCGTCAAACCAAGAAGAGGGAATCGCAGGCTGCCTCACCAGAGTCCAGCTGCTCTACCTGCTGCATGGAGTGTTAAGTTTCTTCGATTTCGGGCAAGATTATTTAAATGCATTGGCAAAATGGCTTAGCAGCCTCTACCATTCGTTATACGATTCATGAACCAGGGGTTAAGCGTTGTGTTTTCATGGAGTCTTGGGGGAATAGCATAGGAGCTACTGGATTCATCCTAGGATGGGAGCCCTATAATAGATAGATTACTAGTATTTGATGCCTAATGCAGCCATTCATTACCTTCCTATTAGAATACCGAATCTCTGGCACAGGGACTGCAATCATTCCATGGCAAGGTTTCGAGAAAAGACAGTTAGCTTGAGTATCGATCCAGAAATTATATCGGAAGTCGAATCCCGAAAGCTCCCTGTCTATTTCCGTACATGACAAGGTAAAAATGCCATTTCTTACCGGGCAACAAACTCCGCAAGCGAACTCCGCCAACGGAATTGAAGCAATACTCACCTTGCTGTAGATTCAGCTCTCTCTGGTGATACATTTGAAAATCTCTACGCCGTCATGGTTCGGCGCATCCCTCGGCTCCCGCGTCGTCGATGCTCAACCAAATGCCGAATGTCGGTGGACTATGAACGAAAATGAAGCACACCCGTGTACAGACCAACTCTAAATACCACTGATCATGGTCTCGATTCTGTTTATATCAAATTGTATTGCGTATGTATATACCAGCACCAGCTGTGCACGTCGTTGAGCTGTATGAGGTTTGTCAAAAAGCCCTAGGATAGAGGAATTTCAAAGTCTCGTTCTCGACAACTCTAAAATAAAGTCCACTTTTCAAAGTATTACCGTACATATTAAGTAAGTAGTAATTGAAGATAAAGTATCATGCTTCTCATCTGTATTCTCGGAGCCCGTGAGCTCCGTAGTACCGAAAGAGATTCCGAAGTAGTGCGACATTGATGGGATACCATACGGCAAGTTTCTAAGCATATCGGACGAGACTTCCGATAGAATTCCTAGTTGACATTATTCTACCTTTCAGATGACACAAAAGCCTCCCGAGCCCCCTTCTATCGTCAAGTGTTCTCTCATGCCTTATCAATCCTGGCCCTTTTTTGAAGACAACACATTGTTTCCATCCGAGCAAGCTAAACCGCAAGATTCAGACTGAAATTATAGCCATAGAAATGTCCAAGACGGATATTACGCTCATTGGGGTCGGCAACATCGGTGCCGCAATGATGAAAGTCTGGCTGAAAGCTGGACTAACCGTCACAATGTGGAACCGAAACCATCAACGGCTATCTCTTAACGAGCTCGTCGAACAAGGCGCCGTTCTTGAGACAGACATCCGAGCAGCTATTCAAAACAGCAACGTAGTTGTCTTGTGCGTCTCAACCTACGACAACATCATGGATGTCCTCGCACATGCTCTTCCCTTCGTCGAAGGGGAACGCTCAGTCTCGGTCATCAATATCACAACTGGAACTCCCAAGGAAGCACGCGACATGGAGACATTCCTCAAGAAGAACGGAGCCACTGCATATTTTGACGGTGCCATCATGGTGACACCGGCTTTGGTAGGCACCGAACATGCTTCAATGTTTTTCAGCGGCGAGAGCGAGGGCGAGTTCGGCAAGATGTCTCGGCGTTATCTGGAGCCGCTGGGACAAGTCCACTACATCTCTGAGGATTCTGGAGCAGCAAGCTTATGGGATCTCGCCGCCCTGGCTGCCTTGTATGGAACCTTCACCGGTGGTATCCTTGCTCTCAACCTGCTCAAACGCCAAAAGACGGGAAATAGCAACGAGAAAACCCCGACAACCAAGGAACCGATGGAAAAGATCGTATTGCCGCTGCTTACGACTTTTTTATCCCATCTATCTGATGTTGCCCAATCTCTGGATGAGGAAACGTGGGAAGAAAACTTTGGGAATCCAGCTTCGATGCAGATCCAGGGCCTCGAGACGATTTTGAGAGGCTGCCGCGAAGAGAAGGTCAGCAGCGAAGGACTCGAACTGTTCCATTGCATGCTGAAGAGGTGCATTGGAGAGGTTGGCAACAATGCCGGCTTGGCTAAGATGGGAACATACCTACAACAGTAATGGCTTACATCTGTGCCTCGCCCGTTTGGCCAAAGCCACCAAAAAGTCATTTTGTAGATACCGAGATTACAGGTGAAAGCGTATTCTAAACAATTCTATTATTAATAATACAAGAAGAAAATACAAATATGTAAATATCCCCCTCTTTGCAATTCAACCCTCAAGGCATCGAGTTCAGCCACAGTTTATCGATAGAGCCTTCAATTACCCCTTCGTCCTAATACCAGCCTGAAGGCATTCAAACAGTTATGCATCCAAGTTTGATCGAAATCAGACGTCGATGCTGGTTCCCACAACCTCGGGGAAAGCAGGATCGCCCGCCTTAGTGAAGACAGACTTAACCCGCTTATGCAACACCAAATCAGCAAAAGCCCCAACAATTCCAGCAACGACCTTTCCAATCCTGCCAAACTCAAGACTCCCAAGCTCGCTCTCCAACAAAGAGCGTGCTGCCTCAGGCAAAGTAAGGTTCAGTGAAGAAATGAGGTTGGGGAAATCCGTGAACGCCCCGTGCGTAGTGTTGCTGACAGTCAGCAGAGCTTTTGAGCCTCGCAGAGCGGGAAAGAAGACGTCCCAGGTCGGATCATCGGCCGAGTGTCCCGGCCGGCCAACGAGAGTAAAGGGCCGACTGAGACCCGCGTTGAGTACGGGATCGAGAAGCTTGCCGTCCAAATTGATGCCACCTAAGATGCGCGAATCTTGCAACATTGCAGCCGCCGCCGTAGCGCCCCCCAAAGAGTGGCCAAACATAATCGTGCGCTTGAGGTTGACGCCATTGATGGGGTTGTTTTGAAGATGTGAGAGCACAAAGGAGACATCGTCAGCTCGAACCTGGGATTCAGTCAGCTACACGTCGGCTAGGGACTACTCGGGGGTGCGACTAGCCTGGGTGAGAGATTCCAACTGTGTGGTATTGTCGGTATCGAGATTTACAGCCTGATACACGGTTCCATCAGGAAACTCAACAAAGGAAGGGTCGTAAGGGTGGTCGATCGTAACGACAGCAAAGCCATAACTGGCCACCTCGCGAGCCATAGCGCCGTAGAGGAGGCGTGGGTTGCCCCAGCCAGGAGAGAACAGCACTAGCGGAAAGTTCGAGCGAGGACGTCTGCACGAACGGGCTCTAGGCTGACAGAACTCCATCTCGAATGAAGAGAAGGTGCCGTTGGGAAGGCCGACAGCGACGCCCAGCTGATCATAGGCCGCGGCCACGAGGGGCGTCATGTATGGCACTCTTTTCATGTCCTCACAGGGGTTCTTTGCCTTCTCAACGGGCATGAAAGTCGATGTCATGACTCGCCGCAAGTGCGTGTTGTTGACTGGGGCGTAAGGGTCGAGCCTGCTGTCATCGGTCAGGGCTTCCACTGACATGGAAACCGCGTAAGGTCCAGTAGGTCCGTTGACGAGAATCGCCTGAGTCGCCGAGGCGAGAACGCCTATGATCAACGATGGGATCATGATGTCAGAAGTTGGAGGTCAAAAGGTGGTAGGAGAAGGGTTGATGAGGTGCTCGGTGTGTGAGATGTAATAGAATCAAGAGTGATAGTGCTTGTCTGAGTTGAGGAATATGAAACAGAACGAGAAAGACGATGCATCTTATACTCATCTATCGTCTCTTCCTCGTGCCCATGATTACACTCGAAGACCCTCTCGCGTGGTTGTTTCCCATTTGAGATAAGTGTAATTAGGCTGGGCAAGTTGGAAAGATGAAAAAAGAGAGTAATTGCGCCTCTCATAGCTTGAGTCGGAACTTTGAAGACAACTGAGGCTTTGGCCCTCGTCTCTCTCCAGGCAACACCTCAGCTTAAACGTTGGCTATTATACAATTGGCCACACTACCCCGTTTTACTGGAGATTCTTGCTTAGCGTCGCTCAATTGCTTCCGCTTTGGGTTTGGTGAGTTCGGGGTCCCGATCCACTCCCCGACGATCTCAACATCTTACACAACTTGTGCGAACCTTTCGTACATGTACACACACTCTCCCTGTGATGACTATTCTTGCAAATTTTGCGGCGAGTAACAAAGGCTTTGGGCCATACGAAAATCATAGGTCTCTCATGGTATTCTGACAAAACGACAATGCATCTTGGGCCGTTTGACCGTCGGACTAGACGTTCTCGCTGTGCGCCGTGCGCTGCCAGCCACTCGAAGGTGCGGCAATCCACCCCTGTCTTTCCCATTGCTATTGCCGCGAGCAATTGGGCTTCTCCGAATTATGGTCTCCTAACTCTCGCCGATCGAAGTGTTCCGGCTCAACTCCATGTGCTCAATGCCAGAAACGCTGCATTGAATGTGTATTTCCGGCAGTGTCGGCTCCGCGCAACGGAGCTGCAATCCGGCTGGCCAAGGGGAAGCTCTTCACGGCCAAGTCTTTCGCAACGCCTGTCACACAACGACCTGTTCCGCCGCTCTCGGACAAGACCATGACTTACCTCTTTTACTTTGATATTTTTATACGCAAGAACAGCTTTACCGGTCAAGAGCCTAATTTCCTCGCAGACGTTCAACAACTAGTCAAGACTTGCGGCAAAGCAGGAAGAGATCCACACAATCATCTGCTGGACGCAATGTTGGCTCTGGGTGCTATGCAAGCAAATATCCTTGGCGGATCAGGCTGCCACAATAGCCTGCGTTTCGCGCTTGAACATTACTTGCAGTCCATAACCTCTCTCCAAGGAGCTGTCCTGGACTCCACATTGACACGGAAAGACGGCATTCTCTGGTCAACCTTTTTCCTAGGGCTATTCGAGGTTCGTAAAGCTCGACAAACCTATCCGGAGGCTCTTGTATACTCAGCCTCGAGATTTTTTGATGGCAAGACAACGAGCTGATATTGGCAAAAGTTGCTTCAAGACGCCTCTGGCCAGAAGTGGCTACAGCACATGGTCTTCGGCACATCTCAGGCTCTCATCGCCAGCGGGCCGTCAGCATGTACCTCGGGAACAATGCGAAACTTCTTCATACAGGCACGAACTTTTGAAGTCTGTAGAAGCATAATTTTCAACCAGTCCAGCTTCCTGACAGCACCAGAGTGGATGAAGGTGACACGCAATTTATCGGAAGAGGCAAACATTCAAAGTCGGGCTTCTGTAGATGATATCCTAAACATCATTGTGTTATGCTCTAGGCTCAGAGCACGGTAAGTTCAACCACTTTTTGTTTCTTCATGTGATGTGCGTCAAAGAGATAATGCTGATCTACGACTCCAGTACGGGTCAGTTCATCAGAAGTCACACCAGCTTCGCCGGGGTTGAGGTCCCATCCATCGATGCGCTAGAACTTGCCACAGAGGGCTTCTATCTTCGCGATGCACTTGAAAATTGGAAGCTTGATGCATCATTTTCATCTGTCCAACACAACGAGATGCTTCTCGCCATGAGCTACTACTCGGCAACAAGCATATATCTCTCCGGAAACTATGACTACGACCTACATCACTGGCAGGCAATGACCGTTGCGGTACCGGTACTAGGCCGAGTTGAGATATTGAAGCATGTTGAAGACATCTTGCAGACAACCAGGGAAGCGCTTCGTTCCTCTACTCTATCGCCGCTTCTGCACCTTTTCCCACTACGAGTAGCAGGGGCAAGGTCCCGAGAACATTCCCAGCGGCAGGCCGTCACTGAGTGTCTGCTCGAAGTCAAAAAGCAATTTGCTGTTGCTGATGCGATGTTGGTCGAACTCTACGAGCTGTGGTCTCTAACTCCCACTACGCCTATCAATCCAACACCCTTAGCCAGTTGAATAATGTTGATTCCCCTCTGAGTACACTGTGTCGAGATCGCAAAATTTGGTTTGTGATCTACTCGGGTTTCTTGTAGTTCGGTGAGACTTCTGACAATTGCCTTTGGTGCTCCCCTTTCTCAACCATGTCTTTGATGACTTCGTCGGCGACCTTCATAGCCTGAACACCCGCTGGTGCACCGCAATAAATCGTCGCTTGAAGAATCGCCTCGCGGATTTCAAGCTCTGTCAGCCCATTTCTGATCGCCCCTCGGATATGGATTCCAAATTCAGCCCAGCTCTTCAGAGCAATGAGCATGCCGATGTCTGGTGCAGGTGTTAGCTCGAGGGTATGCCACCTACATGCATACCATGCACAATTGCAGCAGGGCCCAGGGCCCAGCTCGGATTAACTTACTTAGCAGGCTTCGCTGCTTGCGTTCCAAGCCAGGACGCGACCATATATTTCCCCAAGCCCACCTATTTCGATTGACCTTAGATTAAAATTATGATCAATTGAATGGTCGATACTGGGATTCTCACTCCGTAATCAGTTCTTGTTGAGCAAAGGCGAATTCGCTAGAGCCATTGCGCATCGCGGTCTCGACATAGCCCTCTCCAACGACTTCGCGCCGATTCTTCAGACCAGCTTCAAATAGTTCGGCGCGCAGCTTTTTGTTGTTTTCGGATGACATCTTTGCTCTAGGGTTTGCAGGAGAACGTCGGAAACAGGTGAGAGTTCGCGATCCAGTGGTATAGAAAAGAATGAGACAGAATGATATTAATATCTCTCCCCGTTTCACAGGGAACAACTCATCATCCGTGTTCGGCAGAGCTACGGAACCAATTGAGGGGTCACATCCGAGCTGAAGTTGATAAAAATGACTGATGGCGCCGAATCGATCCGCAACCGGGGATAAACCCACACCCCGCATTACCCCGATAACCCGCATGAAGTGTGAGGGCTATCCCGCGTTATCCCGTCTGCGGCATGCGATAGCTGCTAAAGTCTCGGTTTTGCATCTCTAGCATCGTTGTTGTATTGATAAACCCTCTTCTATTGTCGGTGTATCTAACATCTTACCAAACCAGCTCAAATAAATTCCAGCAGGTCCTTCTTTGGCCTCTGAACCAGCTTCCACTTTCCCTTATGTCCTTGCTCATCTTGCTGATGACTTTCCTCATGAAGACCTAGACTCTGCGCTCCTTTGTGTTTCCGTTGATTCTCATCATCATCATCATCCGGGTTCCCAGGCTCGGGATATTTCCTCAGATGCTCGACCGCCCAAATTAGCTCCTCGGAAAGTACAGGCGGCGTCCGCCCCTTGCCCCTTAGCGTCGGAAGGCCGGCGACACGGAACAACCAGTTGAGCCACTCAAACGTCTCGCCGGTTTCCCAGGCAATGTCGTGGAACTTTCTGCCTTCCTTCTTGACGAGCTCTTCCCTTTCCCTCTCCCATCGCTCCTGCTCCTCAACGGGTGGCAATGCAACGGACTCTCTGCCAGAGAACACTCTTGCCAATGCGATGGCCTGGTACTCGAAACTCCTGAACGTGAGAACTCTTGGCATACCAACAATTCCCAACGTCTGGAAATCCTGAAAAAAGGTGTGCCAGAAAGTCTTGATAAGCTTTCCACTCTTGTAATCGTATAAGGCTCTTCCTCCGTTGGCTTCCGAGTTCCAGAAGGGGTAAGAGGGTTTATAGCCTGTGCAGTAGATGATGTGATCGACGTCGTCGAGGTATGAGTCGTCTTCAAAAATTACACGCCCGTCGAGACGAAATTCCTTGATAATAGGTTTCCAAGCGATGCCCGGAGGCGGCTCATCTCCATCCCAGCGGGACTTGGACCTCCGGGATTGATAAACGGGGGTACGGACTGTCTGAACCAGTTCTTCTGTCACGTCATGGCCAGATGCAGAGTTTCCGATGGTAATAATTTTCTTTCCGGTGTAAGGTTGTGGGGTGCGGTAAGTCTTGGAGTGCACGACGCGGCCCGGAAATTTCTTGATGTACTCGTCCAAACCCTTGACGTGGGGAACCTGAAAGCATACTGAGTTAATTCAGATTCGAAGAAGCGGTTTACAGATTCACAAAAGACTCTACTCACATAGGGTACCGAGTAGTGGCCGTTAGCGAAAACTACTGCATCAAATACCTCTTGCCACCAAACGTCGACGTTACGCGCAGCGTCAAACTTGCGCAGAGTCAACCTCCACTGCTCGGGCCTATCTTTGGCCGGAATTCTTGTCACGTCCTCAACTGTGGTGTTTAGTACCAGGATTGAGTCGGTCTTGTGCAGGGAAAAGTAGTTCTCAATGTATTGTCGTGGAATCCAATGCGGCGCAAATGGTCCGTAAGCGAACCTGGAGTCCGAAAATGACATCGCAATGTCAGGGACATTGGTACTTCAGGATGTTATCAGCAGTCCTCTTTCGCATATCACGGGAAGTTTCAGCAATACTTACGTCAAAGAGTGATAGATCGGAGTCTGTGAGTAGCGTTCTCGTTGACTATGGGGCTTGACCTGGGGAAGCTCGCCCGGGATCTCCACTGCGGGATCGACATCGGGCGGGAGGCTCCCGGGTTGAAGTGGAGGTAGCTCTGATGGGCTTGGATCGTAGATCCTAAAAGATGGAGTCAGTCACAATGGTCAGAATGAGAACCAAAAAGGAGCCATTACCATGTTCCGCCGGCGGACTCTCTTCTTTCGAATACCTGGATCCTTTCAAAGTAGTCTTCCGCTTTGAAAGCTGCAGCGGTAACAGCACCTAGTCAATATCGGAGACAAATTAGCCACTAACTTCAACTAAGTGCTCGCAGCGGATGATTTGCCGGCGGCTTGCGTGTTTGCATCCGGACAGCTGCCATGCGTGGCCCAAGAGGTACTTACCGGCAGCGCCCGCGCCAATAATGGCTACAGACTTGATCTTCCGTTCGCCTCCCATTATGACAGTGCGTCTTAAAGCTCAGACCAACAAATTACGAGGAATGGCTCAATCCGTTTGTCAGTCAAAGCGGTCTCACAAGCACATTTACGGTGTACAAAGTATTTAAAGCACAAGAGTCCAGAAGGAAACGAACTTCGCAATCGAGTCAGGTCAGATTCATTTGTCATCTATCAGACGTTAAGAGGGGTTTTGGTTGGAAACTGGGTTGATCGGATGTATTCGCCATCTGTCGCCATCCTCAGAAGCGATTTCACCATCGCTGCGTCACGTGAAGAATCGGATGTTATGTTCGGCATTGCGAAGAATCAAGATAACAATTGAAATAAGAGGTCTGAACCTTGCCTTTCGAAAGTCAAATTGCTTGTATCCAGAATTATATCTCAGCTGAGTTTATGCAGAGAGGTCTTGAAAGATTCTATCTAAGCCGAAAGCGAGGGGACCGGAGCGCAGTGTCTCCCGGCCGGGCCGGCCCGGATGCCGCTATCTCGTTTGATTGAGCGCTCCGTCTCGCCGATTAAAACCGGGACCCCCGGACTAATAGCTACCGCTCAACAAGCTTGGTGATAGCCAACCAATGTTTTCGGCAGACCGGCCTTGGGATTACCAGTTTCCAACTACCTTCTCGCCTAACATTGCTCATAAGACCCAAATCGAGGTCTCTCGTTTCGAAGCTGCTCTAGCGCTATTACTTCCACCCAAGGCTTCGAATTCAGTGGAGTGCCGGTTCTGAAGTCCATTCGGACCCCGAGTGAGGTAGGCCGATGCGACCATTTCAGACATCATCACATTTGAGTCGATCGCCAGCTCAATCATACGACCTCCTACTTTCCGTTCGCAGAATCAACAAAACGGTTTGATCTTCGTCACCACCAGATTTGTATGATTTCACACAAGAAGTATGATATGAACACCAACGAGATATCGAGTTCCGATACCAATGTCTGTTGTAATAGACAGCGAGTCGTACATCTGACATAGCGAGTCATTGAGTCATGTTTCTTAATGCTCGAATCATCTTCAGACGTGAACCCATCTAGCCAAGGTAGGCGACCTCTTCAACGCAAGCGACAGAAATGCCATTGCATCTTCAACTCGTACTCGAGGACCCCACACACACGATGGCACTCTGCAGCAATGCCACGAAGTTGGTCGCGTTTTTGTTGAAACACCGCACTCAAGTTTCCGTTAGGCGCAAGATTCTGCCTTGTTGGACCTGATCTGGAAGCTCCCGATGCATGAGCAAGGATGCTCAGACAGGCCTCACTGGCTCAGGGGGGCGCAGCTTTCACAACCAACAAGGGCGCTTACAGCTCAAAGTTGTTGGTAGGAAATTGCATCCCGGACGTCTCTCAAAATTGTGCTGAGACCGGTGATTGCTGGTATTTATACCACTGAGAGGCCGAGGACTCAAGGATGTGGGCTTCTACAACATCTGCTCATCGATTACCCCGTCAGTTGCTGTCGCTCGATAGGTTCAGACTTCAATTCAAAAGATTTAACCCATCAGCCCGCTTCATTTACAATACAATGCAGAATTCTCCACCGCTTAGGGTCACGAAGCGCAGGGCTAGGCCCGTCAGAGCAGCGCAGCCGAGCACAGCTTCTTCCCCTTTGGCGCCGGCCATAACGGGCACGACGCCCGATCAGCCACCACGCCGAGCTTCAGTTAATATTCCTTCTTGGAATCAATTCGCCGGCCCTGGTTGGACCCCAACTTCTGAGAGGCCTGATGAATCTGAGGTGGACACCCCGTCGAAGAAAAGCGTCCCGAGAACCAGATCAACATCTGCAATGTCGCTGAAATCGGCCAAACCTCCCAACATCGAGAGACCTGACAGCCTTGGGCAAAATTCTGGCGACCTTGGCGGCGTAACTCGGGCTAAGCCATCTTTGCACATTTCTCACACTTCCCCAAGCCTGAATTCTGAACTTGAAAGACGAAATCAACGGCCTGTCGTGCAGGATCGAAGTGCAAGCGAGCAACCTTCAATACCAGCGAAGAAGCTCAGCGGGCCCCAAATCGACCGTAAACTTGAATACATGATCAAGGCCGGCCCTAAGGCAAAATCTTCGGGCTTCCTCTATGTCTGGGTCACCAAGCCACGCGGATGTGGTGGAAAGTGGTTTTCATTCTAGCTATGTTGGAGTTGTTTTGCTTGGACGGGATGTACATGAAGGAGTCTGTTTCTAGGCTTCTGAGTGGAAGTCTTCAACGTGTTACGCTTTGGTGGCTATCGGACTCGCCAGAGGAAGGGTCAAACCTACAAGCCAAGGAACCCTCGTCATCCGTCTCTTCTGAACAACAAGCTCAAACTGGGCTTCCAAAGGATCCTGATACGGACATCGCGGAGAATGTTCCCCATCACGAGGATGGCGGCATTGTTAACGAAGAAGAAGGTGTGTCTGACGACAGCAGTGAAGATGATCAAAATGTGGATGAAGATGCCCTTCCTGGTCAAAATCCCTAGGAAACCTCTACCAACTCAAAATTGAATGGAGCCAAACCTTAGTAGACGAGCAGGATCAGACGATAACCTCTGTCCGGCTTACAGTATTGGTAGCAAGCGAAATTTAATGGACCACAATGATGAAATCTGGCTGGACCTCAGTATGTTACTATGAATTCAAATAAAGTTTTAATCATACTTACCTATATTTATGTTGATTGATACTATTCCTTGGACGAAGTAGCAATGGGAACAAATTTTGGCGTCTTAATTCAATTTACGTCTGGACGTTTTGAGAATGTGAAGCAGAGCTGGTGTCGATGAAGACACATTTTGAAAGGGCCAAAACTTTGAGTATCACGGCTAGATATGGTTGAAATTTGTGCAATTTTGTCATGATGCGCTGCCAAGGCAATACATATTGAGGACTTTTAAGACACCAGGCTTCCTTTCCAGTATTGTGAGGAAACTTGTCTGCTCTGGGTCCATATTGATCATCGGGTGCTAGTTCACCACGCTAGCCCGCCCAGCAAACGTCCCGCTTATTGTTTTGTACCTCTCTACTTCTTTTGTCCCAAAAGGGTAAAAACCCAGCAGAGCAATTACGTAGATACTGCCAAGATTGCTGCTGACAATCCCCCAACACCACTCAATCTTCCCAATGAGGTTCGAAGCTGTCCCTTGTAGTCTAAGACAAGCAGGGCTGAATGCGAATCTGGGGCGACATGTAAGCTCACTGCGCATGCAATCTGTTTGCCAAATTGAGACTTTGGACGCCCTCGGTGGGCTCTGTCGGGCTCAGCTTTTCGCCGCCAAGGCGCCAGTTTCGACATGTTGGAATAAGATATTGCGATGATTTGACGAATTAAGTTGATGAGTCGACGGGTCAGCCGCATAGCCTCGATCCTCGAAAGTAGAACCTTGTTTTCTTGCTTGTTTCCTCGAATTGATAGTCACTATGCAGGCAGTCAATATCCTCTAAGGTAGCCACTTTAAGCTGATCCTGTCACTATCAAGAGCATCCATCTCACACCTCGTCGCACATATAAGACTGCAAGCCGGTACCACGGATGAGAATCATATCTTCCCAATACTCACACATCACATCAAACCATTTCAAATCTCAAATTGGTCATCATGAAATTGCAAAGTACCCTAATCGGCCATCTCCTTCTGGGATCAGCCAGCGCCCTGATAGTACCGACCGAAGCCCACACCGCCCTACGGAGAGACGACCATAATTCTTCGGTTCCATCAAACCAATCATCCATCCAATGGACAGAGTGTGACTTGGATTTTGGAGAGGCTGGCAACGCTGTTTTTGACGCTATGCCGGAGAAATTTCAGTGCGCCAAACTCGAGGTTCCGCTGGATTATACCAGCCTCAGCTCTGGTGAAACCATCCAGCTCCAATTGATCAAGGCCAGCGCAAACAAAGAACCCTACATGGGGAGTATGCTGTGGAATCCCGGCGGACCAGGAGGCTCTGGCGTCGAGTCGGTTGCTGCTCTGGGGCTCAAGTTGCGAAAGTAGGTCGTCGTTAGCATCATTGCCTCTCATCTGCTAACTCACTCATTGTAGCATTGTCGGAGGAAATTACGATATTATTGGATTCGATCCTCGGTAAGCATTATGCCATTTTCGCACCCTGTCTTCATTATGATCATGGCTGACACATTCTCAGAGGCACTGGCAAAACCATTCCATATGTCTGCAACGTGACATCGGCTGAGACTTCCGTTACCCGACGTGATTTTGATACGCTACCCAAGGGTGATATCTGGAACAGTATCAAGACGGTAGACTGGGAACTCTGGAAAGTCACAGCCGATGCCTGTTTCAGAGACTATGCCAAATACGGCCGCTTCGTCGGCACACCGTTCGTTGCCAGAGACATGATTTCGATCGCCGACGCCCTCGGCCAAGGCCCCAAGGTGAACTACTGGGGCGTCTCCTACGGCACCGTCCTCGGACAAGTCTTCGCCTCCATGTTCCCTGACCGTGTGGGTCGTCTTGTCTTGGACAGCAATCTCATCGCCGACGACTACGCCGATACCACGTGGAAGACCGGCCAAAGAGACACGGAGCGCGCCTTACACCACCTCTTTGACGAGTGCGTCGAGGCTGGTCCTGAGGCCTGCGTACTGGCCAACTTCACCGGCGCCGACACCACCGGGGACAGCCTGATGAATGCACTCGAAACTCTGCTTGAAGAGCAGATCGACGACAAGAACGACACTGCCAACGAGAAAGACGACATCGTCTCCCTTTTCAAGATCTCCCTGTTGGCAGAGCTCTACAAGCCGCTGCAATACCCTCTGGCCGTCGAAAGAGTCCACGCCGCCTTGACAGGCAACTGGACCCGGGCCATCGCCTCGGCAGCGAATGCGCTACCGTCCGAATGGAACGAAGGCGGTACCTTTGGGGTTTGGGGCATTTCCTGCGCGGACTCGTCCTTCCGCGTTGAAAACGTCGATGATCTGTACTCCATCTACCGAACCCACTGGGAGGGCAGCTCCTTCGGCGAAGCCAGCGCCAGGCTACGCATGCAATGCTCGCGCTGGCGGTTCGATGCCGCCGAGAAGATCGACCGCAACGCTTTGAGGAACGTCAGGACCAGCTTCCCGGCTCTCATCATCAATGGCCACTGGGACCCAGTCACCCCTGAGAACACGGCGTGGGAGATTTCTGCGCGGTTCCGGAATAGTCGGGCTGTTATCCATCACGGTGTTGGTGTAAGTACCTTACTTTCTTGTCACTTTCCTCGCAAGTATAAATGCTGACATGTCTTTCAGCATGGATATACCAACCACCCCTCCAGCTGTGTGGACAACATCGTCCGTGAATATTTCCAGAATGGCAAGATGCCCGAGCTCGGTACTACATGTGAGCCGGATATGACTGCATTCGAATATGTCGCTTCCCAAGCAAAGAAGGCAGAGGAGAGTGAATAGTCAAGGAATAGTCTAACAATTCGAGGCTTTGTAATTACTTTATGCATCTGGAGTGGTTGTACGTGCATTAGTGCGAGTAGAGAAGCTGTTTCTTCATTTTGTCATTAGGGACTCGGAATACTCCCTTATTTGTCTGTTTACTTCTTCTTAGTTCATTTTCTTTTCTCCATGAGATAACATCATCTTATTTATTCATCCCATCATAAGACTTTTCCTTCTCACGCTACTTGCTCCGGTTAGTTACAGGATCGTACAACCTCATTTGAGAGTTTCCAAGTGTCCCGCATAATCCCACTTCTTACCGTCCCTCCAAAAGCCTTCCACCACCGGCTCATGTGGTGTCTTACCGTCTACCGACACCTCATTCAACCAACTCCAGTACGTCGTCGCCTTCCATCCATTAGTCTTCCAGTCATTGATATCTCTATCCGGCTGCTTGTTGAAGACCGGCAACACGTCCAGCAGACTTGCGTCGTGTGCGATGCAGACCATCACATTGTCCTTAATATCCAGCTCACGCATCTTTGCAACCGACTCGGTGGCCAGGTCAATGTCTGTATAGACAGGGTGTTTACCTCCGCGAGGTAGCTCATACCAGGGCGTGGTCAACGCCGATTTCCCGTCTAACGCGTTAGGGTGGTGGGGAGTAAAGTGAGAGCATGGGCACACGGCCTTGGACGCCCAATCTCTGCGCAATGCAATGGCCGAAGCGGGAATCCCGTCCGGGAGCGGGGTCTCTTCCGACGGCCGGAAGACGCCCGCGAAATGGCAGATATCGCCGCCGAGAAAGACAAAGGTGGCTCCCTCGGGGGACGAAGACGGCGTCGTCCGGGCGAGACCGCAAATGTGTTCTGGCTGGTGTCCCGGAGCCTCAAGCAGGTAGAAGGAACCATCGCCGAAGAAGTCTTGGGCTTTGAACTTGCCCACCATCAGGCCTTTGTCGAAGTTGGCTTCCTCGAGTGGCCGGCCTTCAAACTCTGCTGCCGCCTGTGGATCATCTCTTCCCCCGGGTCTGCCTTTGGATGAGAAGTATCCAGGCCCAGTAACCAGCGTTGTTGATTTAGGAAAGACCGACACATCTCCGCGGTGGTCAAAATGGGCGTGAGACCAGATGCAGTAGTCTGTATGGTCGTCTGTGAGAGAAGGTTCCTAAGAAGCAATTTAGACAGAAAGATTCTTACCAATCGACTTTGGATCTACTCCTCCATCCGCCAACACCTCATCAATGCCCTTTGGCACGCTCATGCCAAAGATCACGCTATCTGGCCCCAGCACTCCTTGTTGGGCGCCTTTAGGTAAGTTCCAGTAGTCTTTTCGGACGCCGAGATCGAACATTGCCTTCTTTCCGAGTTTCTCATGTTCGAGGAGGAAAGCTAGCGAGCAAAAGTTGATGACTTCATGCCCCTTCGCGACCGGCTGAACGAAGGACTCGGCCACGCCAACCATGGCAGTTGTCGTATCGACCAGCTTGACGCGCACGACATTGTCTGATTTCGGAATGTTTGCCATTTCGTCGATTTTGTTGATGAATCTGAGTAGAGTGGGTTTACAAACTATGGGAACGACTTAAGGGAGATAAAGAGGGGAGAGATGCCAGAGAAAGTTTCCTGAGCCGCATGGTGCCCCGACGTCATCGGTGATTATCAAATGAACATGTCTTCTCCACTTCCCCGGGTTTTGGCCTCCAATGTGGAAGCTCATTGCTCTATCACAGCACGACGTTGGAGATGCAGGAAATATTTACCCGAAGGTGCCGCAAACCTGCCAGCCAGTGTAGATTCGTGCCACATGCAAGCCACATCTGCAACACTGTATCGTACCACCGGTCCGTGATGGAGAAAAGTGTCTCTTGATGTAATTTGTACAAATGCCTAGCGGGGAGTCGAGAGTCCCTAAAATGCAACCTTCCAAACGCCTGCGCGCGTGCCCAAATGCTCTAGTTTAGTAATATATCGTACCCGTCTCCCATGATGCGAACCTCTTCGCTGCCGAGACCGTACTTTCGTCGCACCAGTTCAAAAATGATCAATCCAGCGCTTGTGCTGGGAACCTGGCGGATGGTGTTCCACCAGAAACCGCGCCATAGCCATTTCCTCACGCCCAACCCTTCCTTTGCGGCCTCTGCGCAGCATTCTGACCAGGTCTCTTTGTAAGCCCGATAGTAGGCCCTCGCCATCCTCCATCCGTCTTTACGGTGTGCCGGGTCGGCTCCCTTGGTTTCCCTCAATTTCGCTGCCTTGGCGTCGAGTTCCTCGAGGCGATCCCAGTGCTCCACTTGCACGTGAGTCAAGGGATGAAGAACAACTTGTTGGGCAAAGGATGCGCTGAGGCCTCCGAGAAGCAAGAAGATAGGCTCTATAGCATAATGCGGTCGAATGATGAGAGGCTGCTTGTTGTCATCTTCCGGTTTGCCATTCTTCGCAGGCCGCTTTTGGGCCATAAAGTCAACAATGTGCTCTTCGAGTCCGCCGTAGTACCACGAGACGAAGCGGTAGTATCCTTGCGCCTTGACATATTCGAAAACGCTGAAGAAGACCGCTGCGCCGAGACTATCCTTCATAAGGGAAAGACCCCATCCCGCAAAGATGCCTCGCACACCAATCTCTCTCAGCTTCTCGGCACTGAAGGCCCACATGCTCCTGGGCTTCCCGCCCTCTGTTGGCATGAGGTCGCGGTGATCATAGCGTGCCTGGATGGCATCTAACGGTGCCGCGATGAAACTCTGGAGACTTCCAGCGAGAAGTCCCGCGGTGAAGGTTTGCGTCGGATGCGGTGGTGGGTAGACAGTCTTTGTCGCTCTGCCGCTCTCCTCATGCAGGCTGCCAAGGATCGTGAGGTAGCTGGTATACAGCACGGCTCCGACGCCCACATTCGCGATGAGCGGCGGCAAGACTTGGTTCGGGAGCACGCTCCAGCCGTGCTGCTTCACCGCCGATGTGAGCACGCCCGGCGTAGTGCCCCGCAGATAGAACCATGCCTGGTTCAGCGTCGCCTTCAGCTTGGTCGAGGGCTCCTTTGCGGCGGCCTGGGCGAGCAACTCGATCTGGGCCTGGTGCACACTGCGCGCGTAGGCGAGGTAGTCGACGCGGGTGCGGAAGAAGGCCTTTACAGGAGCGCGAAAGTAGAATGCGATGGCCTGGGCGCTCAAGGCGCGCACGCCGGCGGCCGATGCTGCGGTTGCGGCGTTGCTGCGCGGGTTCTTGTCCGGAAGCTGGGCATCGGGCGGTAGGACTGGGAGGACGCCTGTAAACGGGTCGTATGTAGTTGTGCCGTCATCGAGACGTCGTGTCATTGTATACTGCTTTTCATCGTCCCCTACAGGTGAGATATCCTGGATGGGATTCAAGACGGCAAAACTTGGCATCGGTTGAGATCGGTTCGCAGATTCTCGATGTGATGACTAAGCGCATGACCCTGGTAAAGTGGGTACCTTTATGCCGGACGTCTCCTGCCTGTGACTGTCAGCACGAGGTACCCAAGGCAACCACATGATCTCCAGCTTGAGATCCCATGACAACCTTTACAGTTCAGTACTTAACTTTCAGCCTTTCCAGAATAGTTTATATACCAGCATGAAAAAGAATCCTGTTTTGCCTCTCAAATCTGACCAAATCTGAGGTCCAGAAACGAAAAGGGGGCGACTTCTATCTTTCGATAATGCTTATTTCTTGACATAGCAGATACAAGGAGTGATGCATCTTTTAGGTTCCGATGTCATAAAATTCTCTCTCTATCTATTACACATCTTATTATGTTGGTGATGTACATATGAGACACGACCGGCAATACTCGATATTGGATGATGGGAAAAGGCGCGTAGCTATCGGAAAAGTTTAATAGAATTATTACAGAGCTCTTCCAAGCTCTGGTCAGGACTCTAATAGCAATAGCAGTCGCACTTGTTGTCAGATGAGCGCCTGAAACTGTAAGTAGACAATCCAACAATGAATTCGGAGAAGTCAAATACGCACCAATATCCAACATAGCCATCTTGATCGTTCTCGTCGATGCACTGCATTATGTCAGTCACTCGTTATTTGAACTTGTCTATTTGATCCTGGTGTCCAACCTGGCCACATCGCTGACCACAAGCCCAGGTATCGTCGCCGTTACAGTTTCCGTTCTGTGAAAAGTCGTTAGTTTCCATCGATCGTTATTTGAAGTCTATCATCAGGGTCACACATACTCCCCATTCTCTAGGGGGTTGTTGGCAGACTACTCTGGCGATTTCAGCGGTAGCTAGACTGCTGAAAAGAAGGAGGGCCATAGCGGAGGCTTTCATCTTGGATAAAATTCTCTGTGGAGTGTTGTAAGAGATCACGATGAGAATATTGTTGAAATTCGGAGTGTGATCTCCTGAAAGTGGTCAAGAACACCGAGGGTATTAATAGCTTGATAGCCTGGCATCGAGGGTTGCCATTGCCTAGGTAGGCATGCCGTTAATTTACACGCTGCAGCGCCAATAACCTTACTCACGCAACTTGAAGTCGATTCCACTCTGGAATCCTGAAATGTCCGAAATTGCCTCTTTACCATGCCTTACCCGGTACCCGATAATCACTCCTCGTGCTAAATACTTTGAGTGATCTTGCAAGTATGCGAATCAGCAGCCTCAACCCTGGTTGGTGTATTGTATATAGAAATAGGCCGAAATGGAGAGATTGAGGGACTCTTTAATCTGTGAATGGCTTTGAACATGATTCGAAGTTTTGATTAGTCGGAGATTCTGTTGCACCGATGGGAACGTGTATTAGTCGAGAGTGATCTAGACGCGGATCCAAATTCGTCTTGGAACGTTGGTTCACTAAACACTTTTCGGCATCATGTTGGGGGTGGTCAGCCAGCACACGGTAGATATTGAGACTCGAGTACGTCCTTTCGGTCTCTGCCAATTTTCAAGTGGCAGGAACCTCTCCCCGAAAAGGTTACGGCAATCATAGAACCATTAGCCTGCCAGAATAAATCCCGAATAGAAGTGGTAACGAAGTAGAAAAAATTGATGTTGTGCACTTCCATTCCCGGGGGGGAGTGGTTGATGGCAGGTGCTCCCTGTAGGGCGTCTGACTAATCCTCCAGTGGTCTGTTGCTGGATTTTGCGCGAAGCCCAACCTCTGATGGCGGCCTGCCCTACTTGCTTCCCAGAGGTACACAGCAACTACAGCTCAACATTCCAAACGACCACGTAAGATGTGGAAAGCCATCCGGCACCGCCTTCATCGTGATCGGTTTTCCGCACTTCGATGAGCTAGTCACGATCCATCCCGGGCACCATGGAACTCCCTTCTGAAATACTTGATCAGGTTCGTTGAATCTCTCGCCACTGTGTGCGGTCGGCTAATCCTACGCCTTCAATAGGTCCTTGATGGGTTGATGGTCTACCAGCCGTTGGCAAAAGTCCGGGGCGTCTACTCTCTAGACGACTGGGAAGCTTTCACGTCGCACTCTGCGCGGTTTCATGCCAGTACACGCCACCATTCTGGCTCGTCGTTGAAGTTCAACCGAGACGAACTGCCACCCGTCGAAGGCGGCTTTTGGAACTTGCGCTTGGTCTCGCGCCAATGGAACTCCTCCGTAATCAGAATGCTGCAGAAGCACGAATGGTGGAGCGTACCCTTTGATGATCGAAATCGTCTCGAGAAACTTCTCCGAATCTGTGACGGGCCTGATGGCGGTCCATGTAGTTGGATCAGAAGTCTCAGCCTCCACGATCTCGATGGACTACGAACTTTCTCGCGGCTATACTCGTACGACTTTGAGATGTAAGATTTACTCGTCTACCGCAATATGTCAAGCACTCAGCGATCTTGCAGAACGTTAGCAGGCTTACTCGAATCTACTGCCTATACAAGAACGAACGACTGACCCAAGACTGATGCAGGTTTGAGGGTCAGGATGTCGACGACGACTACATCATCTTACACTCCTATGTCGATAAACTTAGGACGACAGATTGGTGGACCTCGGATCCTACACGCTCTAGGCACGAGCTCCATTACGGGAGGAACAACGAACACGCGCTTCTTCGACGCTTTTTTGACACTGTCAAGCACATAGAGCGCTTCAGTGTTGAGTTACCTGCGGCCCACAGCAAACACGATCTCATGGCAAATTGTTACGATATGCAAGGCGTCGATGAGATTTTGGCAACAGTAAAACATGGTCTGACCAGTCCGGGACTCCAACACCTAGTGGACCTCAGCTTTGCGGTGCCTTCGACGTGGCATATTGGACAACTGGCCGGTGGCCTCTCTCAAGATGCTCGGGATCGCCTTAGGAAGCTACGTTTGGTTATCGTCGACGAGACTGGACCGAGCGGAAGCGCACAGTACACCAAGATAGAGGAGGAAAATAACGACGGCGATAGAACGACTATCCTGGGATCGGTTGCGCCGAGTAATGTGCAGGCAACCTATCCCAACAGAGAACATCAGGACGCGCTCTGGGCCTTGGTGGCATCTTGCCCCAAACTTGAGGCACTGGGCATCGAGGCGACGCATTATCTCAACTTGGACCTTCAGCAGTGGGAGAAGCCTCGATTCGAATCCAAACATTTGCGCGACCTCTCGCTTCGCCGGATATGGACAAACGTACCGTCGCTTCTACAACTGTTGTCGGCTGTACCGTCATCGTTACGGGATTCGGCGATCCGCCGAGTCAACTTTGACGACGTCAAGATCCACTGGGACGGGGGTAACTGGGAAGACGTATTTGCGCATCTGAGGACGAACTGCCCTGATCTTGAGATCTTTCGCGCCGAACAGCTCAGCTACTTTTCCAACCACCCGCGTTACGAGCACAACAACAGACAGTGGGAGAATTACAATTCTATTTGGACAGACGACTACGGTGAGGACGCTCACGACAGGCTGTTCTTGCAAATGCTCGATACGAAGCTTATCAAGCAGGCTGGGTCGCGGGAGGATTATCCTGTTTCGGTATATGATTACGATTCTGAGTTGGAGGAAGAAAAACCATAGGTACCCATTGAAAGACTCGGCTGAAAAGCCGCGAAGGCTCTCAGCATGTCAAACACCTCTCAGACTGCATTCGATGTTTGATTTCATTCAGAGTCTCGTGCAAGTCCGAAAGTGATCCCAACCAGAAAAAACGGTCAAATACCTAAACGAGGTCAAATATTGCATGCATTCAGCCGTTCAATCAGGGATACGAAATTCTAGGAAGCTAGGTTTCCAACAGTTCGGCTTCGGCTCCATTGATCGAATTATCGGCTTCGGCTTCAAAGCCCATTCCCGCCCGGGCCCAAGGAAACGAGACAAGCGGAACCAGACAAGATAGTTGCAATGCAGAAATCGGTGTTTCGATCGGCGGAGAGTCGCATATACAATATTCTTGTGGCACATTAGTCCGGTCCCTGGCAGCATGCAGAGTGCTGCCCAGAAAACTCCCGAGTGATTCTCAATCTTGCCGGTGATACACTCCGATCGGTGCGACGTCGATTTCGGCGGCTCTCTGCACACAGTTGAGAAAATTGGGAGGTCAAGATTAATGCAACGATCCAGCGGGATGTGATGTTATACCGAAAGGCGAGACGGTGGCACATGTACGACAGCATCTCGGCAGGTTCCCATGTACCACATCGGGTCGGCTCCGATATCCGGCACCGGAACGGGACCCCCGCTGGCCGGGATGGAAGGGAGCCCCCACTCTGGGATCAGATCCTTCGGCCCACTGCAAAAACGCCGCTCTGGACAAGTCTGCAGCGGGAAAAGCAAGACACCCAGCTGGGGAAGTGGGCAATATCTCCTCCCTCCCCCCATCGCATTCGCTGGGCGGTGTTCGCGCATGCTAATCAGGTAAGCTTAGCGGGCACATGTCGGCTTGAGTCCGCGCTGTACGCTTCTGCCGCCTTTGCATACCCGCTATTGCGTGATTGGACAATGAACAAATTTTGAGGCCATTGGTATGGGCAACGGCGACGGAAGTTGGAGGGGCAGGATAAGGATCTCTTTAGTTCGACGCCCTTAATGTACACGGCAAGGTATCCCGTCTCAGTGAGAGTTGAGCGTGATGCAGATGGAGGGGGTGGGCAGCGAGGGGTCGAGGCAGGCCGTGAGACTTGTAGGAGGGCCAACGCCGGCGCTGACGGTTGAAAAGAGTCAGCAGGTCCGGCAAACTTGAGCTTGCCAGCATGCAAAGGCCGGGGCCGTGACCGGCGGTAAGCGGTAGGCGGGAGCAATACCGCAGCGCCATGTACACCTTGGGTCCTTTTTGTGCATGGCTGCTTGCTACCAACGTTCATATTGTAAGGTCCCTCGGGGAACAAGGAAACGGCGGATCCCAAGAGTGAGAAAAAAAAAAGGTACGCAAGTAGGTACACCGATTTATTGAGTCAACGGCTTCCCGGGGCAAGGGTGAGCAGAAAAAGGCGTGCTTTCCTCGCGCTCGCGTCCCATCTCAATGCGGAATTTCTCTTTCCTGCCTTACCTGAGATTCGTCTCTTTCTCTCTTTCTCGGTCTCCAGTCTAAACTACCTTACCTTACTTCTTCTCTCTTTCACCTCGTCTCATCTTGCTTGACTCATGACATTCGCTTGCGGTCTGTCACCCATGTCATCGAATCGTGTTTCCTGACCCTCAATCCTTTGTGACTGAACAGCAATCGTTAGCAGCCAAGGACGCCAACGTTGTAAGGCTTGACGTTTCTTCTCTTGCGCGCGGTCCATCTGCGATACTCTATCTCGAATCTGCAGAATCTAGATCTCTCGAGTAAGCTTTCCAACCCCCGGCCCCATCCTACCTACCAAGACCGGACAAGACTGATTCATGAAGGCAGATCTCCCGCCCGGTCCCATCGTGAAATTTTTTTGAATGCCATCCTTGTCTGCTCTTCCGTAAAACCAATTCCTCACGATGGCACCCCGGAAAGCCAACCCGGCCTCGTCGTCGGCGGCGTCAAATGGTCACCACTCCACCGAGCGCACGCCTCTCCTCCAAGTCGACGAGCCCACGACCCCTCTCCCCATCACCCCGCAAGACGAAAACGCCATCCCGCCAAACGAATTCGACCTCTTGCTCTCCAGGTCCATCCCCTCCACGGGGCCCTTCCTCGAGCCCGAGTCGACCGTGAACCCCCTCCTCCGCGGTCCCCGGCGCTACAGCACGGCCTCCAAACACCGCCGGCCCTCGCTCGCGAGCCGCTCCGACCGCGCCTCCGAGGCCGGAGGCATCGCCGCCGTAGACGATGACAGCGACAACGACGATGCCGTCTCCGTCAGCAGCAGCGTCGCCTCGACACCCTTCCTGAACGGCATCTCCCGCTCCCGCTTCTGGTTCATCTTCTCCGAGATCCTCCTCACCTACTTCATCGCCTGCTTCGACGGCACCATCATGGCCTCGTCCCACCCCGTCATCACGTCTTACTTCAAGGCCTCCAACAGCGCTTCGTGGTTGTCGACGGCGTTCTTGTTGACTTCTTCGGCTTTTCAGCCCATCTTGGGCCGGTTGTCGGACAGCGTGGGCCGGAAGCCGCCGTACGTCGCCACCATGGTCATCTTCTGCCTCGCGACGGTGTGGTGCGCGCTCGCGCAGAGCATGACGAGCTTCATCCTCGCCCGGGCAGCGTGCGGACTTGGCGCTGGCGGGATGATGACTCTGGGTAGTATCATTGTTAGCGATTTGGTTCCGATTGAGTGAGTGTTTCCCCTTGAGTCTACAATTGCCTTTATTGTGCGCCTTTGTAAGATGCATACGAGCGTGTCTATGTCAGCATACCTCACAATGAGAAGACAGTCACTATGAGAAGGGTTTGAAAGCTGACAATGACACACAGAAACCGCGGCGCGTACCAATCCTACATCAACATGATCTACGGCGTGGGATCCGCCCTCGGCGCGGCCCTGGGCGGCGCCATGGCCGACCACCTCGGCTGGCGCTGGGAATTCGGCATCCAGGTGCCGCCCCTCATCATTTGCTGCATCATCGCCATGATCGCCGTCCCCAGCGACCTGGGCATGGCCGGCACCAAGCGAGAGAGCTTCGTCGAGGCCCTCAAGGCTTTTGATTTCAAGGGCTCCATCCTCTTGACCACGGCCATTACCTTCTTCGTTCTTGGTCTTGTGAGTTTTATCTCCCGTCTTTCCCGCTTCGTAGAAGTACATGGAGGGCATATGTAATGCAGTGACGTAGACAAGCTCTTTGAACACATGAACTAACGTCTTCTTTTCGCAATCTCGTAGAACCTCGGAGGAAATGTTCTCCCTTGTAAGTGGCTCTCAGATCAGTCCTCATGGATATGATCTCGCCCCTCGGAATAGTGAGCTAACAAAGATCCAAGGGTCCCATCCTCTCGTCATCGCATCTCTCGCCATCTTTGGCGTCTGCTTCCCCGTCTTCCTCTACGTTCAATCCTACGTCAGCCGCCCCATCATGCCTCTTTACCTAGTCCGCCGCTCGCCTCGAATGAACCTTATCTTTTCCAACTTCTTCGCGGCTCTCCTCAGCAATGCCATCCTCTTCAACATGTAAGTCTCTAATGTAGCCCTCGTACACATCTAGATGCCCCGAAGACAGGTGACTCTTCCAAGGAAACTCCAAAATCTAACCCTGCGCACAACAGCCCCCTATTCTTCCAAGCCGTCCTCCTCACAACAGCAACCTCCTCAGGCCTCAACCTCGTCCTCCCCTCCATCGTCTCCTCCATCGTCGGCACAGCAACAGGCTTCCTAATCACCTACACCCGCCGCCTCAAATGGCCAGCCCTCACCGGCGCAGTAGGCCTCTTAATCGGCACAATCGCCCTCTCCGCCATGCGCCGCGGCTGGCCCTCCTGGGTCTACCTCCTCTGCCTCGTCCCCTCCTCCATCGGCCAGGGCTTCCAGTTCCCCGGCACCTTCATGGCCGTTTTGGCGGCGAGCGAACAGCGCGAGCAGGCCGTCGTCACGAGCACCCTCATCCTCTGGCGCTCGCTCGGCATGGTGCTGGGCGTGGCGAGCAGTAGTCTCGTCGTGCAGAATGCGCTGGTGGGGTATCTGGACGAGTACGTCCAGGGCCCGGACAAGGACGAGGTGATTCGCAAGGTGAGGGAGAGCGTCGAGTCGATTGTGAAGTTGCCGGCTGCGTACCGCGAGCAGGTCGTCATGAGTTACGAGGCGGCGTTGCGGACGACATTTTTGTGCTGTGTCGTGATTGCTTTTGTTTCGGTGGCTCTGCTTGTCCCCATCAAGTTGCCCAGACTGGGTGCGAGAAAGACAAGCCGGTAAAGGAATCGGGGCTAATATCCACCATCCACTGGTACTAATGAATTTGAGGGGAAAAGCTGTCGCTGCGTCATCTTATATAGCATTTGTGTTGCATAGATACTTTTAGCATTCTAGCGGAAGCATTTCGCGGTTCCACATCATCATACAAGCTTCAATTTTTGCCTTGAACCCAGGCTCTGAGCCTTGTCTTGCCTTGCCTTGCCGTTCTCATCGCCCGTTATAAATACACGCACACGACCCCCGTTAATAGTGACCATTCATCCCATTAACCCGCAACGCATCAAGCTCATCCTTGGTCTTGCGGTACAACTCCTGCGCCTCGCGCTCCCTCCTGCTCACGAACCCGACCTCTTCCCTCAGGGCGCTCAGACGCCGCTGAATCGCCACCTCCTCGGAGATGGCCAGCGTCTTGAACCCGCTGAGGGCGTTGTTGGCCTTGTTCAGGGCCTCGGCGGCCTCGCCAATCTTGTCCTTGAGCATCTTTTGGCGCTTCTGGTAGCCGCCCAAATGCAGGCCCAGCTTCTTCTCGAGCTTGATGCCCTCCTCGGCCGTGCTGGCGATGGAATCTTGGATAGACTGTGAATGGTGGGATTAGTACTCGTACTGGAAAGCAAATGGAAGCACCAAAGAGGACGGTGTGTGTGGTGTTACTTACGTCAAAGGCGTTCTTCATGGCTGCCTCCTCCTCTTCTTCGTCGTCACCGTAGCATCCCAAACCCAGGAGCAGAGAGCTCTTGCTCCTGGCCTCGAAGGATGCTTGAAGTTCGACCGGCGAAGGCGTCGGCTTAGTCTCCAACATAATCTGAAGCCGTGCCTCTGCAAGGTCGTCGTCGCTGATGGTGTCTAGCCGAGGAGCAGCGCCGCTAATCTTGGAGCCGGGCAGAGGATACTTGACGGCATCGTTGGCGACCAAAGCAGCAGCCTCTCGCGCAATGAGCGCTTCGGCAATGTCCTGGAAAGACTCCGCATTTGAAAGCAGAGCCGAGACGTCCACCTTCGTCGGTCGCGGCAGCTGTCTCTGCATGACCTGTGTCCGTCTCCGCGCCTCCAGTGCTTCTTGTGCGGCCTTGATTTCGCGTTCCCTGCGATCTCTCTCTCCAGCGTCTTCCATTAGCTGATCCTCGTCCAGAGCAACCTCCTTCTGGTCTTCGGGAAGTTCGAGCTCCCATTCGGTATCTTTGGGCTTGGGTAAAGATGCAAGGCCTTGTCTCAACTGGCTGCGTAGGGCCATCTCCCGCATCTTGACATCTCTCGGTGTCGCTGAGACAAGGGCCTGGCTACCGTCGGCGTTCAAAGCAAAGCTGTCGCGGGGCGTCCTCATTGGAGTCTGTCCAACGCGTGCAGGTGTTTGGCCAACGCTATCTGTGTGCATTGGTGTCGCCAGGGGGTTCGGTGTCGCAACCACTTGCTTGCGGGTTGCGACGCCATCAAATCCGGTCGACTCGGTTCCTTCGTGTAGCGGAGTATTCTCGCCACCGAGCAGAGAAGACTGTGTGTTCGTCAAGGCTCTGATATTTCGGATCTCGTTTGCGATATGGTCTTCCTGGGCGGGAGCTCGAGGGGTTCGGATCGGGGCGTTGTTGTTCAGGGTCGAGTATTCGCTGATCAGGCCACGGGTTGCATCGTTCTCGCTCTGGCGTGCCATCATGCTTGCCCTCTCGCCCATCATACCCATCTTGACAATCTCCTCCAACTCGCCCTCGCTCACTTGGGGAGCTGGCAGATTCAGCGCTCTTCTCTTGCTGCTCTGCTCAGCCTCTCTGATCTTCTGCATCTGACCCGCCTTCACGGCAGCCTGGAATGATGCTGAGGGCGCTTCCTTTTCCTTCTTCCTCCTCTTGTTGTCTCCATCGTCGTCGCCATCACCCTTACGCTTGCTCGCGAGCTGTTGTTTCCTCGGGTCGAAAGCCTCTCGCTGGTGCTCGTTTCGGACCTGCTCCTCAGCGGTATCGTAGAATCCTGGGGCAGCCTTCTTTTCGAAAGGAATGTCGGCATTGTAGTCCATTTGGCCCTTCTTGCGTGTGACGACCTTGATGTTGATGCCGGCCGTTTTGAGCTCGCGTCGCTTCTGCAGCGCCGCCAAACGGCGCGACTCCTCCTGCTGGCGTTCTCTCGCTTTTCTCTTGGCCTTTTTGCCCTGTGTGTTGGCCAGACGCGCTCGGGCTTCGCTCAGCATCTCTTTTTCATCCTCGTCGAGATCGATCGTGTCGGGTCGGGCGGGCTTGCTCTCTGGGTCTGGGTCGACTTCGCCAGGGCGCAATCGTCTAACATCGTCGGCGCTGGGCGCCGATGCCTCGCCGCCATCGATACCCGTGAGTCCGAATTGGCTAGCTTCTCTTGCTTCGGCTTCGTCGAGGAGCTTCTGGTATCGCTCGAGACACTGGTTGGCGGTTCGGCCGACGGCAGGTGCGATGGTACGCCATTGTGTCGGCATAAGCTTGGCGAGATGCAGAAGCTTCTCGTCCTCCTCTTTGCTCCATTCCGTCTTTTTGATGCTCGGGTCCAGCCATTCGTTCCATCTTGCCTTGCACTGCTTCGGGGTCTTGCGCGCGAGCAGTGACGAGACACGCGCCCACTGGTTCAGACCATATTTTGACACTGAGGCCTTCAGGATTTCATCCTCGATGTTGGTCCAAACGCCTCCCTTGACGACCCCCATGATGACGACGAGTGCAGAAGAAATTCGGATGGCGGCGCGGGTTGTGGTTGTCGAAAGTCCCCTTCGCGAGGGCGTTGCGCGAAAGAAATTGTGATGCGAGGCCAATCGTGAAGGATGGGTACACAAGGCTGAGAGCGGCTTGGCTTGTCTTAGTCAGCCCTTGCGAGTGGTTGTGATTGGCTCCACATCAAGCACCTAATGCAGCTCACCGAGACACACCTCAGTCGTCTCGGTATTCTCGGTGAAGGTTGACATTTCCGAGAGAACTTAGTTCCTAGTGCAGTTGCTGACTGTCCGGATTGAAAGTTCGACAGGGCCACCGGTGCAAGCTTCTCTCTGTCTAGAACATCTCAAGCCAAGCGAAATAAACTCTTGACAGAAATGCTTTGACCCAAAGTATACGAAAGCCGATTGTAGCAATCGCATTTCTGGACAGTCAGAAACACACCATTCTTGCATCTTCCCGATTCTAGATAATGGCGGCATTTTTACGAAGCCCGCGGTTTCGAGCTGAAAGCTTAACATCGTATATGGTGCTGCCCTGCTCAAGCAATGTAGTGCGAGCATAGATCGAAGTCAATTACGACGACACAAGGTGAGGGTGCATGGATCTTGGCATTGATTGGCGGCCCAGCTCCGCTACTAGATTGATAAGAGCAGCCGCATTCATGAACTCTCAGCTTGTCACCCCCTCACTTTCCTTATTCTGCTGCCGAGGCATAGTAGCATCCACGCGTCCTGTTGGGTTGGAAGAGAGGGGTTTCCTCTGTCCTCCGATGCAGCAAAATAATCAATTACAAGAGGACATATGTCTGGTGGATGAGTTGTCCGTGACGAGCTCTGAGCACTTGCTTTGCAATATGGCGTGGCGTCTGGGGTTCACACAGTTGAGCGGAGTCAACACAAGTTGCCGACTCATGCTGTTCAACAAGCCGTTTCCTGGTATCAGGGACCGCGGAACACGGCAGCAGGCGATCCAAACAGCACCGAGCACATGGCGAGAAAGGCAATGACAGCACGTTGTCGCTTGCGCAAAACACCGTCTGACAATTTAAGAGTGGCCGTCTCTCAGAGTCCAAACAAGACAGCGCACCCTCGCGGAAGCCCAGGGGATATGCCGTCGGATGGCGGCAAATACATCCCCCTCAAGACGCAGATGGGACAATCTATCTACGACCAAGTGGTCCAGGTCGCTCTCGGATTGTCTTGAGAGGGGCCACCGAATCGGAAACCGGAATGCGATAACGACAACGATGAGACGAAACCTGCCGACCTGTCCAGTCCAGTAAAAGAGAGGGGGAACTTGGACAGAATTCACGGAGAGCAGGGCAAACTTCCAGTGGATGTGAGTAAAAAGCGTGGCGTCTTCCAGGAGAGTGGTTCCGCGGGACCGGTCCGCCAGTCGGTGCTGAAACATGCCGACCACCGAACCTTGTCGAGTCGTGTTGGACGAAGTGTTGCTGTGCTGCCATTTTGGGCATCAAAGTTTGTGCTGGCGTTCAGGTCAAAGGGGAGACGGGAATTATGGATGCAACATGTCTTTGTGCAACTACCTAGGTATGTGGCACCGCGCGCGCGAGAGAGAGGGTTCATTCACTGTCTTTTGATAAACCGGACTTCGGACATCTGAAGCCTGCTGAACTGCGACAACGATAGTACTACCTAGATGGTTAGGTACGACGAGTTGACAGGCTGAAAGTTACCAACGTCTTTTTGGCGAGCCGGTGGGCGTTGGGACTCTGTCACTCTGCTTTCGGATAGTTCGTCAGACGGGCTGCGGAGTTGACTCTGGTGATGTAACTTGGAGCAAAGTGCCCGCGCGGGAGTGGCTCAAGCTTAGAAATCACCTCTCCAAAGCTTGCGGAGTTGTCTACGCTAAGTGAACTAGGTACCTACCTAGGTAAGGTACGGGAGTACGTACACAGAGCATCGACAAGACGGGAGTCTGGCCCTGACAGATCTGGGTTGTGGCTGAACTTCCCAGGTTCTGGAGGTACTGTGGCACCCCCCCCTCCCCTTATCGGCCTTGGAGCTGCGAAACTGCGTCATGGATAGGCCTGGCAGACGCCAACTCATGCGCCTACTGTCCCACGAGATTGGTTCACTCACACGGGGTCACTCTTAAGTCCGGCAGGCACGCACCTATCCCACCGTCCCACGGGATGGTTGCTCCTCAACCCGCGGCAGGGAGCGTCCTGTCGTCTTGTCTTGTCGTCACCTTTTTCTTCCCTTTCCTCTCGGTCTTTGTAACTTGTACCGTATCTCGTTTACTAAAGTCTCCTACTTTACTGAGGTTTACTAGGCAAGAGAGACTCAGAGAAGCCTCAGTCCATCTTCCCCGATTCCCCGACCATGAATCAAGTACCTCCCTGTCTACTTCGGTTACGATGATTTACAAGCAAATCACTAAGTCGACCCACCCCCTTTTGGCCACCCCCCCCATTTGGCCACCCCAACAAAACATAGCATCAAAACATCGCCACCAACTACACTCAATTAATTAACTACCTTCTACTACTACAATAATATAATTATTATTCTCCTTAAGTAATTCGACCCCTACGAGTCGACTAAGACTAATAAGATAGTCGCTAGAGTCCTCCTAAGCTCTCTATATATTCTAAATATTAGCAAACTTAGTGTTTAGGTCTATTAATATACTCTTCTTTTTCCTAAGCCTTAATCGGTCAACTTTAGCTTCTAGAACTCAAATCTAGTACTAAGATATAGCTAAGTAATAGGCCTACTCGCCGAATATTTTTTTCACCTTTCTAAATAGTAAGCGTTAAGTATTATAATCTAAACTAAGCTTTATAAATAACTTTAACTAATTATAAAGCTCGCTAGCCTTCTTAGGAATTAACTAGTTAACAATAAATACCGCTAATACCTAGTTAACTACTTTTCTAATATTACTAATTACTTACCTAGCATTTATAATCTTTCTAGTTAGTATAATTAGCATTAGTAAGACTATAGGATTAATAAGTAGTTTAGCTATATTAAGAGGATATAATTTAGTTACTTTTTACTTACTTTATATATTTAACGACGTTAAACTACCTAAACGAGCCCTTAGGTAATAACTTAAGAAGTACCGCTTTCTAATAATAGTAAAATTATTTACTATTTCCTCCTTACTAAGCTCCTTTTTATATTTAGACTTAATAAGTCTAAAAATAGCTATATCTAACGGCTAGAGGATATAAGAAGTATATAAAAATAAGAATAATAAGTAAACGTTATTTTTATAGCACTCCTATATAAATCTAGTCGTTATATAACTCCTATATCTATCTAAAACTAATAATCAAAGCTTATTAAGTAAGTTAAGCCCCCTAAGGGGGGGGGTCTTAGTTTATAATAAGAATACTATTTTTAACTACTCAAGGGTAGTATTATCGGTAGTCTAGCTATTTTTTATTACTATAAACTCCTAACTAGTATATAGGTTAAGTTTAAATAAAAACTACTATTACTATACCGACTTTCCTTTATATATAATTAGTAGTTTAATAGCTCGACTATTAATAGAGATATACTCGATTATAAATACCTAAGCACGCGAACTAAGCTCTTTTTTTTATACTATTATAGTCTTAGCTATACCCAAAACTAGGCTATTAAACCCCTTACCCTCTAGGATACTAGTCTTATCTATATTATACTTATTAGCCTATTTAATGCTACTAATCTCTAGTATATTAAGTAATCTAAACTACGATTTAATTATATTAGTAGTAACCCTATTTAGATACCGCAAATTAATAATACGACTTCTCTAAACCTTAATTAATAAGTTCCTCTTTAAAAAAGCGTCTATCTATCTCTTCTTAAAAGGATTTATATCCCCTTAAGATCTTAGAACTCGCTTAGCGAATTCTCTAACCTATTTATAAGTTAGTATAACACCTAGATTATACTAAATACGAACTTACTAAGCTAGCTAGTTTTCTTACTATAAGAGAAGCCTCTAAAGGTCTACGAATACTATTACCCTTATTTAGTAACCTCTCTTACGATTGCGAAGTATTAACTTTAGAACTCCGAACTTAATCGAGGCCCTATTAACTAAGAGACCGTTTCCAATAGCCATAAGAGCCTAATTAACTTTATTTTTGGTATACGAGACTATAATATATCGATAAATAAGTGTACAAAAAAGAATTGCATTCGGACGATTTTTACAATTGTTATAGTGGTTTATAAATTAAGGGTAGGGTTTTAATGCGGTGGCTGGGATGGAGAAATGGGGTGGCCAAATGGGGGGGGTGGCCAAAAGGGGGTGGGTCGACTTACCATCTTTAGTTCCCCTCGCTGGGCTAATCCCACCCACACAATACACCCAATACAACTCACAAACTCTCAGACATGACCGCAATATGATGGACCTTTTGCTGGTCTCCAGTCTCTTTCAGAATCCCCGAGTTCCCCGTGGCCCGTCAGTACAACGCCTCCCAAGCCTCAAAGGCCCCAACCGAAACGTGTTTAGGCCGTTACGGACGCCGGACGAAGCGTTGCGCTGCTCTGTGTCTCTCTGTCTCTCTCTGATCTTGTCAACGTCCCCACGCCGCTCCAATAGGAATCACTGGCGCCTCGAGAGAAATGCTATGACCTTCCGCTTTCTGAAGTGAACATTACGATCCATGTCCGGGGGGCCGCTGTTCCCATTCCACGAGTCCACGACACATCCCATCCCATTCCCATCCTAGCACCTAGGTTGGCCCATCCCACTTTGTTCCACACCCGCAAGTCGAAGCCGCCCCCCCTGTTCAGTTCTGAGAGTGTGTAGTCGTGCAGTTGTCTCTCGCTCGCCCGGGCCCTTGGCTCGATTTCATCAGCGTCCATCGCTGTCCCACACCCGCCTTATCTCTCGATGTGGGCAGCGCACCCCGGTCCTCTGCTACGTAGCTCGGGTTTCTATTTCTTTTCCCATTCCCACTTCTCGTTGCGCCGAGCATAGCGCTTCTCTTCCCTTGCTCATGTGTCCATACCCCTCTGCCTTTCCAGCTCTGATCCCTCTTCCGACTTGACAGTTACACTCTCGGAGAGGCGCCTAACTGCTGTGTACGTCCAACACGATCCTACAGGAATGGAATCGTGGCAGTGTCGCTCTGTACATCTCGCCGCGCTCGCCCCCAACGACACAGTCCAAGTCAGGATATAGCGCCGACACTCGACGATACAGCTCTCCCAAAGACACAGATACTCGATCCGAAACTTCGCAGCCTTTTGTCTGTCACTTATCAAGCTCAAAAAGGGTTCGGAACCTACTTGCGACAGTTGTGCTGTGTTCTGTCCCAAGCACGCTGCACTACACGACACTCGAACTCGATACAGCGCACGAGCAGCAATAACAACACCAAAATAGTCAAAAAATGTCGGCACCAAAAGACGACATCATAGTCACCCGGGTGGACCAGGACGTCCACGGGAAACCCATAAACGAGGCAACAGAGACCACATCGCTGCTGAGCGCAGGCGCTCGCGACGGCGAAAGCTCCTGCGAAGATACATGGCCGGGTTATGCGGACTTCGAACACTTGCCGTGGTGGAGGACTCCCTCTGTAGGATTCTCTCTTTCTGCCTCCGGCTCGGGCCGCCCTGTGGTCCCGAACAAACGTGCTGACTTTCTGTGCGCCAGGTCTTCTGGCTTCTCATCCCGTATGCTCTCTTCACGCTGGCCTTTGGAGGCTCTCTGGTGCCCAAGCTGAATCTGTATGTCACAAATGATCTCTCGTGATGTCTTGGCGACCGATCGCAGTCGCTAATTTCGTGCGCGCCATAGAATCGTATCTCTCGTGATGTCTTGGCGACCGATCGCAGTCGCTAATTTCGTGCGCGCCATAGAATCGTCGATCTGGTATGCCAAAGGCATTTTGCCGATGAGACAGCGCTGGACCCGGCCTTCGTTTTCACTCCCGTGATACTCGGCGCGGATAACCCGCAATGCCTCATCCCCGAGGTTAAGAAGCGTGTGTCCATGTTCACCCTGGCCATCAACCTGTTGACCGGCATTCTGTCCGCAATCACCGCGCCCAAGTTGGGCCAACTCTCGGACCGTTATGGCCGTCGGAAACTCCTGGCTCTGGCGTCCTGCGGCGGCGTCGTGGCCGAGCTCATCGTCATCATGTGTGCAAACTTCCCCTGGACGTTCCACTACAACTGGCTGCTTCTCGGCGCCGTAGCCGACGGCCTCACTGGATCCTTCACGGCTGGTAGCGTTCTCATCAACTCGTACACCAGCGACTGCACCGCGCCGTCTCAGCGTGGTGTGCGCATCGGATATCTTCACGCCTGCCTCTTCAGCGGCCTTGCCTTTGGCCCCCTTCTGACAGGTTACTTCGCCGCCTGGACCGGCAACTTACTCTCCGTTTTCTATGTCACCATGGGATGCCACATCTACTTCATCATCTTTGTCGGATTCATCGTTCCCGAGTCCCTCAGCGTGAAGCGTCAGCTCCGCGCCCGCCAAAAGCACAACCAAGAAAAGGAGGCCAAGGCCAAGGCCGGAACCTGGTCCACAATCAAGGCGGCCAACCCTCTGGCTCCCCTCAAGACCCTGTGGCCCACGGGACCCGGCACCTCCTCGAGACTGCGTCTCAATATCGCCGCGCTCTCGTTCACCGACATGATCCTCCTGGGCTCCGCCATGAGCGCCGGCACCGTCATCCTTCTTTACTCCGAGTCCCCTGAGACGTGGGGCTGGGGCACCCTAGAGAGCTCCCGCTACATCTCCGCCGTTTCCATGGTCCGCGTCGTCGCGCTGCTCGTCGTCCTGCCTCTTGTCAACTACGTCTTCCGCGTGCGGCCCGCAGCCTACCGGAGGAGGGTCTCGGGTGTCTCCATCGTCGAGGGGAACAACGGCGCCGACAGCGTCGACTGCTGGATTCTCCGCTTCGCCCTGCTCTCGGACGTCACAGGCTCCCTTGGATACCTGTTTGCGAGAAACGAGGCCGTGTTCGTGCTCTCTGGCATGGTCACTGCTTTTGGCGGTCTCGGCAGTGCGACCATCCAAGCCGCCATCACCAAGCATGTGCCCGCGGATCAGGTTGGTCAGCTGCTCGGCGCCATTGGCGTCCTACATGCTCTCTCGAGGGTGTTGGGTCCGATCGCCTTCAACACGCTTTACTACTCCACTGTCGGCGTCTTTGACCAGGCCATCTTCGTCCTCCTTGCATCCCTGTTTGGCCTAGCTTTGTTGGCCAGCTTCATTGTGCGGCCCGGTGGTAAGTCATTTAACACTGCTTGCGATGTACCAGACACCCCCTTTATTAACCGGAAACACAGTGTTCCTCGAGGAGACTTACGAGCCCGTCCCTTCATCGGCGCACCAGCCGAGCTCCAACGCCAACTCAGAGGCCCTGGAAGTATTGACGGAGGATGAGCTGATACCCAATAACTAAACTCTGGGTTTTGGCTATGAGATTTGGCGAGTTGTACGTTCTACGTAGTGTCTGTGTAATTTCACAAGAATAGCGAGAGGAGGATTGAGATACCTAGAACATAGACGTCAGCGCCATTGAGCGCTCGAGAGTTGTGGTTCTTTTGATTTAGAGCATCGGCGATTTTGCCGCACCGGATACAAGAGTATCCCTCGATACCATCAATACACCTTTCCTTGATTGTCCAGACTTCCCTCTTACAGAGAGAGCAGTTCAAGCGTCGTGCTTGCTTTGCAGAGCTTTAACTAGCCACATATGTTAACACTTAATGGCTCTGAATCAAGGCTTTTGCCCTTCCTTGGCCTCGGCACCGTGGCCATTGAACAGAGCTTTGTCTGTGGAAACAGCCGGTACGACGGTCACCCGTCCCTAGCTTCGTCCAGAATCAGTGAAAAAGGCCATCAACGCCTCACTCTGGGTTGGATCTCTACCCTCTCACTTAGATCCCACTCTTCACCATATCGGCAAGTAAACCAGAACGCCTTCGTTGGCTCAGGGTCCCGTCTGAAGTCTGCATAATGGTAAGTGTCCAGCCAAAAATTATAGATCATTGAAGCAGTAAGGCTTACATCTTCCCCCCAGATCTTTTCTCTCATTTGCCTACTTCTCCTCCTAGCCGCCCCTCTCACCCTCGGTGCTCCGCGACGGGCCCTCTCACCTCCCCGGCAGCGAGAAACCATCCTCGATGTGGACTTCAACGGTGACGGTGAAGACATGGTCAAAGAGATTCTCAACCGGCCCTATAGCACGAGACACAAAGACGGCAGCGATAGTAACAAGCCCTTTTACGGCGTCCGCTTCTCCGAGAGCGATGAGGGCAGAGTGCGGGTGGCGCGGGCTGATCCGTTCAACATGGAGGCATTACGGACGGTTATCGAGGAACATGATCTAGAGTGGGACTTAATCGAGGAGGTTAAGGATGACGAAGAAGTTTCTGACGAAGATCTTTCTGAGGACGGGACGGATGAAGTTGTCAGGAGAGTCCACGAGCAAGGCACCTTGAATGAAGATGCGTACTCTGATCCTGAGAGGAGAGATGTCGAGGACGGTCCGTGGAACCCGGTCCTCAGAGACGGAGGGAGCAGTGAAGATCCCTTTGAGAAGCCAAAGTTCCGCGAGGGACAGGGGGGGTTCGTTCAGTGCGCGGGATGCTCCGATACCAGAGGTGGTTCCGATGGTTGGAAGAGATCTACGCCCTCTGTTGAGCGGGCAAACACCTCCTCCGCCGCCGCCGCGAACGAAACTCATCATCGGCACCCAGCAGACCTCCTTGACGCCCTCGATCGCAGCAACGCCAGCCCATTAGCATGGGACCTACCCACCACCACCTCCTCCACCACCTCCTCCCTCCGAAAGCGCGGAGAAACAGACTGGACCTGCAACCGCATCGGCCAAAAAAACACCAAAGAAGCTCTGTTGATCATGTACAACGTCTTCAACAACGTATTCGGTACCGAGCCTCTACGAGGCCTGACGAACCAGTGCTACGTGGCCGAATGCCAGGACTGGTACTTCAGTTACTGCCAAATGTCAGTCGATGTAAAAGAGGAGAGGCCCGGCGCGCGGAAGAAGGTGGTTGATCGCGACCCGGGGAAGGGAGGGTCGTGTTATGCGGTCGCGGACGGGGAGGATTCGAACCGGTACCATCGGTACTTTTTTGGGCATGTTAGTGCGAATCCGATTCCGAATTATAGTGGGGGGTTTAATGTTAGGAGGTGTAATTGAGAGGGTTGGATGAGTAGGAGTTAGTTAATGTGTAGATGTATGCTGGACGTTTTGGCCTGTTACGGCACTCCAAGGCACATTGATCAGGGCTTGTGAGTAATTCATCTGTCGCCCTCTTTCGGAAAGAAGAAGAAAAACTAGGATTATGGCATCAAAGCATTTTCATCTCAATGATCATGTGTGATCTCGGTTGTAAGACTTTCGCGCAGTTCAAATTCAATGAGTGAGGCCCAAAGGTAGGTAGAGTCCATGTGGTTCGCGCCACTAATACCGGGACAGCAAACGACATTTTGAGTTCAACTCGATGGTGTCGCCCGCACAGCACAGACCACAAACAGCAATTCAGTCACCACGTCATGAGCAAAAACAAATAGCAATCAATGAATCGACCTCCCACCTCGCCAAATGCTCTCACAACCTTCGGTGTAAGCGGTATTTGCTGTTTGGCATCGGGTCTTGGTGAGAAACTGCAAAAATGTAGGCGTTCCGACACCGAGAGTCGAACTCGGATCTCTCCGGGACTTTCTATGAAAGCGGAGTATGCTAACCGCTACACCATGCCGGATTTGATGCTGTATTTTGGTCTTACGCAAACTCATCAAGCGGTCCCCATTCGCCAGCTGCGCCCGTCCAAGGGTCGTCCTCTGCAACCCGCCCTCTTCTGCGACGAGCAGCACTTCAGTGTTCGTGCAAGTTGCGAATGAGAATCTGGATTAGACCGAAGAACCTTATCTGGCGCGGACATTCCATCTGGTTGCCTTGAAGCCAAGATTCGACTCAAAATCAGTGACAAATATTGGGCGTCGCTAGTACTGAGTGCGCCTTCCGTAACTCTCTTTTTGGAGTCATCCAGGCCCCTCACGGGTTTGGGATCGCACCCTGAGAGCCCGTCGGGAGGTTCCCCTTCCACAACTCTCCGATCGATTTTACTTCACTGGGCAGCGATGGCCGAACAAACCGACATGCCAGAAATATTCATGATTACAAGGAAAAGCTATCCCAATGTTCCCGTATTATTAACATCTTCGAAAAGAGAGTAGCCTCGACAGGTCTACATTATCATAGCGATTGAGGGGTACGAGAGAGAGTTCGTTCAACCTGAGTGTCATTTCGCATTGTGCTAATCCGCCACCTCTCTTGTGAGATCCCCCAAGCAGCCTGTAAGGTATTGTCTGTCGAACGGTAATGGATTCCATCGTACCGTCTCAATTCAAGCCGTCAGGTGTAAAGTTTCCCCTTCGTCAATTTAGACACGCGACCGCCGTGTTCCACACAATTCCCAATGATGAGATCAGAAGATTCATCGAGACCCTCGGCGTCCCCAAACCTCACTTTGACATTTGCTAGCAGCTTCGCTCTTGCCTCGTCCGAAAGTGCTCCACCGCCAGCCGGCACGTCAAAGTTCGGGTTGCCCCTCGTTAGAGTCGAGATGTTCATGAGCAGCTTCGGGACCCAAATTTTCAGGCTCAGCGCAATGTCCAAGACCGCTGTGAGCAGCAACACGAAGGTCGACACGATGAGAACGGCCATCCATGCCTTGTCATACCGAAGAGCTTGTACGCGAACGTATACAGTGGCTTCTGACTTTGAGAAGACGTAGTTGTCGTAGGACAAGGCGTTTCCGCTTCCCGAAGACCATGTTGTCACGCCGTCATAGTTCTCGGGATGGCCCAAGAATAGCGGCTCGTTCCCGATCATGGCCAGCCAGTAGGTATTCAGAATCTGGCTCAGGCGGACAGAAAATAGCTCTTTTGCTATCGTGTAGACCGGCGGAAGGTTACGAGCAGCCGTAGAGTTAAATCCCAAATTAGGATCAACCAAATACGATTGTAAAATGGTGGTCACACCCACTCCGCCACTACCGCTGTCCGTCAAAGTGCTAAAACACTGGAAAAACCAATTCCATACGCTTCTATCCTCTTTGGGACAGCTGTCGAAGAAGGTGATATTTGTCCTCCGACTTCCCCCAGGAGCCAGTGCCGTCGGTCGTATTGCTGTAACCTCGCAATCCCAGCCCGAACATATGACACGAACGTCGACGAACGACGTTGTCATGGAACATTTCGCCATTGTATGGCCGCCTCCCGAAGCCACAGAGTTGTAGTCCCAGTAAAGCAACTCTCTGGCAGCAATGCCAGGCACAACACATCGTTCAGTGACCCGCGTCGAGTTCCGCATTCCTTGAGGATATGGAACAGTTGCCAGTTCGCCCCATTTGAATCTCTGATTGCACGCACCATCTCTACATCCTTCCCGCGGAATGTTGACTGCTTTGGAGGCGTTTCCTGGAAATTCGCGTAGTTCTGTACAGTCCAACTTCAAGTACGAGGTCTCTAGAGCGAAACTAGACCTATGTCTTTGAGAAACATTGGCAATGGGGAGCCCAACAAGTGCAGCATATACCACATCGTCCTCGGACCGATTCAGAAGGATCCACTCGTTGCTATCAAGTTGGGTATGATTCGAAAAAGACTCGAGCATGGGGATCCTGACATTGCCCCATGTATCGACTTTTGACCTTTTTACTGCTTCTGTGGCTCCCAGAGATCCCAAGACTAATGCGTTGATAGGAATTTGTTGGCCAGTGATCCCTACCGTTGCATATCTTGAGGGGAAAGGAACCTCGTTGCTCAGGTATGGAAGGGACGTGGTAGACGAGATTTCTTCGGCTCGCGGGGTCAGAACTCGAAGCGCTGCTTGCCCTCCGAGTGGTGAAAGCGACCAAATGATCATCAGTGAGAGCCCCAAGATCCCAACCTTCTTCAGATCGAGTATAGTAGTGATCGTGCCGGTTAACGTGGTTGATCCGAAGAGGCTGTCCAAGGTCCCAATACTCTCTCCTTTTTGTAATCTCCAATGCGTATAGCTCCTGACAGTTCTACCAACAACGAAGGCAAATATCAAAGGTACAATCGTGGGGCCCTGTGTACAGCATTAGTACTCCGTGCGGACGCATAGAGGAAGCATTAAATTGTACGAGCCGGGAAAATTCGCTTGCAAACTTCCACGTCCTGGGAAAGCTTTCAATGTCGCGGCCATCGTTCAGAAGCAAGATCCCAATGTATGCTATGATGACAGCCACCATGAACAAGCAAAGCAGACTGAGCAGAATTTCTAGTGGTTTCGAAAGCACGTTCTCAAGTCTTTTCGGTGGCCACTGTATGAGTTTCAACTCGGCGTTGCCTGATTTCGGCGGAGCTTCCCGTCTGGTATCTTTAGATGTGTTCGCCATCGGCTCGCAGGTCTAGGAATGTAATTAGATAATAATGTTTGCCGGTCAGATATAAGTGGCTTCTTCCGCTGGCCGCCAGAACTTGTAATAGTGTGAAAAAGAAGGATGACGATAGCCCAAGCGGTATTTATAAACCTTCTCGAGGCTGCAAGTAGTCACAACATACCTCGTAGGGCGTTGGCACATCAGGCTGGCAGGCACAGCAGGTGGTAACCTGGACGTTGGCGTAGAGAGGGTGACAGGGCAAGTCTCTATCTGACCGCTGCAAAGCCAGTTAGAACCCATCCTCCATGTGGGCAGACTGACTTGCATATTTCGCCGCTCGCTTGCAGATGGACTCTACAAATAGTACCTCGAGATGTCCGTTGGTGGCTCCTCAACTCAGGGCCAGTGAATCCCCCGTGTCCTGCTGAGCGAGCCTTGGCGCAGCCTGGTGGTTGCCATCTTTGATATAATTGGGCGCGGGCCCATGTCTGTTGGCTTCTTGCTTAATAGCGCAGCGCAGGAAGAAGGACTTGGCCACCCTCGTTGGAGCTGACAGGCTGTTGAATTTCAATAGGCGTGGTACGACGTCGCGATGCAGGGCACGACAGCCAACGACTTTCTTGGTCTCGAAGCAAGCACTTCACACTTGCCTGCAGTGCACTTAAAGTGAAACCGTCCCCTCCATAATGCTATTGTGCACCCAGCATCGGGTGGTATCATACAATTTCGCCACAGTCACCATTTCATAACGACGTCAAGCATTATTCTCAACCCATTCCTCAACTCTCTCCACCAGCTCACTCTTTTTGCCTGCGGTATTCTGTCCCCTCGCGGCAAGCACCTCCTTGAGATCTGCGACTAGCATCTTGCTTAGTCCGCCGCTGTCTATAGCAGCCTTGAGCTGCGCCGTCGTCATGCCAGACCCGGAAACCTTTGCGGCCTTCGGTGCGGCCTTGACTCTCTTGGCTGGTCTTTCGTCGTCGCCGCCGTCCGCCTCGCGCTTGATCGCAGCCTTTGCCAACGCGATCTTGGTCTCGTCTTGTAGGGTCTCGGCCCAGTCATCCAGGTATCCACCGGCGCGCTTGCTGATGGCCTTGTATTTCGGCTCTGTGAGATCTTCCGCCTTTTCAGGGTACTCCTCCTCGAGAGCCAATACCTGGAGAATCTTGTAGTGCCACTGAAGCGATGGGTTGGGGTACTTCTTGGGATTATACATGGCCTTGGGCAGCTGAAGTTGCTGGACGATGATGCGCATCTTATCGATGAGTTCGTTGGAGCTGACGACGTGATTACTTGGGGGTTCCGGGCCTTCGCGCAGGTCATCGGCGAAAGGCAGCGGATAAAGCCATAAGCCCGCAGGGAGATAAGGTGTTCCCGAATCGTCTTCAGCCTTCTCGTGCGAAGGAATGATGGCGACGAGAATTGGGCTAGCGTTGACACGGGTGACGGCCCATGCGACACCGATCTTCTTGTCTTTTAGAAGCTTTTGCCAAAGAGCACTGAAGACACGAGTCGAGCCGACATAGTCCTCCTCTGATGGGAAGATGAATGTTGATTTCTTGATACTCGCCCAAAAGGGAAGCATAGAGCGCGGCTTGAAACCGATAATGCGGATGATGGGGGAACCGAAGTCTTTGAGAGACTTCTGCTCCTCTGGTGCAAAGTGCACGTATTCGCCGCCAAATTTGTAAGCCTTCTTGAACTCGACCTTTTCAACCGTCCGGGCACTATCCTCGGCGATTCGTGTCGTTTCGCCGTTGGCGAGCTGAGGTTTCTCACCGTCTAGCCAAATGTATGATGTTCTTGCTGGGGTCTGACGGTGAAGGATATTGTATCCCTTGACCGAGATTCTGAGTCCAGGGGCGATCTCGAAGGGGAGGTTAGAGAATAGGGAGCGCTTAGGCGTTTCTTTGGAGTTGATGTTTGATATTAATGAGTTGAGGAGACTGAGGCCATCGCCGGACTTTGAGTTCCTGGTTTCAGAGAGATTGGCCTCTGCAACTAGATCTCGATAGATGATGTCCTGCACGGTCAGCTGTGTGCCCACTCCAATCGAATGGCTCAGTACGTACATCGTAAAATTTGCCGAGGTCGAACTTCTTCTCGTCCCTGGTGATGGGGAAAAGCTCGATCACGACTCCAAGATCGTACAGGTCTTTTGCACGGACAGCCGCGGCCGATTTGGCATCCTTGTTCTTGCCGTGTGGGTCATCATTGTCTGTGATGATGAAGAGTCGTCTGCTGCCAAAGTTCGCCGCCTTAATAGTGAAGATTTGGTTTGCGCAGAAAAAGACATTGGCCATTTGGACTTCCTCCTCCGCCGGCACTAGCACCTCATCTTCATCTTCGGCTTCTTCTCCATCCGCGCCGACCAAGGTCTTTAGTGCCTTGACATCTTCAGCAGCGGGAACGTCGAGGTCTGTGAACAAGTAGCAGTGCGGGTAGCCCAAGCCTGCCCGACCGCTTTCTTCCTGAAACTTTGACTTTTCCGTGCCGAAGAAGAGAATGCCCATCATGTCTTTGGGGTTAGAGATGATGCGCTGCTGCATGAGATGATAGGCGCATTTCAAAGCTGCCTCGACGGCACTGTCCTTATCGGCCTTCTTGGAGTTTGTTGCGGGCGGATGCTGCAGCATTGATGAGCTCACGTCAATGGCGAGCAAAATGGCATCTTTCTGAGCCTTGAAGTCCTGCGACAGGTCAGTTATAAGTCATGATCCACAGTGCATAGGACTTACGGTCTCATCAAGCTCCTCCTCAGCATCATCCTCATCCTCATCCTCTCTTTTGAAGTGTCCACGATCAGCCATCTTTGAAAGGTCACTCGCAATGTGCACGGAGAGAAGATGGGATCAGTTTCGCTGCATTGGTTGTGAAGCGGATGGATATAGCAAGCACTTGCAGGTTAGCTACCAGGCGTCGCTCCAGGCAGCCAGCGCGACTGGGGTCCTCGCGCACCTGGGAAGCTCGCGCGCCAAGCTCGCAAGAGCTCCTGGTCACAGCGCGCGACCACGTGACCGTAGTTGCCGTGATTCTGAATTACGCAGTGTCTAATTGGCCAATTTGGCTGTGGGTTAGGGGAATACCCAGGCACCTGCTGTTTCAGGGCCAGAACAGGGGATTCCTTAAGTATCGAGGTATCGTCTCGGCCGCACAGGGGTCCTGCTCGGTGCTCGGTGGGCTGCTGTCCAGATCGGGATTTCCTTCGTCATCGAAGCCCGAATTCCTCAAAGTGTCGCCCAGCATCGACGCATCACCGGGGTTCGCGGATTGCCACAAGTGCGAGAATCTAGAGCCACTTGAACATTAACCACGTTTTTCCTTCGCACTACACTTTTTCCTTGTCGTGTATTCACATTCATCCATTGTTACGATCCAATGGCGTTCAAGTATTCAACAGGACAGCTCTCGCGGAGCTTGTCCAAGGCGACGACATCTGCGCGCAATGCCTCATCGCCTCTCACCATGGCGCTGCCGAAGCAGTCGGCTGCACAGCTTAGATCAATGGCGACGGTCGTACCACCCGTGACGCAAAACTCTGCTGGATCCAAGGGACCGACGGCGATGGTATTCATGAACATGGGTGGCCCTTCAACGACGGACGAAGTGGGAGACTTTCTGAGCAGGCTTTTTGTAGGTCTCTCGTCATTCTACATATTGCGACGCAAGCTAACGATGCGCAGGCAGATGGCGACTTGATTCCCCTTGGCCGTTTCCAGAACTACCTCGGTCCCCTGATTTCGAAGCGACGAACTCCCAAGATCCAGAAGCAATACGCCGATATTGGTGGCGGCTCACCTATTCGCAAGTGGTCTGAGTATCAGAACGCCGAGATGTGCAAGATTCTCGATGAGATCTCACCCGAGACAGCGCCACACAAGCCGTATACGGCTTTCCGCTACGCCGACCCTCTGACCGAGGAGATGTACAACAAGCTTTTCGAGGATGGCTTTGGAAAGGGAAGAGGCGGAAGAGCGGTCGCGTTTACACAATACCCCCAGTACTCGTGCTCAACGACAGGAAGCAGCATCAACGAGCTGTGGAAGTGGAGGCAAAGGCTGGAGGGCAAGGCCGTCGGAGAGACGACACCTGGCGACGGTACCATTTCATGGAGTGTGATCGATCGCTGGCCGGTACACCCGGGCCTGGTCGAGGCGTTTGCGCAGAACATTGAGGCGAAGTTATTGGAATACCCTGAGGACAGACGCAAGGACGCCGTCTTGATCTTCTCCGCTCACAGCTTGCCCATGTCTGTGGTCAACAGAGGCGACCCGTACCCGGCCGAAGTTGCCGCGACCGTGTACGCTGTCATGCAGCGCCTCAAATTTTCCAACCCCTACCGCCTCTGCTGGCAGTCCCAGGTCGGCCCGTCCGCCTGGCTAGGACCCCAGACCTCCGACTCGGTTGAGAACTACGTCCACAAGGGCCAGAAGGACCTTGTGTTGATTCCCATTGCCTTCACATCAGACCACATCGAGACTTTGTTCGAGCTGGACCTTGAAGTCATCGCTGACTCTGGAAGCCCGGAGACGGTCAAGAGAGTGGAGAGTTTGAACGGTAGCCCCGTTTTCATCAAGGCTCTCGCGGACATTGCCAAGGCTCATCTTGATAGCAGTGTAGCGTGCTCGCCGCAGATGGAGTTGCGGTGCCCTGGCTGCAAGAGCGAGCGGTGCCTGGAGTCGAAGAAGTTCTTTGCCGGACAGCAGTCAAAGCTTCTCCCCGCGCAAGAGAAGACTCTTGCCCAATAAAGAATGAGTCGCATCTAATTTGCGGCATGTAATTGTGTATTATATCAGGAATCGGGGATCTGTTAGGGTCTAAAATGGCATTCGGAGAATGGCGAATTCAAAAGCACATCAACTCTCAACTCTCTTCCATCTTCCATGCATGAAGTGATTCGCCCGCAGCTTTGTAAACAACCTATTTTCGCATTGGGGACGTATGGTGATTGCGAAGTAACCAAGTGCAAGGAAGCAAGGATTGGAAATGCTTGAGGGGACTTTGCCTGTGATAATGACGCCACTGTATTTCTGGAAATGTGCTAACAATTTCCAAACCTAGCTCCACCAACGATCGCCCTCAATCAATCTGCCCTCGGTGAAGCTACAAATCGACTCCATCACGCTTACATAGTTGACGGTAGGCTATGTTGAAGACACGGCCTTTGGCACGCAAAGTATTTCGAGCTCAAACCTTCGATATTCGACGAAATATGAGCTCTCAAAACAAGATTCATTTCGGGCCATTTGAGGTCACCAGCCAGGTCAGTTGCATTCCATCACAGTCAATGACACCCTATTATGCGTCGATCTCAAATTGGCCTCGCGGCATCTCATAACGATCTTGATATGAACACGATTTATGGATGTGACATGGGCACTACTTCATTTCAACATCAAGAAACCTGAACTCGGGCATCACAGCTACACTCATAGACTAACACAAGACCAGGTCTTCTTCAAGACGGCACACTCCTTCGCCCTGGTCAACCTCAAGCCCCTCCTCCCAGGCCACGTCCTCGTCTGCCCCCTCCAGCCTCACAAACGCCTCACGGATCTCCAGCCGGCCGAGGTGACGGACCTCTTCACGACGACACAGCTCATCCAGAAGATGCTCGCGCGCCGTTACTTCTCCAACGCCACGTCCACATCAGAGCCGGCGGCGCCGGAGGCCGGATCGTTTAACATTGCGGTTCAGGACGGCGCCGACGCGGGCCAGACGGTGTCGCACGTTCACGTTCACATCATCCCGCGCGTCCCCGGCGAGACGGGCAAGGACGGGGAAGGGCCGAGGGATGAGATTTATGAGCAGATGTCTGCTGAAGATGGCAATGTTGGTGGCGCGTTGTGGGATGCGGAGTTGGGTAGGCGGCCGGAGGCTGGAGGAAAGTTTGCGAAGATTGAGGATGCGATGAGGAAGGCGAGGAGTATGGCGGAGATGATGGCTGAGGCGAACTCGTATAGAGAATTATTGAAGGATATGGGAGCTTCAAGTGAGAGTTAAGTATCGAATAGCGACCATATCACGATGAATTGAGCGCGTTGCAAGAGGTCAATTTTTGTAAGTTGCTCTCACTTTGAACTCAGCTTCAGGTGCTCAATGTGCGCCATTACGTCGCGAGGTGCCAGACACAAGACTGCCATATCAGTCTAGCTCTTTGTGAGATGAAGACTCAGCAGAATTAGAAAGAAAAGGAGATCATCTTGTTCATACTATAGGTACTATAAGCATTTGGATGCAACTTGGCAAGTCAGCCGAAGCTATAAATCGTGGTGCACCCTCATCACGAAGACAGTGCCTGAGCTGGCTAGCCCGTAATTAGCACGGTAAGCTAAGGAACTTGGAGCAAGTCCAGGAACCCCCACCAAATCATTAACGCGTTCGGGGTCCGTCGCGTCGAGTCGCGTCTTCCCTCTCAAGAATAATTGTCACTGTAGCGACACCAAACTACCGAACTGCACTCGGGGGGCACTCAGCGCAGCACTCAACATTGTCGCAACTAGCAAACGAGGGAACTGAACCATTCGAGTCAATTGGGCTCTCCTCCAAAATGCCCAGCGCATCTTCACCCGTCACATTTCCCGCCAGCCCATCACCGCCCGCAGCGAAACGCCCAAGGCCACCAGCGGCTGACCCGACGAAATCAAAGCCAAAGGTCAACAGCGGTTTCCTTCTTGACGATGATTCCGACTCCGACGACAACAACGAGCAACAGCCTCCCCTAAAAAAGCAACTCCTCGATTTTAGCGCCCGCTTGCAACGTCCGGCGCCCCTCACCTCCCGTTCGGACGACGATGTCCTCGAGTCGATAGTACAAGCACCTGAAAAGGCGAACAACCGTGTTGAAGTTGCGCCTACACGAAATGCTCCTCCCGCCCGACCTCAAAGCCTTGCGTCATCACTACTCCAGGACACGCCGTCAATCTTCAAATCCTCGAGGACCTTCAATCTTACTACTTGTAATGGGACAACCACCACCATCAAGCAACGAAAGCCGACAGCCAACGCATCATACGAAAGCATTATTGCGGCGCGTTCAAAGACAAAGGAAGGAAAGGCTAAGCGCGCATACTACGGCATAGCTATCAATGAGCTTATCGACAAGGCCAAGAGCGAAGCTTCAGAACAACGCCCAAAGAGAAAGGAAAGCGACGTCCCAGTACGGTCAGTCGAGCCGACACACACCGGCAAACCTCAAAAGAAGACCCTCTTGTGGACCGAAAAATATAGGGCAAAGAACTTTCTGGATCTTTGCGGTGACGATGGTACGAATCGAATGGTTCTGCGCTGGTTGAAGCGCTGGGATCCAATCGTATTCCCCGGCATTGCGAAGAAGGCCCCAATCGTACGAAGACCAGGCGCGAAACAGGTTCAAGAGGAGGAGAAGCCACACAAGAAGATCTTGATGCTGACGGGACCACCGGGTCTCGGGAAGACGACTCTGGCTCACGTCTGTGCGAGACAAGCGGGCTACGAAGTGATGGAGATCAACGCCAGCGACGACCGCAGCCGAGACGTCGTCAAGAACCGGATACGAACGTCCCTAGGAACCGAGAGTGTCAAGACTGTCGAGAACGTCAAGTCCAAAGATGGAGAGGTACAGCAAAAGGTTGCCAAACCGGCCTGTGTCATTGTTGATGAGGTCGACGGTGTCGTGGGTGGATCCGGCGCTTCGGGGGAGGGTGGCTTCGTCAAGGCTTTGATTGACCTCGTGCTCATCGATCAAAAGAACAGTGCTGGCGGGTCCGATTCCTCGTACTCAAAGAAGAAGAAAAAGGGGGACGACTTTCGCCTCCTGCGCCCCCTTATTCTCATCTGCAACGATGTCTACCACCCCTCTCTGAGGCCCCTTCGGCAGTCCGGAATGGCGGAGGTAATCCATGTCGGAAAGCCGGGCATCGATGCTGTTGTTACACGCCTCAAGACCGTATTCGACAAGGAGGGTATCCCTTGTGAGAAAGACGCGGCACGCAAGGTTTGTGAAGCCGCCTGGGGCATGACGAGCGGCATCGATGCAAAGCGCGGCGCGGAGAGCGGAGCTGAAGGCGATCTTCGAGGAGTCATGGTTGTTGGCGAATGGGTTGCCGGACGCTTCAGGGCTGCCGCCGGCTTCAATGAGCGCTTGACAAGGCAATGGCTGGACCAGAACGTGATGCACGATCTCACAGAAGGCGCTGGAGGAGCTAGAGGGCTCGGGAGAGGGAGTGCGAAGGACATTGTGTCGCGCGTCTTTCAAGAAGGCGGCGGGTTCCCGAAACAAGCACTGGACACATCACAAAACTTCAAGAACCAGCACGAGCAACCCAAGGCTCAGCTGGGCTTTGCGGAGTATCACAAGAAGAACGCAATGGAGCGGTTGCGGCACATGATTGACACCAGCGGAGAGGTCGAACGCGTCATGACAGACGTCTTCTTGGAGTACCCCAACCGAGAATTCAACGATGACTCGTTCCTCTCAAAGCCGAATGCGGCGTACGACTGGATGAACTTTCTCGACACCTGCTCGTCACGCACATTTGGAAGTCAGGAGTGGGAGTTAGCACCGTACTTGAGCCAACCGATCTTGGCCTGTCACAGCTTGTTCGCCTCGTCAAAACGACACCAAGTCAACAAGGGCTACGACAAGAAATGGGGCGCTACGGAGGAGGAAAGCGAGCCTCCCGTACCGTTTTCGGGCCCCCGGGCTGATTATGCCGCTTTTGAAGCGCAGAAGCAGAACAGAGCCATGCTCCAGGCCATCCAGGCACAGCTCACGCCCACGCTAGGGCGGTCGTTCAGGAGTGCTGAGGACATATCGACAGAGTTCATGCCGTACTTGGTCCGGATGGTGTCGCCAGACGTAAAGCCGGTAGTCATTGGCGGCAGCGGTATCAGCACGGCTAGCGTGCGGAAAGAGACAGAGAAAATCATGGTCAAGCGGGCGGCCGAGATCATGGCGGAGGTCGGGATCGAGATGCAGAAGGGCAAGATCGAGACGGATTCGTTGGTGAACAGGGGGCCGCAGTGGGTGTACCGCATGGAACCGTGAGTTACCTTTTCTCCCTCTTTCTGATCTATCGTCAGTGGGAATTCTGCTAACAAAGAATGAATAGTGATCTCGATGCCCTCGCGGTATACGAGACGGCAGGGAACCTGGTACTCTCTAGCCAAGCACCAACCCGATACGCCGTCCGCCAAGTGCTGGACCAGGAACTGCAAAAGACCATAATCCTACGCGAAGCCGCGGCCCGCCAGGCGCGATTCAAGGTTGGTGGACCGCTGGGAGGGGTAGAGGATACACCTTCGCAGCAGCAACAACAGGCGGACAAGGAGAACATGATCAAGGAGCAGGAGAGAATCCTCGCGTCGAGCGTGAAGAAGGACTTTTTCGGGCGTGTGATTCCTGCAAGGCCGCTGGGTGAGGTGGATGGCAACGCCAAGAGGAAGAAGACGCACGATCACCACGAGGCCGGGAAGAGTGATAACAAGGTCTGGGTTACGTACCATGAGGGATTGAATAATGCTGTCAGGAAGCCGATTTCGTTGATGGAGTTTATGAAGGGGTTGTAGACGGAGGCGGCGGCGTTTAGTTTTGGAATAGATGTGGGATTAGGATGAATATAATTGAGTCCGATTCCTCTTTCATGCAAATCTTGGTTGTCTAAGTACATATCGTCAGCCCTCTGGTCGGCGTCGAGGAGGGGCCCTATAGCCATTGATTTACGACGCCCGACATTTCCAGGTTTCTGTTTCAGAAATAGGAAGGCCAGGCCATTCGTGATGAGCCTCATCGCTCCTTCGTACATACAGTCTTCATTTCGTGTTGGTATCAAAAGATCCCAAACAAGGAAAGGAGCAGTTCACGTATCCATGAAGTACCTTGGCTGTTCGCGATGGTGTGAAAGGCTTAGAAGGGACCGAACCTCCAGCCAAATCAGGCATCTACACAGCGGAAGGTAGGAACTGTCAAACGGGCAGGTGCGGTCCGGGTCCTGCCTGCCCAGCGTATACCTTTATATACCCCCTCAAGCCCATTCCCGTCACCAGCTAGCAGGCGCCCGTCTAGGTCGACGGGTCAGGGCAAACTGGCTGGGTGGTGGAGTGGTTAATGGTCAGCAATCAATCATCTACACCAACCAGCCTACTCGACGACAGGCTAAGCGCATACGAGAGTACCCGAGTTCGAATCCCAGCATGAGCACCAAGAGATATAGCCCCCAGTTCAGCACCGGGGGGGTGAACTCTTTTTTGTCCCTCTTTCTCAGGTATCTTGCTGGATGCGGTACAGGCTGTGGTTGGAATTCTGAGCATTTGTAAATCTGGGTCAATAAGAGAATACACAGATGAATCATAAACAGTCAAGATGACAGGCCGCCTGATTATCATTACTATCGACGTTGACTCAATCATAAAGTTCAATCAACCGTATTCTCTCTGCCATCCTGTTCTGTGGTCCGCCACACTCGATTCGCAATCTTCAATCTCCAACAATACCAGCCCCTTAAACAGGCGGCCACTCGGGCCGACCCAAGGGACACAAGTCCGGTCCGCCCGCAGCAGCCTTGATGATATCCGCAGCCTTCTCGGCAACAGCATACACAGCAGCCTGTATATGTGCCCCCGGAACAAGCGGCATGATTCCGGCATCGACAACGCGCAGATTACACGTCCCGTACACCATCAGCTCCGCGTCCACGACCCCGCCCAGCTCCAGCGGCATCATGCTCGTCGTGCCGCTGGGGTGATACTCTGTGCCGACGAGCGGCTTCAGCGCCGCCATGAGCTCCGTCTCGTCCGTCGAGTTGAGGCGCGGGTCCTCAACGACGGGCTGGAGAGGCATCATTGCCTCCGTGCGCATGAGGCGTTGGACAAGTTGTAGGCCGAGCCGGATGATTTTGCAGTCGAGAGGGTTGGCGCAGTAGCGCGGGTCGACCACGGGTCCGTCAAAGAGTGAGGCCGAGCGGGGATGCACGGTGCCGCGGGATAGGGGTTTCTGGTTGGCGATGGACATCTGGCCCCAGGAGGCGGCGAGGAGCTCGTAGGCGCCGACGTCCGGGCGGGCCAAGTGGGAGAGGACGAGGCGCTTTTGGCGGGTGTAGCCGGATTGCACCGTCGGTGGGGTGTCGAGCGGGAGAAAGGTGAAGGAGGATTGGTTTGTGGCGTGCTGGAGGAGGGGTTTCCATTCGGATGCGTGGTATTGGAGGCTGGGGAAGGCGACTGTGTTGATTAGGGGGGCGGTCAGGGGGCCTGAAGATGTATTAGTTGTGGTCGTGTAAAATAGGGGTGTTGACGTACCGGTGTGGTTTGTGACAAAGGTGTCGAGCGCGCTGTCGAAGGCTGCGCCGGTGAGGCCACGAGAAGTGAATATGGATGAGTTGGAGTCTGTGATTCGAGTTAGCTATATGGACATCTTGGGAGGGAGTAGGGGGGATGACGGGAGGACCTACAGTCGAACCCGAATTGGGCCATGGGATGATCCTGAAAGTTGTTTCCGACACCTGGCAGATCGATCTGCACAGAGATATTCAATGACTCCAAGACTTTGCGAGGACCAATGCCCGAAATCTGGAGAAGCGTGGGCGACTGGATCGCGCCGGCAGCAAGGATTACCTCCCTTCTGGTCGTGACTGTTCTGTTGATGCCAAGGGGCTCAGATGAGAACTACAGACAGTTGGCCAACAGGTCGCCATGAATTCGAGACGCCATAATATCAGAACGGATGGTAGACTTACATCAACCCCCATGATTCGACGGCGGGTTCCCTCCTTGGCCAGCGAGCCGGGCAAGCCCACAATGAGACGTGTCGCGGTCTGCCCGGTAACGACGTGCAGGTTCGGACGCGAGATGGCCGGGTCGAAGTAGCCTGTTCTTGCATCGGAGCGGGTCTGGTTGGTGGGAGACATGCTGGACGGAACCATCATGGCTCCTGTCGGGTCGCCCGTGTTAAGGTCGCCCGAGAGGTGGATGCCCATCTCTGATAGTCCGTGAATTACATGGTCTGTAGACAAGATCAGTACATTGAAACAGAACAGTTGTAAGGGGGGCAATACCCGACGAGTTGTAAAAGTACTCCGGATAGGCGACATTGATGGGTCCTTCTGTGCCATGAACCGACATATCTGGGTGAATGTTGAGGCGGTCCTGAGTATCTTGATCAACGTTCGTGGTATACGTCTCAACCTGTTTGGCCCGTCAGTTTGAAGCTCTCGTTCGTTCACTGCCATTATAATGCGAATTACATCAAACTCACCTTCTTGAAATAGGGAAGAAGGCTCTTCCATCCCCATCCTCGGTTTCCCAGCTCCTCCCAAGCATCAAAGTCCGCTGCCGATCCTCTGGTCCAGCACATGCCATTCGTGACGGAACCGCCGCCAATGACTCTGCCCTGGCTGATCTCGCGCGTCTTGCCATCGAGGAAGGTCTGAGGAGCCGTTGTGACGCTCTTGCCGTATGGCGAGGGCGGTGTGAGGCCGATGTAGCCAGGCGCGATGACCCTGCTCTCGCGTCCGTCGAGCTCGCCAGACTCGATCACGAGAACAGCCGCTGGCGTATGGTCAGCTTTGTCGAAGCGCGCGCGCGCGCGGAGGATGAGAAAGAAGAAAGACTTACTATTCTTATCCTCACTCAGACGGTTGGCGACGGCCAAGCCTGAGAGACCACCTCCGACGACGATGTAATCATACTCTTCGAGGAGGAAGTTGTCGATAGTCTCGTCGGTGATGTGTAGGGCGTTCGAAATGGGAAGCAACACCCAAGATAAGAATACCAGCATCGCCAACGCCGAATTCATCGTTTTTGAAGTCGAAACACGCTCTGCGTAATATTAAGAATAGAATTGTCGTCGTTAGGACTCAAAAATAAATGCCTTTCCAAAGTGTATGAACACTAAAAAAGAAGGTGATGAAGTCGAAATTATTGACAGCGAGTCATCGAAAAAAAAAGGTCAAAAGCTGTCTGATTAACGAGAGTGAGAAAGAGCTCTTCCAAGTGAACGTCTTGATCAACCGAATGGATGCAAGGCTTAGTCGCCCGGCCTTGACGGTGTTGACGATGTATACGGACAATGAGAAAAGAGTGAAAGGATGGAGTCACTGAAGACTCACCAGCGCATGACTGGGCACCAAAAGACTCGATCCCGTCAAGTATTATATCCATTCCCCGTTGTCAAACTCGTTTCTTCTGCCATTTTGATGATGTTTCTCGAGTACTCCACGCAGATATCTGGAGCACCTCAGTCCAGCGAGACACAAAGTGGCACGAGATCGTGTTGTAAGTGTGAGTTGCGGAGACCACCTCAATCCACGAGTTCGTATTCTTGGCGTTCCCTTACCCACAGCAATGTGTCTGAAAACACACTAGAACGCGTTGCAAGTCTTCTAGCTCGCAAGGCCTTCTTCTTCGCCCTGTTTCATAGCGTAGAGACTCATGGAAGGCTGGTTTGCCGAGAGACTCAACTTTCTTATTCTGACATCTGCCCCTCCTTCATCTGAAGTTGACTCAGCTCGCGCAAATAATCTGTCGATCGTCACAAGCCATCGGCTTTCACGGTGCGCAGGTTATTTGGTGTGCCATCCTGTTGGATAATTCGAAATTGTTGATGATGTTTGCTATATCTGACTCTGATCTTTCGCTGTTCCATGCGCAAGACTCCAGCTGAAACTACTTGAAATCTTCGGTATCTTCGTGAATCCAGCTTCAAAACTGAGGAAGATTCCTCAGTGGATTGTTTGAAAAGCAAAAAAGGGCCCATCTAGTCGAGCCATCCCCTTGGGTGGTGTTATGTCGATCATCGCGGAAGCTGCAGCCTGATGTAGAGCTGAATAGAGATCCCTGCAACACGACCAGCTACAAAAATCAAGACAAATGGGTGAAACTACACATCGATATGACGAGCGAAGACAAGCATGTGCTGGGAAGTGCTGATACTTATACAGGCACTACCTTCGCGGCCTCGACGCTGAGATACTTCTTCTCTTCTCAATAAGAAAGGAGACGATCGGATATCATTGTCAGATTCAACAGACTTGCAGTCGTACTGGATCTTTGGCCGTTGGCACAGTCGATGATCCGAATGCGAGCGTCTGTCATGTAGCAAACTGTGGGATTAACATTGGCCATGGTATGAACCTCTCGGAAACGCCAAGTTGACCATTGTCGCAATGCGGAAATGTGGATTGGACCTTGCATTGTCTGTAGGTCTTGCGGAAGTTCGAACCATTTCCGTCAGAGGAATTCTAACAAAAATGGACGGCAAACTTGGAAGGAAACATGTGAGGAGGACGATATGCGAGGAGGTTACACGGAAGAGGCAGCAGGACGGCACGGACGGACAGCTCCTGCGCTGTCAGCCGACGGACGTTCGGGAGAGGACCCACCTTGAGGCGTTTGGGCCAATAGAACGACACATGAAGTAATGTCACCTCTCCTCCTTCCAATCGTCCTGTGACGCAAGAAATGTTTCCTTCGTTTACCTTACACCACAGATTGCTATCTGCAAACTTGCAATATGAGCATGTTGAGACGGGCCATCACACGGAGACACGACGTCTTTCGCCGGAGCACGGTGGGCGCTCGCCGCTACCTACACCTTGCGCCCCCGTTCCTCCTGGACGATTACACGCCCCGTTACATGACCTTGACCTCCATCGATGAATCCAAAAAGCGATCAAAGGCCTACGCCCATCTTTCCAAGTGCAACCTCTGTCCGCGACTTTGCGGTGTCAATCGTTTCGAGACGACTGGAATGTGTCTGATCGGCAATGACACCAAGGTCAACGTGATTGCTCCGCATTTTGGTGAAGGTCTGGAGCAAACCTCTCAATCGCATCCAACATCTTTTCCCTACCTCTCAGAGGTTCTGCGAAATGCTTTTGGACTGACCATGATCTGATCTAGAACCTTGCGTTCAAGGGCACAATGGCAGTGGCGCCGTATTCTTCTCGGGTTGCAATCTGCGTTGCGTATTCTGCCAAAATCATGACATTGCACATCAGCGTAACGGTCAAGACTTGACATCCGAGGAGCTGGGTGAATGGTACGTCAAGCTACAGCAGATCGGCCGAGTTCATAACATCAACCTCATCACTCCGGAGCATGTTGTGCCCCAGGTTGTCCTCAGCATATTGCATGCGAAGGAGCTGGGCCTGCGAGTGCCAATCATCTACAATACCTCCAGCTTTGATTCGTTAGCGTCCTTGGAGCTACTTGATGGCTTGGTAGACATCTATTTACCTGACTTCAAGGTATGGGAGTCGGCGACATCCAAGCGGTTGCTCAAGACAGACGACTATGCCGCCACGGCTCGCGAGAGCATCAAAGCAATGCACAATCAGGTCGGTGACCTGTGCTTTACTGGAGATGGCATCGCCAAGAGCGGCCTTCTAGTTCGCCATCTTGTCATGCCCGGAAAGGAACAAGAGGGACACCGCATAATGCAGTTCTTGGCAGAGGAAGTTTCCAGAGATTGCTTCGTCAACATTATGGAGCAGTACCACCCAGACGCGCACGTTGGCAAGTCTAAGAGACGCAACAAAAAGAGCACCGACACCCAGGACGACGATGTCCGCTATAGCGAAATCAACCGAGCCGTATCGGGAGACGAGGTATCCTCGGTCCGAAAGGCAGCGGAAGCGGCTGGTCTATGGCGGTTCTGCGATCCTCCTCGGCACGACGGCTTCAACATCTGAAAAGAAATCCCTTACATCAAAAGTAATGATGGTAGGTGCTCTTACGACAAGCTTGAGTTTGCTCCCTCGAAGAAGTAGGATGCCCCTGCACGGGTAGGACGGCCGCAGACGTATGGTGATCCAGACCTCCCTAGCAGGGATGCTCGTCTGGATGATACCAACTGCACACACGCCCGTTTTTATAATGGCGTCAACAACTACAGCTACGTGAGTGACGTGGTTGTTTCGCTACCAATCGCATCAGTGCTGGCATAGTACCCTCTATTATCGTGTGGTCCTCATATTAATGTTTAGATCCACAATTGTGTTTCAGTAGCTCTTAAGCCGTTCATTCACCTCAAGTCTACGTTTGAGAACTATTGGGCTGACGAACATACAGGCCAAATTGCCCATATCTATTTGCCAGTGCAAGCGGATGGGCAGATCTGCCATGCATACTTCATTAGCAAGCCGCATCTGCTGCGAATTCAGATATTGTTTGGAAGCACAGATCGCACCGGAGCTTCAACTGCGCCATCTTGTTTGCCAAATGCCTGCTTTTTCTCAGACGTACCAGGCTAAATCGGGATTTCCCTTGCTCACTGCATGTTTATTCCGTCAAGTTCGATTAGAGCTTTCAGTCTCAGATATGGGGATGTCGCGGCGAAGGGGCCTCATACTTCTGAACCCCTAACCTAGCCTTTGTCTTGAATTGGCCAGAACTGGACACAGTCGGAATCGAATCTCATCGGTTATAGCCTATATCTGATCGAACAGAACCAACTGTTCCCTCCCGAGAGACAATCTTGTCGGCACCAGTACCGTTGTTTGTCTTTGCCCCTCATCATGAATCAACATGTCGAAGCTCCAGTCTTCGTTCCTTCCAACATCAAGAATCAAGATTCTACAACATCGTCCGTTGACTCGGCCTCGACCAACTCCCCAGACCTGTCATGCCTCAGACGATCAGGAACGCTTTGTACTCCGGCAGTACCTTCACCACTCCGGCCCGCCCTGAGACTGGGTCGCCCGAATACAAAAGCTAGTGTCAACACGACCACTAATCCGAATTCTGGATGGTCTGCTGCAGCATCACCGCTTTCTTTCGAACAATTATACACGGAAAAGGCATATCTGATGGATTCATTGAGCAAACAGGGCGAACGCGAGATCAACCTCATGCGAAGGCTGTCGACCCTTCAGGAGAATGTTGACAGTGGGTTGCCCTCTGACGAGCGCCGCAAGGCAAGAAAGAAGATAGCTCTGCTCAAGAGCAAGATCGTCGATGCCACGGCACAAAAGAAGATCATTCTCCTGCGGCTCGGCGATATTTACGTGGAGCTTCAGAGCCGCGAGACCTGGATGCTGATACAACACGAACTCTACGAGAGAAGATACGCATGGTGGTCCGTCGATTCACCCAGTGCTTCCGCTTATGCTACAACACCATCTGATGTAACATCAATGATACCGACGCCACTGGACGCGGCCTCCCCGGTCTTCTTTCCCGCGGGATGTCATCCGGTCTACAACACGCGGGACGTAGCGGCTTCTCGCTTTGAAGAGCATGGGTTTGAGGTGTATGTTACAATACCAGCTGGATCATGGGCTGATTTCGGTCAACATTCTGAGGTTCTTGCGGAAAACTTGGGGAATCATGGCTTACAATTTGTTTATGGGTTGAGGGCGGGGGATTCGCGGCAGGATGGTATCAAAGGCCAGGACCAGGATTCAAGCCAGGAGATTGAAACTCCGACGTCGGGCAGAAGAAGTAGTCTACCCTCGTTAAAAAGCCTCTGGCCAGGGGTTGAGGGGCTACGCAGACCAGGCGAAAAGGAGAACGCGCCAGTATCGCAGGTCTATCAGAACTAACTACCTGAAGCATGGTTGTACGGCAGACAGGCGCAAGTAGATGAGCGCAGCCTGTGTGTGCTTTTGGTGTTCTCATGTCTCATCCATGGAGTAGGCAAATAGGTCGTAACTGCAGTAAAGCAGGGTAGGGAATCTTTTTACTATAATCATCAAATAAGGGCCGCCTCCGAACTCCTCAACGTGCCTCTCTTTAGACTTTTTTTTGTTTATTCCTGGCCATGAATACACCACAGCCGTCACCAACTCATCCAGTCTCACCCATTCGCTCACCGCCAACCGCCAACCACCTGCCACCATGCCTCTATAACAAACAAATTTGTTTGATACTGTCACCAAGGCCCATGGCGTGGCGGGGAATGTCCTCGTTTGAATTGCCCCGCTCCCATGGGTCCCGGGTTCGAGTCCCGGCTTTCTCTTGTAAAAATCCGAGTCTCATTTCACATGAGGTGTAGCTCGGATCTTTCGTAAGCCTCCTCTTGTAGGGGACTGAGCTTTTGTTCCTTTTTTCTTCTATCGTTGCCAACTGCGAAAGCGAAACTACCTCGAAGCAGTTGTTCAGCTCGTGCGTGACAGACACTCCGCGGCAGCCAGCCAGCCAACCCCTTACGCAAACTCTCCAAACTGGCCGTCGTCGAACCCTAGATCCTGTGCGGATTTCCTGTTCTCCCTCTTCTTGTCCCGGATATTGGCAGCACTCGGCGGCGGCGGCAATCCGAAGCTGCCGGCACCACCGCTGCTCTTGGGCGCGCTCGGCGGCGGCGGAAGAGAGAACCCCTGCAACCCTCCTCCCGCTCCTCCGCCGGGGATCTCGGACCCGGACTCGGTCCTCGCCCGGCGCCCAATCTTTGACCCGCCAAAGTTGATGGTGATGGTCTCGCCTTCCTTGAGGCTGTAATCCTTATTCTTCTCCTCCTCGGCGCGCTTGCTATTCTCCGCAGCCTGCTTGGCGTGGCTGGCGTCCAGCAAACCCAAACTCTTCTGCGCCTCCTGCAGCGCGACGCCGAAGTCGAACGCCTCGCTGCGCTCCTCGAAGCCGACGCCCAGCACCGCCTTCCGGCCCTGGCCGTCCATGACGCGCACGGCGAAGAAGCGCGACGAGTCGAGCACGGGCTCGACGGCGTTGATGGAGGTGTAGGGCGCGGCGGCGAAGAGCTGGCCGTTGGAGGGGTCCTCGAGGACGATGTCGACCTTGATGTGGTTCTCTTTCGAGGTGATGCCCGCGGGGGCGCCGGGGGCCACGGGGACGACGGCGGAGCCTACGCCTACGGGTGTAGGGCGGGCGGCGGCGGTGGTCTCCCAGGCTGTTTCGAGGACGCGGAGGCGCGCGGTGAAGATTTGGCGGTCGGTCCAGCCGGCGGCGGTGTAGCCCTTGTTCGAGGTGAGGGGCGGGATGTTGTAGACGTGGGCGCCGGAGGCGATGAAGAGGATGCGCTGGATTGCGTCGGCGGGGAGGGGGTTGCCTGTTGTGGGATCGAGTTGTTCCATTGTGTCGTGTTCTTTGTGTATGTGAACAACTGTGATGTGTTGTAGATGTGGTTATGGTGATGGTGGTTTGGGAAGGATGGATATAGCTTCAACTACTGTCAGGGAGGGGTAAGAGGATGTGCTTGGGAGCTTCTACGGGTGTCTCGGTCGTGTAGAGGCAGAAGAAGCTTCATGATGTAGAAAAGAAGCAGAAGAGAAAGAACGGGGGTTGAATTGCTTGCTTGTATTCAGGGGAGGGGGGAGATGAAGGCTTACAAGGACGGGAGCTTGATTAGCTGGGCATTGGGTGGTGTCAGTGTTTCGGGAGTGGAGGGGACCCCGCTGTAGGTAGTGGGATGCTTTCAGGGTGACGGTGACGATACAGGGCGATGATACCGCTATTTCTGTGGCGTTGTAAGGACCCTTGACCGACGGGGGGCCTAGACGGAGGTGTGCACCTTGCGTACGGGTTCGGAGGGTAGCCTGGAAGGCTACGGAGTAGATAGGTGGGTACTTGCGAAGTACGTGTAAATGAGGTGTAGTGTCAGGTAGACCCATATCGGAGCTTCCGGTGGTGAACCTAAGAAGAGCCCCTCCTAATTACCCCGCCAAATCAGAGCCATCAATCCCCTTGGGCGTGGGCGCATCGGCAAGCTCCATTCGGTCACTCGTGGCCCGTGGGAATTGAGTCACTGCCTTTTGCCCAAAATTTCCCAGAGCTTCAACACCAAACCCCGCCATCGCGACTCTCAACTCAAGGGCCCACCACCAACTTCGCACCGATTCCCCTCTAACCACACTATCGATATCCTATAATCTTCTCGGCGACCGCTGTCAGCAGCATTGACGACACCGAAACCAGCGCACGAGTTGCATGCTGCGCAGGGCCTTGCCCATCTTCCGAATCGAATCCTTCTTCACATACATCACCATGGCCACCGGCGACCTGACACGTGCGCTACCCCCTTTCCCTCTGCCTGACAATCTACTTGCGTTCAAACGTGTCACGTCAAAGGAACCCAATACTGACAGCGTGACTTTACAACAGCTGGCGACAGCCAAAAGTCCTCCACCGACATCCCTATCCGTATCAAGACAAGTGATGCCATCGAGTACGGCACCACCCACTCTCAACGTCTCATTCCAGGCTAACTTCTCTTCCCCTACAGCATCGTCTCAACATATCACTCCCTGCTCGAGGATCCCGACCTGACAAAACCCGTCGCCGCCATCGAGGCCCTCATCGCCCTCCTCAACGCCTCGGGCACAACCACCGTCTTCGAGACCCTCGACCTCGTCAAGCGCGCCTCAAACACCCTCCACGCCTCCGTCAACAACCCCGTCCCCCTCCAGGCGGGCACCGACCTCTTCCTGCAGTACCTCGTCTCCTCGCTTAAGCAGCAGGAAGGCGCAAACGCATCCGCCTCGGCCGCCGCCGCCCCCTCCCCCTACCAGTCCTTCGAAGCCGTCCGCACCCACCTCCTCCGCAACGGCCGCCTCTTCGCCTCCCGCGCCATCGCCGCCCGCGACCGCATCGCCGACGCCGGCTGGCGCTTCGTCCGCGACGGCAAGGTCGTCCTCACCCACGGCGCCTCCCGCGCCGTCTCCGACCTGCTCTTCCGCGCCGCAGACCAGTCCGGCGACGGCGGCGTCCGCTTCAAGGTCGTCTACGTCCGCGACGAGCACCGCCCCGCCGAGTCGGACCGCGTCGTCAAGGAGCTCCGCGACAAGGGCATTCCCGTCGCAGAGATTGCCGAACCTGCCGTCGCCCACGTCCTCGGCCTGCTGCGCCAGGTGCACATGGTGTTCGTCGGTGCCGAGGCCGTCACGCAGAACGGCGGCATCATCTCCCGGATGGGCACGTACCAGATCGCCAAGCTGGCGAAGCAGGCCGGTCTGCCCTTTTATGTCGCTGCCGAGTCCCACAAGTTTGTGCGCAAGGTGCCCCTGGACCAGCGGGATCTCGGTTTCCAGCAGCACGTCTTGGACTTCCGGACGGACGGTGCCAGCGAGCAGCCTGAGGATGCGGTGGACTACACTGTGAGTTTTTTCCCGCCCATACTCCCGCAATTCTCGTCTTCAGACTTGATCATAATTGCTGACAAAATGTCCCAAGCCCCCTGATTTCATCTCCAACCTCGTGACAGAAAACGGCGTCAAGCTACCCAGCTACGTGTTTGAGCAGCTCCTCGACATCTACGGTAGCTTGAACGGTTGATACCCCCTACAAAACAACACAAATATACCCGCCTAGGATTTTCAAATGTTTCACAAAATTCGGAGACTCTTCACGATCGCATATGATGAGAACGTGGGCGTTGATGCCCACCTGGGGCCGGCCGCAGACATGCCGGGGTCCGGATTGTGGAGACGAAAAGACGCCCCGCCGGCGATACAGAGCGGCGTCTCAATGCCGGAGTCCGATGGCCAGGCGCATAGTAAGGGAATCAATAGGCCGATCATGGCCGCTTAGTAAAAAGTGTTTTCCCAGCGGCAGGTAGCATGACCGTGAATCGGGCACGTATAAGGTACCTATCACTTGAATAGATGCAGGCGCCTTGTCGGAGAAACTGTCCTGCTGACGACGGGACGGGAGAGACTCGTCGGCAAGAAGTGCCCTTTTTAGAATTCGGAATAGAGTGAGGAAGAAAAAGAAAAGTTCAATTTTCCAATCATTACTTGCTGCCTGCATCCACAACGCATACCTGCAGTACAGACTGAATGAGGCCCTCGCCTCATGGCCTACATATACGATAAACATGCAACCAAGAGTCCTGCGAGCCGTACATCTGCGCCTCTGCGCCTCACCTTAAGATACGCAGTGCACTCGAACGACCTCACGATGGGGCGGGCGGGCAAGGCAAGGCAACCCTTCCCTCTGCCCCTCCCCTCCCCTTTCCCTTCTCCTCACAGCCCGAGGTGTCTTCGCCCTGCACTCGTAATTTGTCCGTGATACCTACTACCCCATAATACAACAAAAGACGGGGAAGGTCCAAGAAGGTGGAAAAAACCCAAAAGGGGGGAAACCGACTGACCGACCCCCACGGCCTCTTGACGTCACAATTTCCAATGTGGGAACTGTCCACGCGCGCAGTATGACCTGCATACGCAGTACGCCCGACCAAGGGGTTTGCAGGAACTTTTTCTGATGGTCCGGGGTTGAGTTGGAAAAGGCGGGGATGGATGGACGGATGGATGTCCGGCACCTCGTTCTTGATCCCGAAAACCGGTACGTAACTTGAAAGGTAAGTAAGATGCCCGAGAACCGAGGATGCGGGAGATCGTGAGCGGGATCCTGGATCGTCAGTACTCAGTGGTGGCATAGACCATCGTCGCGGTGAACCAACGTAGGCTCTCGTAAGAGTTTTAGCGAGTGTGAATCTTGATTGATGATATCCCGCTCAAGTCGGCGGAAGTCGCCTGGTTTGGCGAAAAGTAGTAGTACAGTGAAAACGTTTCTCGATGCCCAATCTCAAATCGAAGAAACGAAAGCCAGGCCACCCATAAGAAACCCAAAGCAAGAAACACGATACACCTAGATATGGAAAACCCGTGTGAATGCCCCTTGGTTCCTTTTTTCGTTTCCCCCAATAATGCTCCTAGCAAAACGAGACAAGACCAAAAGAATACTCAAGCTTTTTTGGACAAATGCCAAGGCAATGGTGCGAACGAAGTTGAGTCGTTCTCGTGGCGAAAGCAGTGTTGGACTGAGAGCCTTTGCCAGAAGGGGTGAGATTAAGAGAGGTAATACTACATTAGTCGATGAAAGCCAGCAGAATGAAAAGAAAGCAACTGCTTATTTGATATCCCTGACGAGTCTTGCGCCGCACCAGGCAAAGGGGTAGTTTCGTTGATACCAGTTGACACTACAAATTATCAGCACATTGTACCAAGACATCGCCTACACAGTAGTCGACTTACAATGATCTTCGGCCGGCGATGCGGGGATGCGTTGACCACGATCCTCCAAGCACGATGTTATGCTTGCCATCGAAGAAGTCGGCTACAGCTCATCGTTAGCAAGACTGTCACTCTCGGAAAATGCAAGTGTCTTACCCGTGTACTGAGGGTATAGAGGCATAGGCTCGAACCCTTCATGGCGAGCAAGGGGCGTGCTGGTCCATTCCCAGACACCGCCGAGCTCACCTTGTCCCGCGAGGCGACCGCCGTCGGCCGTCACGGGAACCGGGTGCCAATGCTGCAAGCCGACATTGGCACCATCGAGGTCCGCAAAAAGCTCCGATCGAACCTCCGCGGCCTCAAGCGACTTCTTCTTTGGTGGTGTTTCCTCGACTCCATCATTCGACAAGTGGCTAAAGTAGGGACGTCAGCCTCTGAGATCACTGAAATCAACTAGATATTCAACTTACCCGTTGACTGCTGGTACCGTCCTGCCCAGCGTACGCTCAGCTTCCATCTTCTTCGAGTTATGAACGTAAGTGTAGATGCTTCGAGCCTCTTCAAACGTCGGGATTCGGCCTCCCATCCATGCTGCACATCCAGAGAGTTCGTCGAAAGATGCGAAGATGGGCCAGTCTAGAGCATATTTCAGCGGGACCAAGCCATAAACCGTGCGAACTGCAATGCCGTCAAGGAATGAATCGGGAACAACACTATCCCCGTTCTGATGTCCATTCACTTGTCCATTTGTAGTGCCATTGACATGACCGTTTGTGTGACCATTGACGTGGCCGTTAGCATGCCCGTTGGCCCCGTTGACATGCCCATTTGTATTTCCATTGGTGAGATATGTCTGTCCATTCGCGTCCGGGGCCGTGTCAGAATCGGACTCTGCAGCTTGAACATCGGCCCAGGATGCAGGGACCTTTTTGATGTGGTTTTCAAACATGTATTGCGCATACTGTTCTAGTCAGCCTTCAACTGATCTCGCAGAATATCTAGTCACTCACCTCCTCGTTTGTGATCGGTCGTCCTTGTGCCTGGAACGCATGAACATTGGCCTTCCTTGCAGGTCTTTCGTTGTCCCTAGTACCATGTGAGTTGTGAATGTACGTCTGAGAAAATCTGTGCTTACCAGCCGAAATACCCGTTGACGCCTGCGTCAAGATCAGGCTCGTCCATGCCTACAACAATAGACTGGGCAGGCACATCGTGCCACTGGTTGGGTACCCGAGACAGGCGAGCTTTATTGGCCAAGCGCTTGAAGTCCGGGCGCAGAACATCAGGAGGAGGGATAGTCTTGTCGCTCTGGAGCATCATATAAAGGAGCGTTTCCATGTGCATGATCTCGTGCTCGAATCCCACCCAGATCCCTTGAGCAGCAGCTCTGGGGATGTTACTGATTCCGTTCTTGTACTGGTCGAGTAGCCTGGATCGTACACGCTGCTGGTACTGAAGAATTTCTTCCACTGCAGGCCATTCATCGGGGATTTCGGAATGAGAATGGCATTGCTCCGGATTGTCGACATCAGGGTCGATGCCCCGTTCAAACATTGGCTGAAAGTGGGCTGGCTCGGTCGGAGGTGTCTTTGTAGTTTTGCACAACTGAATGTCTAGGAACCCGGGGATATGTCCAAGGTAGAAGATGCAAGCATTGCGAAGCTTGATGGGTTGGTCCAGCAACTCCTCTCTTGGAAGCATTTGCTGTGTGACAGCATCCCATGCCGCCCACAACGCCTGCCAATCGTCCAGAGTAGGACAGGGCGAAGAAGCGTAAAGTTCGGGAAGACGACTGAAAGGCATTTTCCTCTTCGAAATCATGTGGATTCCTATGATCGAGTCAGCTCCGGAAATGAATATTGGGCTTCCAGCCAAATTGTAGTTGATTTTCGCTGCAAAATATAGAATTATTGAAACTCAGTCAGATGATCGCATCGGGACCAGTGAGATCCATCATCTTTCGATCCGGAGACTGCACAGTGCCTTTTTGGGCAATTGGATCCACGTAGCCGGCCAAACGTGGGGGAGGCTTATGGGGTGCAGAACCATTCTCACAAAGGGTGGCCACCACCGGCCCTGATCACTCGGTTTCTTATGCGAGGGAAAGATTCCACCTACCATGCTCGGTTCCTTTTGTCCAACAGTTCGTCTCGACCAAGCCTGCCATGTTCCACAAATTCTGGGCTCCCAGTTGAGAGTATTTCAGACTCTGCTCAACTTGGATGCGCTCGTGTTGCCTTACGAGTGCTCCCAGAACGTATGTGTCTCGAACGGGCGAATAGAAAGCTTGGTGACGTCCTCCTTCGTCATCGTACACATACTCACCGATGACTTTCCAGTCTTTGAGCTTGAAGGCCTCTTCTCCCAAGATCTCATTGGCGTTGGCGAGTCCGTTGAGGATGAACCTGCAGAGGTCAGTCGATGCGGCTGAAACAGTGGTTCATGGTACACCTACGCATGCGTTACTCCTTTCTGGTCTTAGGATTCTAAGTGTTAGCACATGGGTTTAGTGAACTTGACGAGGCAGCGCAATTACCATTGTAACCATGGCTGTACCTGAGATTAGCTGCTGTAGACCAGATATAGGGAATTGAAACTCACTAGACCTTGGAAGGATCGCAGCATCCGTCAAGCCCAATCAGCAACTTGTCCGACTGCGTCAGGACGTCGCTAAAGTGCTTGAGGAAACCGGCCGCATCATCACGCTCGAAGTTTCCTACAAAGGAAGTCAGCAACATGCCTAGAGTTGAGAATAGAAGATCCAGTGTCTCCAACCTATGCTTGAACCCAAGCTCAAGATGCACTTGGTGCGCGCCAGGTTGGATGGCTCTTTCAACCATTCCCGGCCATCATCATAGGTTCCCAAAAGACCATGGCATTTGACGTGATGGAAATCAGGAACCTGAGCAAGCGTGCGTTCCAATTCCTCTCGAGAGAGGTCGAGTGCGTAGTAATCGATGTTCTTGCCGGCGTCCTCAAAAGCTTGCAGCAATAAACAAACTTTACGAAGGTTGCTTCAAGAAAAGGTCAGAATCATCTCGGTCGAGTCATTATTTAGCAGGTATTCACTGACCCACTTCCCAACTCAATGACCATAGAATCGGTCGAGATGTTCTGAGCGATCTCTTTTGAGTTTTTCTCAAGGACCTCGATTTCGTTGTTGGTCAGGTAGTACTCTTCCAGATATGTGATCTGGGGTAGTTCTTAGCGTTGATCACGCAAGATGTGGCTGAGCTGAGGAGCACTCGATCAGCACTTACATCCTCAAACAATTGCAGGCCCCGTTCATTGTAGAGAAGCAGGGTCGGCAGCCTCCGGGGTCCGTTTGTGGGGTTCCACATGGAAATGATGTCGTCCTTCAAGTTTGTTTCAACCGCAACGCGTCGAATATCGATGATGTCAAGGCCATGTTTGCCCACCGGTTGCACTGCCAGCTGCTTATTCGCTTTGATACTGGCGTGGGAAACGCTGTCCTGAGAGACGGCAAGAGAACCCATCGTGACAAGTAATTGGGTGTACGGAAAGACAGTGGCTTGAGTGTTGAATACAGGCCAGATACAAGAGAGAGGAACAAAGGTCAAGGTTATATGAAGAATGTTGAAAGTAGCATGTGCAAGACAACATGTGCTTTCGAGACGAGAAGAACGGACGAGTACCTTTACCTTATAGGGGCCACAGCAAAGTTACCTGGGTTCTCCCAGACCGGCGGAGACGCCGGCAAGCATACGACGGTACACGTTGGTGTTGCCATGCTAGCAATAGGGCATGTTCGAGACGTGTACCAAATGCTGAGTGTGGATTGTCAGACGTACAATTGGTGACTCGGCGTGCCATGGTTTGCCATTCTGGTCTACAGTGCAGCTACTTGACGGAGCTGAGAAATATTTTGGGGATGTTGGTGGCCAGCGTGAGCATGTGTACGATCGGGGTACTGAGCGCCAGAGATGGGATCAGGTGAGACGGCTACACATTGAGGACTGCGTTCGGAAGTACACTAGAAGTATTCCGGTTCCGTGGACCTTGTACCAGTCAGTGCAATTCCTTTGGTCATAACGTGCAGATAGAAGAGGAGCGTGACAGCTTCATCCTTGACAGAGAGTGGGAGAGGTTTGCAGTTGAGCAAATCAGCGGACGTCATCTGAGGCGTATCCCACGCCCCACCGAGGGGGCAGCCACGCTACTATTGCTGGAGCTTGACGCGGATCACCGGATTCGACATAGTTGCGGTACCTTGAGTATTGGAAGCGGCCGTTGTTGCGCCCTACTGCGCGGGAAAGGGTAAGCTTCAAGAGACCTTTATTTGGCATTTGTTGTCTGGTCCAAGATCGAAAGACATCTGGCGAAAAAAAAAGAAAGTTGTGCGGCATCTTGGCGAGGCTCGAAACCGCAATTATCAGGGGTGTCGGGAAGGTTGCTTTGCATGCTCGATACAAACTTCCCCGCGGCTAAGGCCATCCTCGCAGCTTCCAGAACGAGCTTTCGGGTGTCTCCAACAAACCAAACGAGCAGCATCCAATTCGAGCCCTCATTCGCGAGTTTGAGGCTCGTGAGAGACACCAGAATTCGGGGTACTTCGGCGCTAGGAGAGCAGTAGTGAAGCTGACTGCAGAAGTGAGAATATCTGCCAGCTTAGTTGCAACTCCAGAGTTGCCACAGCTCTTTGAAGCTCTTGCGAAGCTCTTGAGAAGCTCTCCATCGGTTGGCGAGGCCGCCTACACTAACGTGACTAACCACCATGAGTGGGTGTCACGGTGCGAACTGGTGTCCCAAGAGCCACCAAAGACGAGGAGCGCTTGTTGGCCTGGGCTTCCAGATCGGCACAAAGGCTGCAACCCCGGCCCAGGTTAGCTGCAAACCTCCCTGAAGCCTGTGGGGGTGAGACCAAGTAGAGGGAGGGGCCAGAAGAGGTTCCGACACTTACACGATACGTCTTGGTGAGCCTCAGCCCACCCAGATGACCAATCCTGCCAACAACAACGGGTCATACTGCGTGTGGGTGAGGATATGTCGACGTCATGTTTCCTCTGGCGGGACATGGCAGCAAGAGTGCTGACTCCCGCTGACTTTCCCATAGTACTTTTGAGCTATTGATGCTGTGCCTGACACCCAAAGAACAGCCAAAGATTCCACACGAGGGCGGGGTAAATCAGGTACCGTTCCAATTGAGTTACCCAAAGGCGTGCCGATCGACTGTCCCCGTTGCAAAGCGCAGTTTATGACAATGCCATACTGCAAGGCAAAAGTCAAGGCGACGAAAGGGAAGCTCGACAGCAAAGCGCGATTTATGCATGACATGATTTCCGTCCACGAGTGCGGGGAAGTTGCTGCGTGTCGGTGTTACCTCTGTGCAGCTTCTCTTCCCGTCTGCCAGCCCCAGTAGGCTTTGTGGTCCGAAACAGCCCACGGAGGATTTTGTCGCGTTGCCGTATTTCCCGAAGAATGCTGACAGTGTTGGACATGGGGTCATCGTCGGGAATATTGAGGATCGTATATGGCCGAGGATTCTTGCGCCAATATGCATCTGTACAAGGGCCTACGGCCGGCGTGATCAAGACAATCCGGCCCGGTGCCGGTGTGCGCGCCGTGGGGGCGTCCAGACACCTTCGGTGAAGCTCGGTCAAGTCTAGGTAGAGCGAGATGGGCGAGCACCGACATCTGCCTTTGTTTGACAGCCAGATTGACGCTGCTCGGCAATCTCGAGTTCGGGCGAACCAGCTGGAATACTTGTGCCTTGCATAAGGCCACAGATGGGAAAGTTCCCGTGACGTTGGTGCTGGGGGGAACGTCCCAACGACGAGGAGCAGCTTGATCTTCCCCAGATTGATAAGCTTATCTATCAGTTGTCTCTGAAGATCGCTCGGCCGGTTTGAGTAGTGACAAGGTAGTCCAAGGTGGGCGCCAGGGCCAATCGAGGAGGTTCCTGGGTTCTCCGAGATAGATAAGGAACCGCGGCCCGCATCAGTAGATATCCGTGGGGTTATCGGGACGGACGTCGTTCCGATACCATCGCCATCTACCTATGTTGTGAGGCTACGCCGGCGTTCTCGATTTCGCCATTGTGGAGAGTGGAAACCTCGCAACAACAAAGATGAGTGAGCACTATACATTTGTCATATCCATGGATACAAGCAGCACGAATGACTCACCTCTGTGGTAGTCAGCAAATAAGCCGTCAAACCCCCGACTGGCCGATTGATAATCGTTGGTGTAGTGAAGAGTTTGTAAGACTTCTGCAATCTGCATCCGAGCCGGACGGAGAAACGGTACGTCTATGGCAGTACCAAGAGCCACATGTGGCGAAGGAAGGAATGGCCGATCAGCCCCGCGGCTTCCTGAGAAGTACTTGCCTGGATGCACGACACCCTTCCTGCTAGACTAGGGAAATTCCATCTACTTGGGAAAGTCGCACCAATATCGACAGCAGGGACGTTCAAAGCTTGAGAACCAACAGTCGTCAAATGTTTCCTGGAAGGAGTCATCTTCCACCCCATTCCAACTTCCGGCCACGACATCGCAGGGCCGCATGTCTGTTGCTGAATGAACCACTGACATATCTCGGTTCTTTGATCAGGGATCGGTCGATATGCGACATATCCTCACATCACCTTCTTGCCATCTGGCTTCGCGGAGATCCAATCTACGGTCTCTTTCAAGTATTTCAAGGTGGCAAATGTCTTCAAGGTATGCATGTTCCTATTCTCATGAGTAGTCCTATCTAATATGCAAAAGGTATCACCTAAATCCAAACAACCATATGCAGCAAATAGCTTCCAGACCGAACCCTCCATAAACGCCACCCAATGAGATTCCATTAATCCATCACGAATGCTTCATTACCCCCCCTGACTATGACGACTTGTTCGGCTTCCACGCCTTGATCCACTTGCCAATGACCTTCACCTCTTGCTCAATGATCGCGGCATTGTCTTCGCCGTTGTTCAGAAGAAAATCCGGGACGTGGTTCGCTCCCTTGACCACAAAGGTAGCCGTCTTTTCGGTGGTCTTGACAGGTCCACCAGGGCGATAATCAGAGTTCATCGATGCCGACCTCCAACCGTCATGCTCGCCATCGCAGAAGAGGACATTCTCAAAGGTGGCGTTCCAACCACCAGTCCAGTCGTTGAACATGGCCGCGGTGAATCCCTCGGAGCTGGCCGGCTTGAATCCAAACGTCTGTGGGAAGCGGAGATCGCACTGGCGCTGGCGGTCGGCAGGCCGCACGTGTGATGACACGATATTGGTGCCGTCCGACTTGGGCGGGCCGACATGCCACCATCCAAAGGGCTCGTTGCATAGTTGCCAAGTCCAACTGCGATCGGTGCTGAGGTCGTTCGGTTTGTTGTATCCCACCGCTTTTCCATACAAGTCGCATGCTTCCTCGCCCTCGCACACCTTGCTGTACCGACTGTACATATACGATGTGTATCCCTCCCACGCGGCCTTCAAGCCAACACCCGACGTTTCGGTGCCCTTGATAATGTTGCCGTTGTTCGTGCTCGTTTCGATCCAGTCACAGAACTCGTATACCGCGGTCTCGTTGCTTGCCCACTTGATGATAGGCCTCAGCAGGTACCACGCGAAGTCGGCATTGTCCTCAAGAGTCTCCAAACCGAATTCTTCCTTCATGGCGTCGATCTCCTTGGCGGATCCCTTGTCAAGCACGCTATCTACTTGCTTGATGACAAGCTTGACATCGGCAGAGCAGGCTCGCGGCAGGGCCTGCTCAATGGGAGTGAAGAACTGCCAGAAATCATCAATAGCCTGCACGACGGCAGAGCTTGCATGATAGGCAGCAAAGGTGCCAGGTGCAATGACAGATGTCCACGCGGAAAGGGCACCAGGATAACTGCCACCGATCAACACCCAAGGAGACTTGTCTGCGTTGGCGCCTTTCTTCTTGTCGAAAGGAAGCTCGACAGTTTCGGCGAAGTGGGTGTTGTCATAGATGGCCTGCGGCACATTGAGGTATTGCAAGGTGTCGGCTGTGAATGTCTTGAAGGGGAGGGATTTTCCGTAATACCGGTCTATAATGGTGAGTGTTGGTCTACCAAAGTCTTCTTGCGGACTTTTCAACAGCTGACTTACGCTCCATCAGGACAATCGCGCCTTTGTACGTCTCAGCATACAAGTATGTCAAGGTGCCGTTTTCCAGGTAACCGGTCAGGCCCTCAGCATCACCTTCACCACCATTCAACATGAATACGGGATATCCTGGGCCGCCCCAGTGCTCCGAATTATACCAGTATCTTTGTTTGAAAGTGCCCTTGGACAAGTCGGTATGGTCTAGGTACTGGTCGAACGTGCCGTTGTGGACCTGCGTTCCCGAATGCGCTCGACGTTGGAGGCCACCCATCTTAGGGAATTGTGATAATTGCGGCGCTTTCAGTTGTGGAGTAGGGACTGAAGCCATCACAGTGGCTGCGAAGGCCACTGCAGAAGCGAATATTGATGCCTTCATGATGAAACAGGTACTCGACAATGTAACAAACAAGAGAAAAGGGAAAGATCTTGCTAGAGGTTTGAGATTGATGGCTATTCAGCTAGACTAATGCCTAGAGAAGCGTGTCCTGCTCGATCATATATCCTTCAACCTTCGGCTACCCAAGAGAGCCTCGGACACTGGGCCTTACATCGACAAGGCCGCAACATCACTCAGCCTCAACCGCAGGTACAAACTACCGTGAAAAGGAAGAGAACCCCAGCCGGTGCCCAGAAACTAGTATCGCAGCAAGAAGGCTCTCAGTCTAGCAATCTGACAGCCTAATCACCTGTCTCTATTTTCTCCGCGCTGGACATCAGATTTCGGTCCATGTACGAAGGTGTGATTCGGGCTAGAGCCTGCTTAGACGGGGTGTGAAAAGCAACTCCTCTGAGGGCGCCTCCACCATGCAATGGCAGCGTGGCCAGCGAGGTAAGGCAATATTCTTGGCAGAAGGACTAGCGACAATTTGACTGGAGCATATCAGGTTCATGGGTCAACCAAGCGGTCGCCTGGTAGGGCCAACGCGGGACGACGGTCTGTTCAAGGGACGGACATGCAGCCCGTGGGATTTGCTAGTAAGCTAAGCTTATTATTACCCTCAAATCCTGGAAAATCCTACATTGGAGCTCATGGATCGGGTCGCCTGCAACCCACGAATGGCTGGCGTTACCACGTTGGTTGTTTGCTATTCGTATGGTCTGGTCGGGTTTAATCCTCTTCGCCTGCCTCAGCCCCGAAAAAGCTGCGGCCACCCGCGTCGCCTGTCTCGCTAGTATTTCGTTTTTCCTCTCCATGGAGGGCTGTGCGGCCGTGCATTTTCGCCGGCTGCTGATGCCCGCTGCATCCTGCCTCTTGTTTGCTGCTGCCTAGGCTGCAAGAAGCCCCTCCAAGGCTGGGCTGAAAAGCTGACTGCATGACCAACCTGGTCTAGTTTCTATTTTTGGGACGAACTTTTTGATTACCAACAACGGGTCGATGATACTGGGCAGTAGGTAATCCTCGTTGGAAAAGGATCTTGCTCAGACACACCGCTGCCGGCCCTGATCGTCCCTACTGTTCTGGGCTCCCGTTTTCTGTGTCTTTACACTCAAGGTCCGGTTATCGTCTCGGATCCCCGCAGTCCGCCCCCATTCCGTCCGTCCCGTATCGGCCCTGTAAGCTCCCGGGCCGGACCCGCACCCCACACCGGATCCGAGTCTCGCTGGTCCTCCCCCCTCCATGTACTACCTTACCTTCCGGTCGGGTCGGCATTATCGTCCGAACCCACCGCAAGATTCGGACCGGGAGTAACAGTAACGCCCCTTCCCCTGTCCCAACACACATGAGTACAAAAGAGGCAAGTTGCACAGTACCGCACAAACCGCCCGCTGGCACTCGCTGGCACTCGGTGACGATCACACGTTCGTCAGATGAGACAGCAGAATGCCATTCAACAAGATTAAACAATCTTTTCCTTCGGGAGGCGTAAGAAAAAAAAAGATAAACAGTGTGCGTGGTACAAAGATACAACCCAGAAGCCAGGTGAGAAACTGAAAAGTAGCATGTTAGCGGGCCGGCCGGGTGTGAGGGAGGGTTGAAAAAGAAGAAGGGGGGGAGTTTTTTGATGGAGTTTTCCGTAAGCCCAATAGACACCCGACACTAAGGGTACCAGGGAAAGAAAAAGGTCTCGGGATTCGAGTGATCCCACATCACCCACGGCTTCCCGAACGCCGGACTACGTGGCTCTTTTTTTCCTGTGTAACGCTGCCGGCGCATATTTACTTTTTCTTCCTTTCACTCCGGGAGTCGGGGGGGAGACAGAGTGACTGACATTGGTAGGCGTCATCAACATGAATCGTAGACTACACAAAACACGATAGTAATTGCCAGCCGGAAGCCTGGGACAAATAGCGCCGCATTCGAGTAAGGTGAGAACATCCAAATCCCATTTAGAAATAAAGGCCGGTCGGCGCGTCATCGAGAGAACCCCTAAACTCAACGCCCGCAACCTTGTCAACCCTGGATTCCGTGTGGCTGGCTGGGAGCTGGGGAGTGTGTCCCTTCTGGCGGGCTAGAACTAGGTACTACTTACGGTCCTCATCTCCCTCCGAGGGTTAGGTTGGTTTGGTTTGGTGGATTGGAATGCGCTCCCTTTCGGTCAACTATTTGACATGCGAAAAAAGGCTACGCAACGCAACGCAACGCAACGCGTACCTGGGAATCGGTAAACCTTCCATTCCAGCAAAAAAGACAGTTCGAGACATTGTTCCAGTGCCGAAACATGGCAGGGGAAAACGGACACGGCCGGCGTCGTACAGAGACAGACCTCTTTGACTGACCTAACAAGACTGACTTGACTTGTTCCTCCGTTTTTGACTCGAACTCAAATCAACTCCGACTCGACTCGACTTGCTGACACGCTTCCCGCCACGTGATCGAAACGCAACACACAACTGCAAGCAGAAAGAAACGAGAGAAATACCACGAGGAAATTGCGTGACGTGAACGTGGCTCAACGTCCGCGGCAGGCAACGCCAAGGGAGAGAGAGGACTCTATCAATAAACTTTCGGCATGGACTTAGCGTTCGTCTTGTTGGAGCCCTTCCCTTATGTGGCGTAACTTATTGCACGGCGAAACAACTCTTCGTAAATACGGTGATGATTATCTTTTCTTTCTCTTTTCTAACGCTCTCTCATGCTGATTATGCCCGGTCGACATTTTTCTGTGACTTCTCGCTCCGCGGCGAAGGGGGAATTCGTCATGGCTTCGTATCCAAGATTATAACGCACTCGTAACTTCTGTCTGAAAATATCACACGCGCTCAAATGCAGTTCCCTGACAAATCGTTCCCATACATCATTCCCCGTATAATCATGTCTCGGGTTGGGGGCCTAGAAGCCTCTCCCACCTGCTCATCTGACCCCTTCAAGAATAACTCCCGCTGAACTGGGGCAACGGGTTGCCACCGGCCATCTGCGTGTAGAAGGGGGGCTTGAGCATGTCCCAGTCACCAATATTGGGCGCGCAGACCATCCCGCCCGTCGTAAATTCCTGAATGTCCTCAAGCATAGTGCCGAATCGCTGACCCTGGTTCTGTTGCACATATGAATCGATGCTGACTGTCTCGGCATTGACATTGGCCATCGCAGCCTCGTTTGATAGGGAGCCGGGAGTTGGCGGGAAACCCTGAGTTGGTGAGTGCTGTGGAATGCCTCCGGTATAGCCTTCGTGACCGGCTTGCTGGTGGAATGCGGCGGCGTTGATGGCGGTAAATGACGACGCTTGGCGGGAATCTCTCCGGCTGTCCGAACCGCTCCCGCTGAGATGAGAATACTCGGGGCCCAAGGAAGAGCTCCTTTCCAATGTGCTAGCTCGCGATCCATCGGAGCCGTCATAGGCTGTTGGCCGGTCGTCGTCCATGATGATGCCGTTGCTCGTAATCTTGTCGGCCTTTGCCCTCCACTCTTCCAGTCCGCCGCCACCTCCTCCCAGCCGAATGGTCAGAGAACCATCTCCGCTCTTCTTCGAACCTCGATTTGTGTAGTCGGAGTAGACCTTGGTGAGATACTGATCAATGTCCTTGAAATACGTGACGTAATTGGAGGCCATGCTGAAGTAAGGTGCAACCTTGGTTAATGCTTGGAAAGCGATACTGGTGTTCCCCGTCTGCGTGTTCTCAGACATGGCTCCTGAATTCCGTTCTTCGATCTCCTGTTTGCTGACCATATGGTTTTGAGTATCCATGTGGGGATAATGCCGTGCGTATATTCCAACGAACGCTGCTTGCCAAATTGCGAATATGACCAGTGACGAATGAGGAAGCTTGTCTCGGCATGTCGAGATGAGGTCGATGATTTCCCTTCCAGCCTTGAAAACCTGCTCTGCGCTTCGCTCCCAAAAGTGGTCGGGCACAGTTTCGGGGTCAAAGACGGGCTCGTCCAGAGGACCAACCGGCTGGGAACATTTGATGGCGATGAACGGAATGTATTCGCGATGCAGCATGATTTTGCATAGGGCACCCAGCATGTGAAGTGACACATACATGCTGTTGTCGTGTTTCCAGAAGTTCGAGCTAGACCAGGTGAACTCTTCCGGAAGGTGAGCGTAAAAAGCATCTACCTTCTTATTCAGTTGATAGAAAGTCGACTCTTGGTCCCACGGCGGAAGAGATTCCGTATGGCGGCCGCCCGCGAAACTATACTTGGTGATATCGCCCCAGAAATCTGCTAGTTGCACGAATCGACTCAAGACACTGTCATCGATTGGTGGCTCCATACCATGTCCCACCTGTCGTAAGAATCCGGTATAGACAACGCGGCCTAGGTCGAAGGCGTGTTCAGTGCATGGCAGCTGGATTTGGAGATCGTCGGACCGAACCATAGAAACCCGATCAGATCCGCAGGACAAAAGACGGTCCAGTATCAAGCAACTGAACATGGTACGGCGCCTAATCTCCTGGTCTTTCCAACGATCTGAGGGTAGTTGAGTAGATTTACTCGATCGAGGAGACAGAGTTAGACTTCTCTTCCCTCTCAAAGGCTTGTCTCCGAACCCCAATTTCAAGCCTTGAGCCATCCGTATGGCAACGCCAACATACATCCATGCCGCTAGGCCGCCGTTCGGCTGGCTCCATTTGTATAAGCCGAGCATGAGAAAAGCTTGGACACGGACGACAGTAGCTGATGTCAGAGCTGATTCGAGTTGTCCCAGTGCCTTTGTAAGAGCGTTTGCGAAGTACTCTGAGGCCATTGATGGCTCCGGCCTGGGTAGAGCACCGCGAGATTTTGGGCCGGCGATTTTGTCATGTGTGATGTGCGCCACATATTTGACCAAGTCGGGGTGAAATCTTGCAGTGAGAGCCAGAATGCCCAATAGGATCAGATTTGATTCGGTTGACGGCTTCTTGATGTCTTTGTCGTGAATGATGCCCTTGAGCGTTGGGAGATGTAAGAACGGGAGTTCGGTAGCGAAGTGCAGCTTATATATGTCGAAGAGTTGATGCCACAAGTCGACGGTAAGATAGGGCGCCGAAAGCACTTCCTGAGCA